TAGGTGTAATTGTACTTGTGGTAGAAATAGCTAGCTGTACTCCATTACAAAACATTACTAAAGTTAAATACACTTAACCAAGTTAACTCCAATTAACTCCATGCAAGACAACGTTGCAAATATCAACTCAAGTTGTGGCAACCAAACAAAGGTAATATTACGCAATTGTAGTTTCAATGTTGTGCTGAGTTACTATGTAGTGGTTACATTGCCACTATCATAACATTATGGTATTTCACAGATCTGGAATTCTGGTATGGTATAGACTCTCAGTAACATGACCATCATGTGCTTCTGTATTGTCTGATACATATTGAAGAGGGATCTAGATTATCTCATCATCTCAGATGCATGCTGTTAAGATTCTTTAGTGTGAATTTAGTGTTTTGAACTAATCCATTTGGGTAATTCAGCCAGAATCTGACCAGCACAGCATCTGAGCCAGTTTTCAGCTTTTTTGCAGAAAGTCAGAAATCACCATATAAATTTGAGAATTGTGAATTAGATCAGAGCCACACATGTTGAATTTGCTGCTTCAAGAACTTGATACAATATTTTTTTATATAGACTTCATCTATAATTATGTTTAAATTTACTGTAGAGCTTCTTGTTTGATCTGCTCCACATCATCAGATTTTTCTGTTTAATTACTTAATTGGGAAATATCAGTTGACCAGCTCTAGTTATTCTATAAGAGCAGTATGTACATAAACATATCTTCTCTCTGAATCAGTGATCTTTCAGTGCTTATCTGTCTTCTTTGTAGACTGATCTGAGTCTTTGTTGTTAAGATTTTGCATCATCTGTTTTCACACAATCTTTTTAACCCTGCCTCACCCAATTCTTATAACATCATCACTTTCAGCTGGGTATTGTTTAAATTCTCTGACCAACTAGATAAGTGATTTTTTCATTAAAGTATGCATTCTTTTTTTTACTTTCTGCTCTATGTCTGTTGTGCTGTCTTCTTCTGAGTTGATTAAAAATGAAGTACACATCATGTCACAAGAGTTCACAGAAAGCAGCAAAGAAGAGATGAACTTGTCTGAGATGATTCAGAGCTGTTCAACAGTCTGATCTTCTAGTACTAAAGACAGATTCTGCTCATAATGATGAAGATTAAATTCTGTTGACAATCTTCATAAATGAAACAGAGTGACATGCACACACAGTCAGTATTATTGAATCAGTCTTTGATTATCAATTCAGAAAGTGTCAGTTGAATGTGCTTACTGTACTTCTTTATTAGAGAAATGATCTTCTTCTCATTGTGAAGATCTCATTTGACAAAAGTATAATTGCTCAGACTCTCTCAATTCTGCTGTCTGAAAAGATGATTATATGTGTGCTTTCTCTCAATATTATTGAAGCTGAACAGATTCAGAAGATGCAGTCTCTGTCTGAAGCTCACTCACTGTATGTTCATGATGATAACATTAATCAGCTAAATCTGGCATCAGAATTACTGCAGAGTTTATATACTCATCTGTACATAAGTTCTGAGTTGTTAATTGAGCCAAAGCTGCAGTCAATTCTTAAAGATTCTGTTTTTCAAAATCATTTAACTGTCATGATCATAGATGAGTTGCATCTGACATCAGATTGAGAGCAGAAGTTCCAACATTCATTTTCATGTCTTTATATGATCAAAGCACTACTGAGTCAAATGTCATGGACTGAAGTTACTGTCACATGTGATCAGATCATCATAAAAGCTGTGTTTAACTCTATTTCATTGTGCTCAGATTATGATATTATCTGTACTGATGTGAATTGGCCTGAGATAGCTATTCTGGTCAGTTATATTAAATGTAGAAAGTTCAATACTTTTGAGTCACTTTTCTTCATAATCAAACAGACTTCTGGTGAAACCACTGTCACAACTGTTAAATCATCAGTTCAGAACTGAGAGCCAACACCAGATAGAATCTCTAAAATCATAGTCTTTATGATGAAAAAGAATGTTCTGGAGAGCACTCTTAATGTGATCAGAGAGTGACTGATCAGTCACTTTGAATATTTCACTACTCTGACTTGCTCCACTGTCAAATTATATCACATCAGTCTGGCAAAATATGACAAAACCAGTCTGTATGAGAAGTTCTGTAAGACCAATAGTCAGATCTGAATGCTGATCATGTCAGATGTTATGATGCACAGTGCAGATGTTTCTGATATCAAGATCAGTGTTCAATATGGCATGTTTATTGAGCTGTCAATCAACATGCTGTGGCAGCAATTGAGTCAGACTGCTCAGGCCAGTGATTGATCTGAAACATTTGTGTTGTTAGTTGAGAAGAATTATAAAGAGTCTTGAGTTTCAGATGACAGCAAGATTAAATTGATGTATGAACAGCTTCTTGAACTAAATTCTGATACTAATTCATGAGTCTCTAGTCCCTCAATCATGACTGTCAGTATGACTGTCAGCATTGTCAGATCAGTGATGATCAGTATGAACAGTCTCTTTGTAGAAGATGATCTGATCAGAGATGCTTGATTATCATCTGAGCTGGAAATGAAGTCTGTCAGTGACACTAAAAGTAGCTGAACTGAGAGATGAGATTGTGTTCAGAATGTACTATATAAACTGATCAACTCTGATCATGACTGTCTTCATTGTCTCATTCTGAATCATTTTGAACAGTCAACAGTTGATCAGTAAGACTTCATATACTGTTTCATTTATGATTCTAAATTGCTGAATATATTCAAGTTCTTCATTGTTGTTTGAAAAACAAGAGTTAAGCACTGCCATGATGTTGTTCTTCAGATGCAGATCTGATTAAACTCTTGAGTTAAGTTCTATTATCAAGAGATGTTATGAAAGTCCATGTATTTGATTCTGATGTCAAAGAAGAAACTTATAGAATTGTATTTGAGTCAGTTGATATTAAATAAAGCTCAGTTGTTGAAACAGCTCTCTCATTGAGTTAAGTGAAAGTTCATTTGCCCAGACAGTGAGAAATTTATCAGAGAGTTGAGCAGACTTGCATTGAAGTCTGTTACTTAGTCTGTATGAGCTGTTTGAGCTCTGACAGTCTGAGTCAATTGAACTCCAAGAATTCTGGAGTCTTGTCTTTGTAACTGCATGTCAAGAAATGATTTGGAACTGTCAGTTAGCTGAAATCTCAGTGACAATTGGGCAGACATACTAATGTCAGATAGTCAGTTCATTTCAGCAATTCAGACAGATGTTCTTGTCTCAGATCTTGTTTTGAATAGTCAGTTCTTTACTTCAGAAATTCAACCAAATGTGCTGTTGTCTGACAGTCAGCATGCTACTGTCAAGATCTGTCTGTATTGTCAGATTTCTGCTCTGATTCAATTGTCATATCTTCAGTTCAGCATATTTAGAGATCTGATGACACTTATGTTATTCTCAACATTTGTGTCAACTCTCTGACATAATATTCAACTGATGCTTCTGATAAATTCTCATATAATATCTGGTTCACTGTCTGATATGAAGAGTCAATTTCAGCATATATCTGATTAACTGTTCAACTCTGATCCATAAACATCTCTGACCAACTTGTCTGTCAATGCCCACACCTGAAAGACTTGAAATCCAAACAAGAAATCTGGGTTCAGAGTTAAGAAATGAAAACTGATGGAGAATTGAGCAACTGTTTCTTAAGTTATGTGGACCTGTACATTGATCAGTGAAAGTATAATATAGATTTCATTATTTTCTGATCAGTATATATAGTGTATACCCAGTTGGCCAGAACTGTGATCATTGGCTGAGAAACACATTTGTGAATCTATAAAACAGAGACATCATCAGTTTAATGTCAAATAATTGAGAATTGTATCTTTTGCCATAGTCATATTATAGAAGATCCATTGATCTGAACAGATGATCAGTTCTCTGGACATCATTTTGGTGAGAAACATGATTTTCAAAAAAGAGGGTCTTGGAATTCAATAATCTGGCAGATAATGACTATTTACATATGGGAACTCTAAACTCAGCTCAACAAACATTCATCTGATAATAACTCAGATTCAGAAATATTCAATGACAAACTGTTGATCTAACTGTTTCTCTAAGTTTCATTTTCACTATTCCATCTGACAAGCATGTTCTTTAATACCCAGACAATGTAGTTCACTCATCTACTTTCAATGATATAAAATTCTATTCAACTGAGCAGACCCTCTCTCTCTCTTCTATGAACTTGTTCACAAGTTACATCTGACAGATAAGTTTCTGTTCAGAAACAATCAACAATCATCAACATTATTGAAACAACTTTGTGTATTCATATATCATTTTCATGTCTTTTTTCATTCTCTCTGCTTCTGTTATAGTTCTGGAGGTCATCCTGATATGATTGGATCTCAGATAAACTGTTTTGTCTGTATAGTAGACTGTAATTAAGAATATCATGTTGTTTTGTAGCACATATCTGCATATATTCACTTATCTCTGATGAACTGCCTGGCAATGGCCATATCTGGCAAAATCATCTGACCCACAACACATTCAACACATGTCAGATATCAACAACTTCAGTCTCTATTTCTTCTTCACTTCTTTCTATCTATCAGATCAACTGTTCATGCTGCTCTGACATCTGCCAGTCTCTTCCCCCTCTTGTCTGTTCATTTGTATATCACATTCTTATACACTCATGTTTGCTTATTCTTTTTATCAAATAACTTTTAAATAACTCACAATGTCTGCCTTCTTGTGTCACAATACATCTTCACTCTCTGACATCAAATCATTGAAATCTGGTGAAGTTTCATCTTCTCAGAAATCTTTCATATCTGTATCTGACAATAATTCATGAATTGCTCACAGGCAATATCAAAATTCTGAGACAGCACTGTGACACCCTTCAAATTTTCTCTCAAACAATGAATATGCAAATATCCAACAGTCTCTCTCTTATCTGACCAGTTTGACCACTCACTCTGCTTCTGATAATAGTATTAATCCAGCACTTCTTGTCAGATATCCTATTATAGACCAGAATAATTCTTGTGATATGTCCAAATCTGATCAGAGCAATACACTTGTTGCCTCATCTGAGTCTGAATTCAATATTCAATCAAACTCTGATGATGAGAAACTATTCTGTGAAGACTCTACCATTTCTGTTGTCCATGCTGCTCAGAATCAACTTCTGGTGAATTTTCTGATCCATGACATTCTGAATATATTGAATGTCTCTGAACATGATGGTTGTGCTGCTTCTTCTGATGCTGATAAACAACATGAATCTGGCATAAAACAAGTCAGTACTTCTAAAAAGTCCACCACTACAGAACAAGCATGTAAGTTCTCTGCTCAATGTTCAAACAACACAATCATTGACAGTTGATCCATAGTTAAAACACTGCTGATGACACCATCATCAAATTGAGTACTTCAATTAAAAATTTCAAATCCAAAAGAAGATGATCTGGCCAATGTGCCAGCTAAATGATCAGTGACAAATTCTAAGCTAACTTGAGATCAAATCACAAAGAATCAATGATATACATCTTGTGATGAAGCAGCTTGAAATGAAATATCTCTGAAAGTGATTGATACATTGTATCATATCAACAGAATTGAAGAAGAAGACAGTTCTGAGCAGATACCAGCATGTAACTATTGCAACAAACATAAAGATTGAAAATGTTGGGTCTACAAACTGTCAGTGTGCAAAAATGAAAAGTGTCTGGACAGTACTTATTTTCACTGTTGAATGAATGCAATTAAATGTGAATTCACAGACAGTTCTGCTAACAAATGTGACATGTCTGAGAGCAAAGATTCTTCACTCAGAAAGTGGAGTCATCAGATATATGGTCTGTGCATCTCAAAAAATACTCACTTAAATCAATCACAGAACTCTTCTGCAGCAGATGCTCTGCACAAAATCAACATTCAAGATCAATTCAATCTTGCCTGATTCATGAAGGGGCTAGCCCAAATGTTTGACTTAATGAGACTGACCAAAAACACAGATATGTTGGAGATTAACACATGCCTCATATGAGTCAAGAGCCAACTGACTGTTTTGACAGACATGATATTCATCTTAATTGATAATTTGTCCAGTATATACCAATTTGAGTGATGTCATGTCTAAATTACACTTTTGCTGGGCCAGATGCCTGGCAAGCACATGTATGTAAATAGAATACATATGTAGAAATGAAAATGATCAACTTAACTATATACAAGCATAATCTATGTAGAAATACTCATACATAAAATCTGATCAGATCCACTCCCCTAATTATCAAAATTGTGAGATTTTTAATCACATAAGATAATCAGATAATCAATCTCAACAGCATCTTCTCTACACTGATTAACTTCACTCAAATCTTTCTCATTCTCTTCACTAACACCCACTCCATCAGCTTCCAAAACCTTCACAATATATGTGTTGATGGTGACTATGTGGAATGATAGATTCTGAAAGACATCAGATGGCTTCATATTGAGTAAGAATCTGAAATTACTCTCTACACTAACACACAACTGCTCCAATATTAGAGAAGCAAGACTGCAGATATCTTCACTAACAGACTTTTTAATATGTTTTGCATCTATATATTCTTTAAATGCATGCTCAACTGCCTGATGAAGCTGATGTGTATATTTTAAAGTATAGATAGACTTTCAAAAAAACTTCTGAATCTTAAATATTAATGTTCTCTGAGATTGCAGCAATTTCTTCAGCTTCAGATTGAGCAACTCATTGAGTTTATCAGTCTTCATGAAATGATCAGTGCTTCTGTGCACAGTGATGAGACTGTTAGTCAGAACAGCATCTCAGAGCAGTTGATTATGAGCAGAGAAGTTTGTGAGTTATCAGAATTACAACATCTTAACTGCATAATTGAATCAACATTGTCAGGCAAAATGCAAAATAGACTGCTCAACTCTCCAGAACAGCAATTTAACATTTCCATGTTTAGTGTCAGTCTTGATCAGCTTATAGATTTTAACAAGATGAAGAAACTGTATATGGACTGTTATGATAACATCTGCATGATTCTCATCAGACAGTCATGACACATCAGAGCTCTGAACATTGAATTAAGTTTTGAAGTCAGTCTTCAGATGACATGCACTGCAGTCTCTCATTCTCTTCATCAACTCATTAGATTGATGTATCAACTTCAGTGCAAATATCTTGAAGTATATACAACTGATCAGATCATTAAACTTATTGATCTACAGATTCAAAATCACTGCTTGCACTGCATCAAAATCTGTAATATTCAGCACAGTGTGAATGTCTCTGATCAGTTGCAAAAACATCACTGTTATATGAACATCAAAGCTATAAAGAATAAGTTCTTCAAGATGATGAAATGATGTTTTCTCACTGAACAGATATTATTGATGAAGATGATTAATGTGATTAAACAACAATATTATCTACTGAGAGAACTCAATCTCTTCATAGAAGATCTTCATCATCATATATAAGAAGTTGAGCTAAAGATGTCACATTGCTGATACTAACAATGCTTAATGATGAGTATCATATATTCTCTGAGTCTCACACTACTGATGCTGGCAGTCTTAAATAAATGCTGACATTTTCTGATCATTATAAACTAGATACAGTGACTCATGAAAATTCTTATTCTCATTCATCTTGAACTGCTCAGTGAATACTGTACAGAAGATCTCATAAAGATCATTATATGTGCTCTCAGACATTAATATAGATCTCAAGAGCAATGTATGTGTCAGCTCTGATGAATGCAGTTTATTGATCTCTAATAGAACAAGACAACTATATAAATCACTTTTTGTTTCAAATACATTGATCAGTTCATTTAAGTAGACTGCAAACAGAGTCTTGAAAATGAAATAGTGACACAATTCAATCTCAATCTGATTCTGATTTTGCTGCAAGAAATGAATATAGTTGAGTTGGTTCAAAAAAGACAGATTCAACATGCTTTAATAAAGTTTATTTGATGAAATCTGATCATGAATATGAAGATCAGTAATATAAGAGTGAAATGAACTCTTGTCATCAATGATCTGATGCTGAACATTCTCTTAAAATTTAAAATTATTAATTATGACAACACTAGTTGGTCTGAAGTCTTCTTGAAGCTGATGCTGTGACAACTGATCAGTTGCTGTTCACAATACTGATTAAACAATCACTCACTGATCTTGACAATAGTGGTTATGTTCAATCATTTATCACAAAGAGTTGTGTAATTATTAATGATCTCTAGATCATGCAGAACAGTAAGAACTCTTTATTTAACTTTTATGTTCATGAAATAAAGTTCTAATAGCTGAATAAAAGTGTTAGTGAAGTTTCAGACACAGCTCAACTGCAGAATGAAAGTAATCAGAGTCAGCTGATTCTGATGCAGACAACATTTATAAGTATGCTGATGATGACTTAAGTGAGCAAAATCTTTAATTACATGTGTCAACACAGATGCTGTCTGCTCAATTGTGAAAGCAAGATTATCAATGCTGATGTTATTAGTTAAACAGATCATATGAAAGTGACAGAAGAAGAGACTCTGATTCTGAAGAACTGTCAACTCTTAATGAATAAGATACACTATTTAGTTCAATATTATGTGCTAAAAACTCTGACTATAAATCACTGCAATTCAGAAGAAGTCATTTCTTTCTAGCACACTGATCAGATTATTGACTCTTTATTTAGATGTATAGAATGACTTCAATTCATCACTCTGAATTCATTACTGAATCAGTAAAGAAATAAACACTTAAAGACACTAAAGTAGTTAAAATATAATGTCAATCTTTTTGCACTCTGATAAATGCTCACTTAACTTCAGCAGATGCTGAAGAGCATTTTTTAAGAATTGCAACTCTGTCTGAAAGAAACTCTCATTAAATGAACTATTTGTGAAACTATTAAAACTGATCTGCATACTGAACAGACTTAAGTCATTCTTCTTCTTCAACTCAGACACAATAATATCTGAATTCAGACTATCAGAGTCACTGCTCTTGCTGCACATAAGCAGATCTTCAATAAAATTCTTAACTTACTGAAAATTCAAAGCTAACTAATCAGCTGTTTACTCAGCTTCACTAGCATCATCAGATTCTTCACACTCAGTCAGATCACTGTCAGAGAAAATAATCATATTAATGAACAGTTCTAAATATGCAGATGTAATGAGTGAGTAACACTTAGATGTCAGCATATTGTTTCAATGTCATCTATCTTCTTGAATAACAGAGCAAAAGATTTCTGATGTCAGAGCATATTAAACTCTGACTACTGACTAAGTAAGAAATCATTTACTGACAGTTGAATCTGAAAATGTCTGAGAACTGAAGTGAAGAAAGATGACACACAGCTGTTTTACTGAGTGATTCTGAATGAGAGAATGAGACATTGAAGACAAATAACTGACTCAAGACTTAATGAAAATAACTATAAAAGTATTCTGACAATAAAATGTGAACTGTGTGAAGAGCAAACAGTTAAAGACATTGAACAGACTGTTTCAGAGATTCAAAATTTCACTAAGTTCAACATCTGATCAGAGAACTCTAACAAAATGCAAAAAACTGACTCAGATCTTTCACAGAATGTGGCAGAAATTATCCATAAGAGTCTAGCTCCAAAGCTTATAATTACACTACACTACATTGGGCCTAGCCCATTTCTGACTCATCCGAAGTGGAAGGTCTGAGGGTATGAGGCAAGGATCTAGGCAGATTTATATAAGTGAGTGGCTAGCCCAAGTGGGGCAAAAAGAGCCAATCAGAGCATCAGATTCAGATCCGTTTAGTTTACTTCTGTGTGTAAAAAAGAGAAAAAGTTGTGGCAATACAATGTAAACCATTCAATACAAATTATGGCCACTTGTGTCTTATAGGCTGCAAGAGAATCGCGCCGAGCGGAACTCTTCAGAAACGCGAAGATGGGAGGCGAGATTCGGGTAGTTCAGCTGGCTAGGGACTGGCGCCATGTGCTGCTGCCTATGACAGCCAGTGAACGGTTGAACCGCGTCCACAGCGAGAAGCGTCAGACAAAGCACTGCCATTACGATTAAGACTGGATTGGCCACGTGAGCGGGCACCTTCGTTAACCGCCGCAACGCCGCAGGCAACCATCGCTCGGGACTGGCGATGCAGGGCGGCAAGCGAAGTCACGCACCTTGACGCATTGAATAGCATGGCGAGGCGTGTTTTATTGGCGTGAGGTAACTAGTTAGTTACTACTCGTGTCTAAGCGATTCGCCCCCGTCTCGAACCGCTCTCCGCCCGCGGGCCCATCAGCATCCGCGCAACCCTGGCATCCAAGGGTGCTGTCAAACCATCTGGATATTCCCCTCCAGGCTAATCAGAGCCCACTCTGGCTTCCTATTGGATACGTAACGCATCCATGGTGTGTTGATCTTTTGGTTTTGGGCCTATTATTGGAATAAGCGCTGCCGCTTGCTGTCATATCGCTACATCAAACTAGGCACCGACGGGGAGTCCGGCGGCTAGTTCGGAGCCATGGAGTTGTCCAGTGATTCATCGCGCTCTCCAGAGCCAGGGCTGGATGCCGCGGAGGCTCCTGCTCAGCTTAAATACCCTGATGTGTCTCCTGAAATGAAGAGCAGCGAACAGTCTGAGAATTCCCCAGCTGTGGAATCATCCATCACCACTTCGAAAGAGCCATTATCTGCCCCAGAAAGAGATCTCCCAAGTTTACCGGCCGAAGAAGACGCCGAAATGTTCCGAACATTGAAGGCCAAATTCGAAGGCCCCGAATCCGCTGAACCCCGTTTGCATCGGGTCATGGCCTCCCTTGAACTGGTAGACAAAGAAGGGCCCCAAAGCCAGAAAACTATACAGATGTTACGAAGTATTAGGCCTGATATTTATCATCTATGGAAAACCAAATCGATGTACATGTCCCGCGCTACAGAGGTGCTGGCAAACGCCAGTAGAGACCGTAAGTCATGAACATTTGCTCCTTTGAAGAGACGCTTGTAATTAATTTTATGGTAGAAAAATGGCGGTGGGCATTTGGCAAAAGTGAGATGTTAGACTTTTATCTCCGAGTAATTAATACACGGGATGTAGAGCATGATATACATCTTCATGCTTTAAGATTGATTGGAAACACATGTGCCGATACAGGTAACTTGCTGCCACCTATCTTAATTATAGTACAGATTGGTGCTAACCACTTAATAGACGAAAATAGACAAAAAGTTGTGGAGCGAAACTATACACTACCAATTATTGGATTTCTCAATAACTCAACACTATACCATGTTGCAATCCCTGTTATTTATAATATTTGTATTGATTTTGGTATGCATCTTTCCCAGTTCATACTGCATCTACTAAGCCTTAAATAAAGAGCCTGCACAGAAACAGTCGGCTACCAACGGAATAACGTATTCTCTTCTACAGCTGCTCGTTAGGGGAGTAATACAGGGAGAGGCTCTGTTAAACTACGCGTATGAATTGATTGAGATATCCAGTGACCAAAGTGAGTACAACACGCTTGGCCTGTGAACTAATGTTGATTAATCTATAGAAGTACAGTTGGAGACACCGACTGAGTGTTTACCAATAATTCTCAATCTGGCGATGAAGTCGGACAGCGCCATGGCACATTTTCTATCTATTACTGCCGCTTTTGCAAATTATTCACAGCAACCTGATGTTCAAGACGTTTGTATATCGGAGGGACTAGTCGAGCAGGCTCTTTTGGTCTTCTCGCGTTGCTGCGGAATCTCCGATAAAGATATATCTTCCGACGACCAGCAGGCCCTATCTCTAATTCGCCTAAAACTTACCCATACTCTTTCCGATCTTTCAGGTCTGCCTCTATATACTCATACCTGTCATCTCACCTCTATAGTTACAGGTATGTTGATACAGTGGCTGAAATCATCCAGTGAGCCGCTGAAGATATGCGCTGCTATTATGCTGGGAAATCTTGCTCGATGCGATGAAATATGTGAATCCATGGTTCAAAATGTGCAGCTACATTTACACTTAATTCCCATGCTAGACAGTAGCTCCAGTACAGCTGTGATCCATGCGGCTTTGGGGTTCTTAAAAAATCTTGCTATTCCGGCTGGCAATAAAGAACCTCTTGGAAAGGCCGGACTCATTACGAGCTTATCGAGGCTCTGGGCCTCGGAGACTGTCCCACAAGTCCAGTTCACGGCAGCTAGCCTAACAAGGCTGGTCGTTCTAGGGTCTCTTCCCAACACGTCTCGATTACTCACACCTCTCCCGTGCGACGCAAATGTGCAGGAAGGCCCACGAACATACTTATCTTTACTACTTAAACTTTTTACTAAGACAGACAACACACCTACTAGAATTGAAATTGGTCGAGCGGTTGCGGCCATCACCCGTACTTTACTCCCAGGCTTGGAGTTAGAGCCAGCGCTGACCACTGAATATCTTGTGAAATGTCTTTTCAACGTGCACAAAGATGTGGCGCACCCAATAGCCGCTATGATAGTCCAGTCTGACTGGCCAGTGCTTCGCAGTGAAGGGTGGGCAACTCTTGCGTTGATGGCCGCTAATCCTGAAAGATGCGTGGCAGTTGCCGACTGCTTGCAAAACAAGTCCCTCAGAGATATATTGCATGATACAATTCGCAATGTGTCTGCACCTGTTGAAGGAGAAATTAGTCAGGAAAAGAACAACCAGCTTTTGCACTCAAAAGATAGAGAACATGTGATTATCATGTTGAATTGCCTCTCAAAATATAATGTAAGTTCATGCCCTACCAGATTGAGCCGCTCCATATATGGGTTCTAATATATATTTTAGCCTCCTAATCTGTCCGCAGACCAAAAGCAGGTGTTTGAAGATCTATTGTGCGAAGTAGACCAGTCCGATCCCAAATAGCCCGTTTCGTACTTCAATCTGTTTGTGCATTTTCTGCTTGTTTTCTCTTTTTCTTGAATATTTAAGATATATATAGTGGCGCCTACATCAAGATGACTGCTTATGAAATGGGCTCTTTTTCCTGAGAATAGTATTTATATATTGGCATATGGGCATCTATTCAGAATATTTTTTTCTGTGTGAAATGTGTATTTAAATAATATGCAAAGGGTATGGTGTCTAAGCTAAATAAATGCAGGAAATCAACTCTATGGAGAAAAGTAATATGTAATGCCCAAGGTGCAGTCTGTTATACATGCTTGGGCGTAAAGAGTAAACAAGGCTTCTTTCAATGCAAATCATCCAAGCTAAATACGTCAGTATGTTTGTCTCGTTTAAGGTGCGTCAGGTCGCCGTTTGAAAGGCCTTCTTCTTGTCCCTCAGTCTTTTTTCTATCTTCATAAACTCTCGAATTCCGACCGGAATTCCTTCGAACAAATCATTCGAGCCGGGCGACAGCGAATCGCTATTCCAATTACTCTCACTACCACCTCCGTCGTCGTCCATACTCGAACTGGCGTTATTGACCTCACGGCGGAGTATATGTCTGACATCAGCGCTTTCCTCTGATAACACCTTCGCACGGGACCGGCGCTTCTTCACTTCTTGCACGCGCGCTGCCCATTCTTCAACATTGTCCCGATAATCGTCCCATACGCAGTGTACGCATCCACTCATACAGCAATTGTCGGGTTCAGTGGGCCGCGGAGGGATGGGGACGCCATTGATGGTCTGCCAAGTCGAGTCGGGCGGTGTGTCCGGGTTATAGCGGGATGTATAGCCCGGCCCAGCGAGGCGAGTACCAAAAACTATGCTCATCCGTTCGGCCGGAGAAAGTTCTTGTTGTTTAGAGGGGGAATGCGATGATGGTGGCAGGGTAGAAGAAGCGGCTGTATTTCGAAGGGGAGGATTAGACATAGATAGATCGGTCGGATGAGAGAGAATATCAGAATAGTAGCCCTTCAAGGGATATGCTTGGTGTGTCTGTGATTCCTGGTGTAGGCTGCTCTGTCGGGTGTTGTGAAAAACGCGCTGCGGGGAGAAGTGTCGGGATACATCTTGGAGTCGCTGAGGTCTGTTTGAAGATTGGAGAACAGAGTTTTTCGTAGAACGGATCCGACAGAAACATGAAGAGCATATCGGGCGCAGGAAGTGACCGTCCCTTGTCAAGAAAGACATGCGCTCCATGTTGGCTGTTGGCCAACGATATTACTTGTTTGCATTGAGCAGCCGAATGTACCGCCCGCTCTATAGTTTTCCCGTGCCGAAATTTGCTTGCCCGCCATCGTCCTCCACAGCTCGATACCTCGTTGATTTTTAACTGTCGGAAAATCTGGTATTTCTCTCCGGAGTGTGAAATACTCCCTCCTTCTTATCTCTCCTGGCGATCCTATCGTGGATGTGGTGAGTTATGGCTCTAACCAATCGGTTGAGGCGCTGGTATTTAAGTGCAAACAGTGCAAAAGCCATGTCACGTCGCGCTTGTTGTTTCGTACTCCGTACGGAGTACGGAGTACACGCGGAGACAAACAGTAGAGAACCGTTTGCTGAACATCAACAATCTTCCATTCACACTCGTTTCTCATCCGTCAGATGGATAATTCGATACTTTTTGTAGCTTGACATCCTAACGCGCCGCACGCATGATCCCTGTACCCGTCAAACGGCGTAAATCGAACTCCTCAACCGCCATCCCCATTCCAACCGCAAGTGGCGGACCTGCACTTTCCAGACGAGATGGATCAAATAAGCCTTCCAATCGTGCGTCGTTCCAGTCGTCAAGCAAAGCAAGCCTTGCGCGAACCCAGCCCGACCTTCTCTCTCACGTACTAGGCCGTTCAGCTGTGCATAGAGCCCAGCGATCAGAGACTCGTGGTCTTGAATTGCAAGACAGCCAGGCATCCAGGGGGAATGCCCCTACTAATGGACAAAGAGTAAAGGATGTGACTCTCTTACCGCCGGACTTCGACTTGACTCAGCCTGAACTAGAACCAAGTCAAGAGGAGATTAAACGCAAGTTCACAGATCCAGAGCCCTCGCTGCTACAAACTTCAAATCTTGATAATAACCATGTTCGCCGGTCCACCAGAAGAGCATTATTCTCATCAAAGCCTCCCCAGAAACAAGTACTTCAGGCGCCTGATGTGATATCTACTAGCGAGCCGAAACGGGAACTACCTCCTATACTACCTAACAGCGAAAACAATATGGGGGAGCCGGATCTACCTCCGACGCCAACCCAGCTTGGAATTCAAAAGCTTGTGTTTCGGTCAAGGGACTCTGTAGGTAGCAGTCCGAGCTTACGTTTTACTAAAGCGAAGAGCTTGGAACTAGAGCACCGCTATGAATTCCGATCCCGACGAGTCAATGGCAACACAGCCCAATCTGTAGACCAGGATGAGAGCGTTTTAGCTACAACTGTGAAAGCCGTGGAATACGTACCGGAAGAAATTCTCAAGAAACAAAAACTTCGAGATCAGCTCGCTGCGCAACTACAGTCGCTTAAGTACGAAGTTGACACTATTGAAGATGCCGGTCGGCGCATTGAAGAGTCCTGTGACCACGCATCGTTAAACGAAGGGTTTATAACACAGCTACTGTAAGCATCATTAAATCTTAGGACTGATTCTGTCTGGGCAAATCTAACGGAATACGCAGGTCTCTACTGACTAGCGATAACCCTTCTTGCGCGCCTCCCCCAAAGAACCCCCCTCAGCCCACTATATCCACGCTCATTTCATGCCTCTTGCCCTTTTCTGCCCCAAAATACACCCCTAGAACTGAAGTGGAGCGAACGCCCCCAACCCTTCCAAAAAAGCCATTCGCCCTTCAGCAGCCTTCCGATCCCCTCCCATTTCTCACTCTTTTTGCCCCCCTCTCACTGACAACGCATACGAGCACTTCTTCCTCCTCATTAAAGTCGTCGAATGATTCATCACGCTTGACCGTTATACACGAATACGTCCTCTCTCCTCCTCCAAACTACCCCCAATCTATCTATAAGCTTCCGATAACTGTCAAAACGGACCCCGAGAAACAAAACATCATTTCCCTCTCCATTCCAGATTCTTCATCTTCTTCTGATATTGCCAATATACCTATCCAATTACGTGTATGGATGGACAATCGACTTTTAAATCCGCTACTCAAACAGGATGTATCGGGGCTTTGCTGGGGAGCCTGTCGGTACTGGGAGACTAGTATTTCACGCGCAAAAGTATGGCTGCATTTGGAAAGACTTCACGCCAACATGCTTAAAGGCCTTCGCTCGAAAGACATGATCGATTGCAATGGAGACGAAACCGAAGAATATACGCCTCGCAAGGTTGTTCCGCACCTCGAACGTTCTTCTTTTCTTTTCACGAATTTACAAAATACCACAAAATACCAAGTTTTGATATCTTGTCCGATACATATTGATCTTTGGACAAGTGAGCCGTTTTTGGAGCCCGATATCTGCATATCAACATCGGCGCTTTATGAGAGTAATACTACGAAGGTGGAGAATGAGGCACGTTGTGTGTTCTGGAATCTACTGAAATATGATAGTCGTGACGTTGAGCTTGGCTTTGATAAGATTATCAAAGCGACAGAAGCTGTTGTGGAAATGTTGTATGAGGAGCGTGCGTTAGGCGGCAGATTCTAGTGCTATGATTCAGATACCTTAATGTGCCATTAGAAAGTATGATGGTCAATCTGATTGCTGGATCTGCCTTTGGAGCAGTTCTAGAAAGTCTTCTATACAGTTTTCTTATCCCCTACCATCTACAAGCTACTTGGGGGCCAAAAGATAACTATTTCACTTGTAGCTCTCGTAAGGGCGAACAAGTAATATTGTGAGCAGTGTTGGTGATCGCTCAATAATACTCCGCATGTCTTTTTCCATGTCTCTCCCATTGCATTTGATTTAATAAAAACACCCCAGAGAGTAAGTACACCTCAAGCCATCAAGAACCATGCCCAGTCGATTCCCGTTAGGCGACCATATGATCATAGCAACGTAAAAGAGAAAACGGCGAGAGAGTAAGAACATTCGGAATCGCGAGACAAAAGGGGCCTAGGAACAAACAGCAGCAGACTTTTTATTCTGTAATTTGTTTATTTCTTAGCCGCTGCGGCCTCCTCAGCCTTCGCCTTCGCTCTCTTCTCTCTCCTTCCCACATAGCGAGCCTCGCTGCGAGCATCTCTCAGTCTTCGGTAGGCAGCTTTCTCTCCCTCAGGCATATCGGCCTTCGAAATCTCACTAACAGCCTTAGCTCGGGCAACGTTGACAACTGGAAGTACGGTGCTGATGCTCTTGGCGACCTTGCCTTCAGAGGCAGCCTTGACCTCCTCGACAGAAGAATCGAGCTTCTTGAATTGACCGCTCTTGCGTGGGAAGAGAATCAAACGAGCCTTGTATTCCTTCAAGCGGGCGACGTTTGCGGAAAGGGATTCTGTGCAGGCATTGATGCGGCGGTGATCGACAGCAATACCGATGGTGGGAGCGAGTTTGCGAGCAATTCCAGCTTCCTATATGAGGAAAGTATCTTGTAAGTTTCTTGTCAAATGAATTTGCTTGCGATGCTGCAACTGTGATTACGTATCATGTGCATATTGGAGCTTTTGCTGTACCTTCAATTCCTGAACTGTGAAGCCACGCCCAGCTCTAACCCGGCTGTTATATTTGATAGTAGGGCATCTGACGATGGGGCGGAGTTTGTCCACAGGGCGAGGGGCAACGGCAGCAGCCTTTGCAAGACGAGCCTCCCGACGGCGGTGTTTCCGACCAGGCTATAAGATTCCATTTAAATCAGCCTCAATTCATGATTTTGCAGTGACCTTCAACACGATTTTCGCCGGCGCCCCCCATCATCTTTTTTTCCTCCAGAAATAGGGTCTAATTCATACCTGATCGAAGTGTACTCGGACACGACGTTGCCAGTCCTTGTGGAAGTCTAAGAGCAAAAATAAAAATGTCAGCAAGTCTGGACCAAGACTGATGCGGACGTCGTTTTAGATGTCACCGGATCGACTGGAATAATGACTCACGATTCCTAGGAATTTGCTGGTTGTGCTTGATCGCCTATAGATACCAAATTTCAAAACATCAGCTTTCGGTCCGACCGTCTAGAATTAATAGCATGGGCGCAAAATGCGATTTTTTTATCAAAGGGCAAGGGGTTTCAGCGATAGGCATACCATTGTAACGGCCGGTGATCAAGTTGTCGAGACCCGGAATGGTGATGCTGGTCGTGTGTCGGGACGGCGTTGGTGATATGGGGTGCGAACTTTTTTGGTGTGGTTTGCTCTCCAGCCGCATACCTCGCTTAGCGGGTCGTTTAGCCCTACCCCTTACCTAATCTGGCACCACAACAAACCTCGACAATTTGCAAAATCCCCCCAGCCGAAATGATTGTGACCAGTGATGGCCTGTTACTATCTTGTTATATTCTGGCTACTGCGCATAATTCTACTTAAGCTAAACCCATTTGTGTACAGTGGAAGTGAACGGCATTACAACCAAGACGAAGCCTATCAAGACTTGCGGTATTCGTACAATACAGAACTCCGAAAAGTCATGAACTGAAAGCGGAACAGGTAAGGATAAATATGGTGGAATGTGTCTGAAAATGCGAATGTTAAGATATGGAAATTCATCAACAAGTCATTACCCAAGAAAATCGGAATAGTCATCATAGTTCATGTCATGAAAATCGAACAATAGGCAAAGCATAGGGAACTGGTCTGTACGGAGTACAGAAACAGGATAGTAACACATTGCTATCTCATGATTTCATATTAACGTAAATGGGCTCCATTGTGCGGACCTTCTTGGGGGACAGTGTCTTTACTTCATGGCTACGCTTCCGCTTCAAGTTATCTGTGGAGCGCTCAACGCCGGGCTTCTTGATGTGCCCAAATAGTTTTGCTTGAAGTAAAGTGCTAGATTTGCCTATGTTGGCAGGGACTTGTGGTTCCTCCTGGCTAGCACCAGGGAAGCGTCGCAGCATGCTGGTTGCAAGGGAGCTTGCTTGCGAGGCAGGCACATCTTCGTCGGTTACTGCCTCGTCAACGTCTGAAACTGAGATCGTGCTGTCACGATCATGCCGGTCGGCGTCATCGCGATCGTGAATGATAGGGTAGCCCACAGGAGGTGCCGTAGACCGTTGGTTAACCGGAGTAAAGAAATGAATTCGCTCAACCGCTCCGCCTCTTCGTTGAGGAGTTGTTGGTAACGATGAAAGGGAATGCGTGCCACGAATATGGCCGTGGCCCCTGTGGCTACTCTTTGATGGCAAGGAAGATTTGATGCTTGTAGCCTCCCCATGAAGCACTTGATCTGCGGCAAGGAGAACTGCAAAGGGGTCCTGGCCACCAACCCTGTTGACAGGAGACCGAGCGCTATCGGGATAACGGGAAATCAGTTTTTGTTGCGGAGTATGGAGTTCAGTACGCGGGCTGGAAGAAAGTGAGCCATGGTCCATCATGAGAGTAAAATGATCGCGATTATCCCGAATACGCTTTTTCAGTCGACAATTTTCTTCCATCAGTAGTTCGTACTTATCGGCATCTTCTTCTATAATTTTCGTTGCACGACGAAGCTTTCGTTCTAACACTAGATTTGTTTCTTCGAGCTCTTTGGCTCGATTTAATGCAGAGTTTAACACGGTATTTTGTTGCTGTTGTGGTGTTGGCAATGGTGATGGCGGGGATTTAACATGTTGAGTTTGGCGTAAACGGTATTCAGCGCTCTGCAAAATTTCAATTTCTCGTTTAGCAAGCTGCTGCTCAACTTCAGCACGCTTAATAGCCTCACTGCTAGTCATTGAAAGCAGGCTATGTTGAAGTTTGAAGTGTGCGGCAGACATTCGAGACTCCTGCGCCACGGATAAAAGCTCTTTTGCAATGATCCGAAGAGGTTCATCATTTGCAGTATCAATATCTGCCAGAGTGGGCAGACTTTCGGATGCGCCGTAGGCAACACAGAGGGTCTGATCCACAGTTGCTGGTGGTGAGGCAAGTAACGAGTTAGATCGGGAGAGGGACCGCCTGCGAGGTGTGGAAATATTCCCGAGGCTCTGGGAAGGTGGAGGAGTTATATCGGAAGATGAGGCAGGTATGCTAGGAGAAATAAACCCATTTTTCCCGAGGGTATTCGCTGGTAACTCATCTGACGGTGTTGACTGTCCGCTTCGGGCCTCTATTGGGGTTTCCGGGATAGCAATCTCAGCAGCAGGCTCCAGGGATGCTTGTTTTTGGGGGAGGTGATCTGCCATGATCATGGTATCTATACTGAAGTCCTGCAAACAAACTTGGTTTCCGCCAGATCCTCAAATTCGCGGAAAATAAGCAATGTATCTGGTAGCTTATATGTGGAGGAATACACAAGTAGGTTCCAACTCGAAGTGTACTGACAATAGTTCCCGTAACCAGAACTGAAGCAGATGGAGAGTCGGAACGGGACCGGCGGTGGACAAGAATGAACAGCAAGATGCAAACAGCCGATTCGACACGGGGGGTTATCACAAAAACAGCGGGACTCGAGAAGGGAATCGCGATAGTTTGGAGGAAAGGAAGATAGATTGCAAACAGCACACACAGCGAAAATATAGAGAAGAAAAGGGCGGATGAAGGGCAGATGAAGGCTGGTGTTGACGGGGGGGCGGGATGCGGTGTTGATTGGATTGCGTTGGTTGTCCAGGTGGCCGGCGCTGGTGAGGCTGGGCGTTGGGCTGGATACGGTTAGCGCCAGGTCGCTCCAGCCCCATCACGTGAAAATGATGCGGTCACGTCGGCGCCCACGGCAGCTAGGCCATATACGGTTGGTGGCTTCGGCGTTGTACCGTCGGATAGGTCTTGGCGTTTACTTAGTCATCAGGCATAAACAAATCAAAGCTTCAGCCGCAAAAGGGGCAGCGAGTTTGCTCACCCCTTGCAGAGATAGGCAACACTGCCCTGCAGGAGGCTGCAGACAACGACATGGGTGAAGTTGAGCTTTACAGCGAAGAATTCTGGAACCGTTTAACTTCACGAACGCTCCACCTATAAAAAAAATTTCACTCCACGTTTTTTTCCCCCAAAGTTGCTATGGACTGTACCTCTTTTACATCTTAATCACCATGGAGAGAATGGAGAGAGAGCCAGTAAAGCGACCGCCGCCAAGCGGCATTCCCCGTTTATCGAGACTACCATTGCCCACTACAGCGGCGACGAAAGCGATTCGACCATCCCCATCTCGAGAACGACTCCAAGCAGACCAAGGTCTGAACGTTTCACGGCTCCGCAGGCCATCGGAAGATGTGTTCAAAAAACCCCATCTCCCACCTCCTTCACAACGGAAAATATCAGAGAACGTATCTGCACGCCGAGAATCGTATTATAAAAGCCCATCAGTTAGAGCGGCAGCTTCCATGGAAAGTCTGTCCTCAAGGCGCAAGTCACAGCTTCACCGAGTTGAGACGGAGCCTTTATTGGAAGAGCGCACTGTTGAGACCCTAGCGCAGATCCCCTCATCTCCAACCCCTAGCAGGAGACAATCGGACTTTTTCAGGCCTTCCAGTCCAATACGTTCGCCCTCTCGCCCGTCATCAATAATCTATGAGCAACCGACATTGGAAATGGCGTCTACAGCAGCATTGACAGCAAGACTGCCGGTGGCCGAAGGATCATCAAAGCCTATGACACCAAAAAGGTCAGTCGGCAAGCTACGTGGTGTTTCTGGCGCTGCTAGAAAAGCCAGTCACAACAATCTTAAAGAAGATTCAGCAGTTCCTTTGTCTCGCACACCATCCTATGGGGATGTCAAGTCAATACCACTCCGGAATTCCACCTCCCGAAAATCCTTAAACAAAGCGTTTGATCACTTGAACTCCTTTACGCTCGGTGCTACCGGAGTCAGAGATTCTTTAAGGCTTAAAGAGCTTAAACACAGAAACGCCTCCTCTACCCGTTCCTCCACCCTTACCTCCCCAACATCAATTATATCAAAAGCTTCCCAACGGACTTCAGTCACATCTGGTAGCAATTGTTCTGATTCTGTCGCAACAACTCATGACTCAAAAAAGGCACCCAAGTCATCGAGTGCCTTGCGAGAAAGCATTGCAAAGGCAAAAGCTGCCCGTAAATTTATAAAGCAAAACAACTCGAAGGTTGACTTCGCTGATCCATTTGATAATCTATCCATAAAAGATCCTTTCTCTCCAATTCACAATGGGGGTTCAAATAAAGAAGTTCTAAGGAATAGGACAATGACAGCCCGAAAGTCAGGCTCCTTGAACATTGCCGCCTTAGGCTTAAAGGAACTCCCTCATGAAGTGATGACCATGTATGATTATAATCCCGAAATCAATGATAATTGGTATGAAACTGTGGATTTGGTCAAGTTAATGGCGGCCGATAATGAGTTCGAGTCTCTTGCAGAGGAAGCTTTTCCTGATATTGACCCGTCTGACATTGATTTGGATGAAGACGCAAAAGGCAACCAATTTGGTGGATTAGAAGTTCTTGATCTCCATGGAAATCTTCTTACCAGCCTTCCAATAGGCCTAAGGAAATTGGATCGACTTCATTCTCTGAATTTAGCAAAAAATCGACTTAATATGGATGCGATTGAGGTTGTTACGCAGATAATGAGCCTTTCAGAGGTAAAGCTGGGAAACAATGACTTAGAGGGCATGCTTACTCCCCAACTTGGTTCTCTTCAGAAGCTCGAGGTACTCGATCTTCGTGGTAACGCTTTGACAGGTCTGCCCGACAATTTGTCGGACCTAACGGCATTGCGTGTGTTGAATGTTGCTGAAAACCAGCTGACATCCCTTCCATTTAGCGCTTTGTCAAAACTGCCATTGGTTGAAATAAATGCTCAGAAAAATAGACTCCATGGCAGCCTTATCCCAGCCTGGATTCGTCGGATTGAAGGACTTCAAGTATTGAATATCTCAGGAAATGCTCTAGAGAAGCTTTCCGCAGGAGATACTTTGGAGCTGCCAAGCTTACAGCAGATGTTTGCCGATGCAAATCGTATTAAAACTTTACCAAACGTGTCATCCTGGAAATCGCTCCTTACGTTAGTAATGGAAGACAATCAGTTATCTAACATACCTCAGGGATTCACTGAGTTGAGGGTTCTCAAAAATGTTGATTTCAAGAGCAATAATATCAGTACACTTGACGAGAAGATTGGATTGATGGAAAATTTGGTAACCTTCCACATCGGAAATAACCCTCTTCGAGATCGCAGGTTTCTTACTTTGGATGCAGAGGATCTCAAGAGAGATCTTCGCACTAGATGCTCTGCAGAGGAGACTCCTGATGCTGAAGATGGTGAAAGTTCAGATCATACTGAATTCACACTGGCACCGGAGGACCCACAAACCTCGCATATGTGGCAATTGAAGTCCGGGGGAGTTTTGGATCGTTCATCCACTGAACTTTCTCGCTTGGCAGCCGAAGATTTAGAGCATCTCATCTCTAGCTCGGAAATCCGTTGTCTTTATCTTCAAAGCAATCGACTGGAGAAATTGCCTACTACTGCCTTGTCCCTGATTTCCCACTCTCTAACCGATTTGGATCTTTCGAATAACCCCATGGATGGCGATAACTGGATATCAACTCGGATTGAGCTTGCTCATTTACGGAATCTTAATCTAGCCAGTACCAGATTAAAGTCTCTTGATCCTCTCCAGAAGCTCCTCTTTGCACCGTTGTTGACATTCTTAGATGTCTCTGGCAACCGAATAGATGGTGCCCTTCCAGCTATGCGTACTAGCTTCCCGAAACTAATCACTCTTCTGGCATCTGACAACAAAATCGAGGCTTTATCTTTCCATGCGGTCCAAGGGCTTCAAACACTGGATGTAAGTAACAATAATATTGACAGCTTGCCCCCACGACTTGGTCTTTTGGGTGTCGAGCACTCCGGTGGTCTTAGGAGGCTGGATGTCTCTGGAAATAGCTTCCGGGTCCCAAGATACCAGATCGTGTCCAAGGGTACCGAAGCGGTGTTGGAATGGCTGAAAAATAGGATAACACCGGAGGAAATGAAGGAGTGGCAGGGTGATGTTGAAGAGGGCTAGTTCAGTACGGTACATCTGCCATATAATTCCACTCACCCAAATTTCCTCGAGTGATGCAGGTCGTATTTTTATTTCATATTGAAGTTTTATTCACACTACCTAGAGGTAGCTGCTGAGGGTTTTATATATGTTTTATTCCAAGTAGCCATTCAAATTGAAATATTTTCGAAGATTCGTTATGGGCTAGAGAACATACGCATCCCCAGCTAGACGGATGACAATATAGTGTTAACAAAAGATGTAACAAGAGATAGTTAAAGGTTTCTCTACTCTTCCCTATCCTTTACAAGTTCATCAGCTACTTTCAGCCAAACTGATCCCCACTCTGAGAACTTATCCTCAACTTCTTTTCTCGCCGCCTTGTCCCCCAAAATGCTATGAGTAGCTTCAATCGCCCATGGCTCTCGTAACAAATCTATAGTTTCGAAAGCACGATCCCGCAGCTTTAGGCTGTATGCATCGGCGAATTCCAGATTGCCTTCATACAACGAGCCGGCAGCTTCGTCGACCAAATTAGGTAGATCTCGAAGACAGGCAGTGAGAGTATCGAGCTTGGAACATATTTTTGGCAGGATAGATATATCGGTTATTTTCTTCAAACGATGTGCTATAATGGCCGTGTAGAGTTGTGTGGTGAGCGTGAACAAACGGAGCAGGTAATTTTTTTCGTCCACGAGTTTTCCAGTCCGATTCCCTTCTTCACTATCTTCATCCCCATCTGTAGCCAGTACATGGCCTATCTTGCCACCCATATTGCCTTGAGTATCATCCTCTCCGTCATCTCCGAATTCATCATCCCATAGGCCGTCGTCACCGTCATCATTTTCGGGATCCCATTCCTTAAGCTCTCTAATACAATCTTGCACCAGCTCCAGGTGTTCTTTTGCTTTTTTTATCACTAACCCCACTACGCCATCCGATGCGATTGTGGCGATCTGGTCACAGACTTTCCATACCCTCCCCGTCGCTGTGGTGATGCCATGTTTTTCATCCTCACCTAGCCTGAAACTCTTATTCTCTTCGTATTTTATAGAAACATTTTTAATATTCCGGATAAGTACAGTCAGTTCGTGCAATATATCTTGAACCAGCGTCTTAGCATCGCCATGAAATGTTTGGGTGTACTTCGCAGGGCTCAATAGTAATGCGGCGGCAGTTAGTGATGGGAGAGCAGAATCGTTCACTTCTGAAAGTATGGTACAGATTGCAGAAGGTGTGAAAGGCGTGTTAATAGCCAGTAAAGAAATTTTTGTTGCCTGCGATTTGAGTGCTTGTGTGGAGGCGGAGAGCAGGAGAAGCGGGGAGGGGTGTTCGTCAGAAACGGCGGGACTGGGGGATGATAGTGAGGAATTCAATTTGTCAGACAGGGCTACAGTAGTATCCAGAGCTTTCCACAATCTCCCTGCCATACTATAAATGTGCGGAGCGCCGAACAGCCTTTAAATAAAGGCAACAGGTACGAAGTAATTATATGTTTGGTTTCGTGAAGTTGTTCGTCGAACTAGGCTCCGGGAAATTCTTTCTCCCACTCCGAAATTCAGAACCGCCGCAGATCAACCTCAATACTCCCTTAAGCACTGTTGCTTTTGTCGTGTACTCCGTACGGAGTACTCCAAACTTCTCTTTTGCTTTAGTGGAGCAGTATTCTAAAGGTTGAAGCCCCAAATTAAGTAAGCTACTGCACGCTTGCTATTTTTTGCGTTGGTAGGCATCGGGACTTGAGCACTTAACCCTCGTCTTTACTTTTCCTAGAAGTCTGCAGGTTATTTATACGATAAAATGGCCGGGGCTGATGGATTATTAGCCCTAGATAATCAAACGAAATTCGCCATTGCCTAGTTCCTCCATCAACCAAAAAAAGTTTTTATAGTCGTTATGGGGTAGTAAACAGGTTTAACATTGTGACAGTGGCGAAAGTCTTGCCTTTGAATTACCGCAAAAGATGGGGAAGACAAAAAGACCAAGAGTTATACAATTCTCGATTACTATGGAGATCCGGATGAAGACCATAATTCCTGTTATGGTGTTAGCCCGCGCTCGGGAGCCTTGATAGTCATTTGACCAGGTCTAGGAGTAGGATTATTAACAAATACATTGAGCAGTTCTATAAATAGCGGTGGAAGTCTGGGAAGTTTTCATAATAGGTACAAAAAATGGAGTATTCTGTTAGCACCCCTGATAGTATTTGGGTGGGAACCTTGATATGTATTTGAATTGGAATTCTAGAAAATACCTCGTAATTTTCCTGGTATAATTCATGAGTACAGGGTATTATTGGTTCCTCTATACTCTGTATGTCCATACGTAGGTATGCAGTTAACTAGCTCACGGATGAATCGCTATTCCACATGCCGCCTAGCAAGCTGCAAACAGAGCAAACTTGCCATATCTTTTCGAAGCTCGAAGCAGCGCAGATTGCTGTGATACAGCTCTCGCGTTGCTAAAAGTTAGGAATGGGCGCAGCAAAACCACCGCGTGCCGCAAAATCCGCGCCGGCAACAACTCAATCCCTTCCCGAAAAGACCTTTATTATCGATAATGGCGCGTACACGATAAAAGCCGGCTATGCACCGCCCACCACGGACGACACTGCCCCCTCCAATCCTTTTTCATCGTGTATGCTGATTCCAAACGCGCTGGTAAAAACGCGTGATAAACGAGTTTATATCGGTAGCCAGCTAAATACGCACATTACTGACTGGAACGAGGCACACTTTCGGCGGCCAATCGAGAAGGGCCTCATTGTCAACTGGGAAGCTCAGAGGGAGATATGGGAACATAGCTTTTTTGACGAGAAGGTTGCGCGCAAGCCGGAAGTGAGATGCAAAGACCCGGGGGATACTACCTTGGTTTTAACCGAGACACCGAATGCCATGGTTGCGTTGCAGAAAAATGCAGATGAGATGATTATGGAGGAGTGGGGGTTTGGCGGTTACTTACGCTGCGTTGGCTCGCCGTTGAATGCGTGGAATGAAATTCATTCTCTATTTGGCGATCCGATAGTTCAGGATGGAAGTTCTGGAGCCTCCCCTGCTGAGTGTGTACTGGTTGTTGACTCCGGGTATTCGCATACTACGATCACGCCTGTATACCAAGGCCGGCCGTTGCAACGCGCGATCCGCCGGTTGGATATCGGGGGAAAATTCATTACAAATTATTTGAAGGAGCTAATATCAATTCGCCACTACAACGTCATGGATGAGACCTATGTCATTAACAAAATTAAGGAAGCTGTATGCTATGTGAGCAGCGACTTTGCTGGAGATCTAGAAAAGGTCCAAAAGAGCAGCAAAAAGGGGGGAGGCGATACTTCTGGGGATGGAATACTGGTGGATTACGTTCTCCCTGACCCAAATGCGGGTACCTCCGGTTTTGTGCGTCCACACGATCCTCTGCTAGCGGCAAAGAAGCGGAAGAGTCTTCTCTCAGGCCCCCAACCCCCCACCGTGGAAGAGTTTCTCGTCATAGGCAATGAACGTTTTGCCGTCCCTGAAGTCTTGCTTCACCCAGATGACGTTGGTATGAAACAGCCAGGTATCGCTGAGGCTATCATGCAAAGCCTATCTACCCTACCTACAGGCTTACATCCGGTGTTTCTCGCCAACATCCTCGTAGTTGGTGGCAATGCGTTACTACCCGGATTAGTTGATAGATTGTGAGCGTGCGCCGTTCCCACCCTCTCAAGCTAAGCTTACCTCTGAATGACTAGAGAATCGGAGCTCCGGCAACTGGCTTCAGCAGAATGCATTGTTCGAGTTCGGAAGGCACCTGAGTAAGTTTCCTCCATGCATTCAAATGAATTCGCCCCCCCATGGTTTATCATAGGTTTCTGACCCGCCTCTATTAGCCCGATCCGGTCAACGTGGCTTGGGGCCTCCCGGCTGGCGGGCAATCGAGCAGCACTGAAAGGAGTTGCTATCACACGACAGCAATACCAGGAATACGGTTCCGCTTGGGTAGGTAGGAAATTTTCTGGGGCTATTTGAATTTTTCGGTGCTTTTCTTTTTTGTTCTCTTTTGTTCTAAATTCTATTGGCGGCATTAAAGGCGCATTCTTACTACCCTTGCATTAGGGGCTGGAGGCATATTGGTCATATACCCGTATATTTTGGCGACTGGAGACAGATTCAGGCGGTGTTGTTTAATCGGTTTTTGGCATTTTTTTCGGGTGTATTTGAACTATTCCGTACTCCATACGGAGTACGGAGTACTGCGATCTTGTAAAATTGCGTCACGGTTTCAGTCGCGGTTCCGGGCTCCATTGGCGGTGCGAAACCCCTGCATAGCCATGATTAGTAATGACGCCCAAATAGTTCGCCTTGCAGAAGCTGCGAGTCAAAGCCATGCACTCCGCATTCAACAAACCCACGCCATTCTTCGGGAGGATCGGCCGGATTTAGTAACGGAAGACGCAAGTTAGGCTCGTACATACTCCGTATGTGCGTGATGATACACAAAGAAGTCAAAAAAGACCGACGATCGAACTGGGACTCAAAGCCAGCCATCGATCACCAAGCCGTGATTTCCTCTTCGTCCACCGCCCCCTATCTGGCCGTTTTTTGCCGAGCTCGACGATACTCTGATTCGGAACCCAAGCAAGCTAACGCCCGTTCCCCATCCCTGCCGCCCCTCGGAATCTGGCATGATTGGCTCTGCCTGCTGGGCGTCGTGTGCCCTGCCGGCTCGCCCACACACGTGCACGCACTGAGGCCGGCCGTCTCGTCTAGGCAGACTGCTGGCATTACGAAGAGGATCTCCAGCGCTTCGCTTTGAGGGATTTCCCGGCGGCGACCCAGCCCAGCATGTCTATGATGGGCGGCGGCCAGCCGCCCATGATTGGGCTAGCGCTTCTCCACCCGCAGGCTGTTGTGCGGTCTTTCATGCGACGTTTCTTTCATGGCAAGACCCAAAAAAAACAAATTAAGCAGCCAAGCCAGACTCCATATCTTGCGCTCGAGGTTCGAGCAAGGGCACCCCGAGCCACTAAACAGTTTGGACTCGGTAGTCTGCCTTGTTTATCAAAGGCAAATTCGTGGCTCAATAATGGACACAGTTGGTTCTGCAAATACGCGGCTTTCCTCCTCCCTAAAACTATTGCGTCTCCAATGCTGTTCCTCCTGCCAGTGTTGGCGGGTAGCTGGAGCGGACAATGGGTTTTCTTCGATTCACTCTGAAGGAGCACACCAGAGCAACTACTTGAACTTCGAGAATACGATGATGCATTGTTTTCCTTAAGGAGACAGTCCCTTTTTATATATAAAAATGGTTCCTGCGTTCCCTACCATCACCGACGTCGGATATTCCGCAAACCCTCACCCTAAGAAGCCAGCTCAAATCGGCACCGCGGAGCCCTTATCTGAGTGGCCAGAACTACCTGGTTTGGAGGAGGTAGGCATCGGCGGGGAGCTACCCGCAGATTGGTTTGAGCACCCGTGCCCGCCTGAGCTACAGGATTTTCCGGATACCACGCCGGGAGAGCTTCTTCGAATCCTGAGAATGTCCATCAAAGAAGCTTTTAGCAAGAACTATGAGGATGAGAAAGAACTCGTCGCTTCAGAGCCACCTAAAAAGCCACCATCGCCGCCCGAGGCCACCCATCAGATTTCGAAAACTGCCATAAGAACCGATGGAGAAATGCAAAGCGCACGCTCATCTTCGAATTTCTCCGATAGGAGTTGTGCGCCTTCAAGGAGTGGTTCAACAAAGTCAACGGTCGAGAAGGTGTCAATATTAGGGTCAAAGGATATTCTAGGTTTAAAATCCTCCATGGTCACAAGATATACTCTGCAGTACGTTTGTCCATGAAAAACTTCGATACCTTGACTTATACTCATGCTTTGCTTTTGTAGGGAATGCGCCAGCTGCTTTGAAGGCATCATCGAGAAAAATTTACTGCGTCTCGAGTGCCAACATAGATACTGTTACAAATGCTTCGTTAATTTAGTCACTACCTCCATGCACAACGAGAGCCAATTCCCTCCGCAATGCTGTCTCTTAGATATTCCCATTAAATTAATTCTTCATAATTTCGACTCTGCAAATCGCGATCTTTTCAAACAAAGGATGATAGAGTATTCAATACCTCAGCAGAATCGCTGGTATTGTCCATCCGCTTCCTGTGGAAAATGGATCGATCAGAAAAAGCTCAAGAGTTTGGCCCCTACTCCAAAATGTCCTCATTGCAGAACTAGATTCTGTGGTTACTGCCGGGGCAATCTGCACAATACGGCATCAGAGTGCCCCAAGGATGCCGGCCTGGAAGCTACACTAAAAGAGGCAGAAATGCATGGCTGGAGACGATGTTACCAGTGTCACGCGATGGTCGAATTGTTGGCAGGTTGCCAGCATGTGACATGTAAATGTGGAGCAGAGTTTTGGTATGCTATTCGAAATCCCTATTTGAGCTGTTTGTTTTGATGCTAATTATGCTGGACTGAGCTAGCTACACCTGCGCTGCCCCTTGGAGAACATGCCAATGCACAGAGAATGATCAGCGGCTCCGTGAAGAACAACTTCAAGCCCGCCGTCGCATGAGGAATGAAAATATAGAAAGAGAAGAACGCGAATTAGCCGAAGCTTTTGCTGAGATTGACCGTCTGGGAGTTGAGGAATCGAGCCGACAAGAAGAACAAAAACATTTCATGTATGAAAGGAGACGTAGAAATGAGGATCAATTTCGCGAACGAGAAGCCCAGCGGATATTATTAGTTACTGAAAATACACGAAGCTTACGACAAGCGCTGACTCGGATCAATACATCACAACAAACAATACTAAACATGAGACATGAATCAAGCGCTAAGTCTATACTATTGAAAATACAGACTGAGCACAAGCGACTAGAAGAAAGGTGGCAGCAATTGGAGCGAGCTCTCCAATCCAATATCAAAATTCGGATCGATGCTCTCTCCCGTGCCCAAGAAGTGGAAATACAGGAATTGGTATCAAAGCATGAAGACGAGGAAGATGAAACTCTCATAAGTATGTCAAGACATCTCAAAAATAAACCCAACCGAGAAGAACGCCAGAAATCCATCATGGATAAGCTTAAGGCAGCACAAGATAGGGAACTTCGCGTAATGCACGGCATTCACAAGGAGGCCCTGGATAACTTAGAGTTCCAAACTAGCCTTGAATTCAAGGCTCTCGAGACAGGTTTAGCCAAGGAATCTCAAGAAGCTTGTCCAAGCATTGAACGACGCTCTGAATTTGCCCGAGAAGTTTTGATAGAGCGGCATTGGTTCCACTTGGTCACGAAGAAACGGACTGAACTCCTAGAATTACAATGGAAACGTCTATTACAACGCAGGACATCCTCTACAACAGCCTCATGTTCATCCTCCTTTTCCTCCTCAGCAGGGCTGCGTCCAAAGCAGCTACACTTCACCAAATTCACAGGGCCGCCATCTCCCCCGCCATCTTACCCCCCTCCTCCCACTCCAATTTCTCGCCCCTTTCTATCACCTGCCCCCGTTCGTCCTTTTACTCCTTCGACGACGGACTTTCCACGGCCACCCACGTGCCCGCCGCCGAAGCCGCCTGTTGGTACCTCTGTGACGACGTCTCATATGCACAAGAAAGAGCCAAGATCTCTGAAACAGTTAATATTGACGAACTCTCGCAATCGACGGCTCAACCGATCGGCTTTTATGGCAATGAATAGCTAAACTTGACATTTAGGCTACTGAGTCTATATCCCTTTTTGAACCCTTATTCTTTTAATTTGTTTTTTGTTTGATGATCTCTGTCCTGTCATTTCCCTAGTTTTATACCCTTCCGATGCATGCTTTCCATACGTTCTTCAAGCCAATACTTGGTGATTATTATCAGTACAGTTGCTTTGACTCCTTTTACACATTTCGATGTTTAGTAGATCTCGCCAAAAGTATATTTCTGGCCTTTAATTGATGTAGTAAATGATAACATGAGACAATGTTTTCTATGAGGAACTTGATGGAAACTACACCGTTTATTGATGGCAACAAAATGTGGTTACTTTTCTATAATAGGTCTATAGGGTTTACAACCCACTGGCGGAACAAACAGAATCTAAATGGCAAATTGTCCGTAGTCGCAATTAATAGTCGTAGAATCCCTTTCCTGACTTCTTGCCTAACCAGCCTGCATCAACCATTTTCTTTAAAAGACCCGCAGGTCGATACTTGCTGTCCCCTGTCTCCTGGTGCAACACGTTCATAATAGCAAGGCAAGTATCAATTCCAATGAAATCAGCCAGAGTAAGCGGTCCCATGGGAACATTAGTCCCATACTTCATAATGCTATCAATATCCTCCCGTGTTCCGATTCCGTTTTCTAGGCATGAAATTGCTTCATTGATATATGGCATAAGGATGCGATTAGCTAAGAAGCCGGGAGAATCCGTCGAGCGGGCAGGTATTTTGCCCATTCGCTTCATGAATTCGAGGGTGGTATCGATGGTGTCCTGCGATGTCTGCAAGCCGGTGATTATTTCCACGCCCTTTTGAATGGGCACAGGGTTCATGAAGTGGGTAGAAATGACCCTTGAAGAATTCAACAAATCTTTTGGATCCGTGGTAGTAGCGGCTGCGATTTTGGTAATTGAGATGGAGGAGGTGTTTGTCGCAAGGATGGCGTGTTTGGGAGCAATGTGAGCGAGCTTGGAGAAGACTGCAAGCTTCAGATCAGGAATTTCAGGAACGGCTTCGATAACGAAGTCTACATCTGAAACATCTTCAAGCTTTGTCGTAGGCGTGAGCATTGAGCGAACTTTCACTGCAGCGTCTTTTGTAATGCGCTCTTTGGCAACATCTTTCTCCAAAAGCTTATCTACATATCCAGTTTAAAACACGTCTTTCTATCCATTTAAATAAGGACCGTACCAGCGAACTTAAGGCCTTTATCCAATGATGTCTGTGAGCTATCAACCAAAGTAACGGGAACACCAGCTTTCTGGGCTGCAACTAATGCAATACCCAGACCCTATCAATTCACATTAGAAATTTATGAATGCTGAGTTCCTCTGAACAGGGCAATTGATTACCATCTGACCGGCGCCAATGACACCAATCTTGTTCACCTCAGCTGCGGCTTGTGCGGCAGGTGACAAGCTGAAGGCCCTGGTACCAATGGCGGGAATGCCTACCGAGAGGCTTTTGGTAACTACTGTACGGAACATTCCTGAGTCTAGAGAAGTAAGGAGGTGAGGGAATGGGTAGGGAGTATAGAACAATTAAGCAATTGCGAAGCTGTGAAAATGTTGCTGCACGGAGTACGAAGAACAACCGCGGCCAAGCGGTCATCATGTGCCACACGTCATTAGCACCGGGACATCGGCTAATCTCGGAAGAATAGTGAATTTTGATGACTCAGCGCCTCGTCGCGTCACGACGCGTCAAGGATTGTCAACCATTACTCGGTAATGACCGAGAAGACAATGAAGTGCTAAAAATGCAATTATCTCAACATACTCCGGACGATGAACGACTAAGCTAGAACTGTTGCGCTGCCACCTATAACCAGCCAGCGCAATCATGGACATTGAGCCTTCTCAGCCCACAGAAGTCGTGGATTCCGAAGTGCGCGGCTATGTTTACAGTCTCGTTACAGCGGTCAGTTTATTCTTGAATTGGCGTTTAGGCAGCTTTAAGCTCACGTTTCCTAGCTTGGTGGCACTGCTGGTGATGAGTCGGGGCAATATGTACTGGGCGACGATGCGCTGGGCTGCCTACGTGACCTAAAGAAGTGGTTGAAATTTTACGACGATAAGCTGAATCGTCTAGATGTTGCGCGATGTTTAGCGGAACGGCAACTCGTCGCCGGCGATTTGGTACCGATTATATCGCTGTATAGTGATACTGAAGAAAGCAATAAGCATAAGACAAGGGTTCTGCTAGCTTGTCGTGCGTGCAATGTTGCTCATCCTCGCCTTCTTTTGATACATTTTCTGACTTTGAGCGATCCACAGTGGAATTGCTCGTTCCATTAACATGGCCCGTCGAAGTACATAACAAGATGACTGTGAATCATCATAGGCATACTCCCTTCCTACAATATTCTCAAATCGAATATAAACGCGAAATCCTTGGGTTCACACCTGCCCCGATCCTTCGCACGATTATCCGAATTGGGCTGCCGTGTATAGCTGTTCCGCGCTCCGATAGGTCTAGTAGAGATGAGGGAATTATAAAACTTATGCTCTATTTCTTTCGAAATCTTGCTATGGTTACTCCCTCTAAGATTTCTGTTGACGGGGACGATGATCAAGCTTCAAGATCAGCAACAATAAATGCATTTCAGCAGCAGGATGTCTTTGCCTTCTTGTTAACTTTGTGTTCTAATATGGGCAACGATTTTACCCTTCAGGATACTATTATTGTTGAGATATTATTCCATCTTGTTAAAGGTGTCGACATCAAACAACTCTTTAGCCATGAAAAAGAGTCTACAATAAATAATGAGCTGCGAGACATTTTACACGAAGAGTTTGAGCTAAATCGAGGATACGCCAAAGACGCTCCAACTAGACATGGTCGCTTTGGAACCATGATCTGGGTGAAAAGGGAGGATGAGAAAGTCTCTACTGTCTCCGGTCAGGATGTGTTAAAGGGAGAAAGAGAAGCATTTCTAAAAATGGACAAAACGAAGAAATGGAACGCACCCAGGTACCGAAAAGGAATTTCTGATCCCTCTTCTAATAACTTCAACATGAAAGTGACCCTCACGTCATCAGCGGTGACACATCTCCGAACTTTCGTGGAGGAATTTCTGGATTCTGGATTCAACCCACTCTTTACTCACCTACGGAAAGTAATTGAGCGCGAAGCGGAGCGTGTTACAGACTCTACTCCACGACACTTCTGGTTTGTTATCTCGTGGTTTCTAGAGGCAGAACGAGCTCGTCGAGTGTACCAAAAGGAGTCCCGAAAGCAAAACAGAATGGCATCAAGAGACATTGAGCCAGATAGTTTTTCCCTTGTGGCTAGTGTACTTAATCAAGAAACATTTGTCAATCTCAACAGATACATGCAACAATGCATTGACTTCAAGGATTGGCAGGACTTGACGGCGGGTATGAAATGTTTCACACAGATTCTTTTAACGATCCAGGAAATGGCAAAATCAGATCTCGAGGAAGATCAAGAAATCGCGGAAAACATTCAAAGTCGAATCTTTTACGAGGAAACAACACATGACCGAATACTGTTCATCTTGCGAAATTATCAAAGTCAGGGATTCTGGTATCTAGATGCATGTACAGAGCTTGCACATGTTTTTCTTAGAATGCTAGAACATTACTCGAAGCAAAATGGCGATATGCAAATTCGATCACGGAGGCGGACGCGACAAAAAAGGGCTCAAGCCACAACTCCTAATGGAAATAACGATGAAGACGGGGGCGAGCAAAATTCAGACGATGAGGATATGGCGGAGGTGAATCGAGCCGCGGTTGAAAGATCTTTCGATTTTAAGAGATTTTCTGGCAAATTTTGCACACAAAAATCGGTTGACACTTTCTTCTGTCTCGCAAAGTACTATCGAGAGTTAAATACAGAGCAACTGAAACGAGCTCATCGGTTTTTCTATAGGGTAGCCTTCAAGCAGGAAATGAGTGTGCTCCTCTTCCGTGTGGACATCATTTCATTGTTTTTTAAATTAATAAGAGGCCCCGAAGGACTCGACTCTAGCAAGCCATCGTTTAAGGATTGGGAAGAACTTGTCAGACATATATTCAAAAAGCTTATCAGAAAGCTTGAGCAGCGGCCTGAGCTCATTGTTGAAATGCTTTTTAGTAAAATCAACTCCACCGCTTTTTATTTGGAGTATGGCCATGAAAAACAAACACTTTCATCAGAGTCCCGGCCAGCTACAGAGTTAGAAATCAAACCCGGCAATGCGTCTACCTTGGACGACAAGCTTCGTATCGTTATTGCTGCCCTCATCCAAGAGGACAAGAAAGGTCTGGTATTATGGGTTTGTGATGTTTTGGACTCGGCAGCCAACGAAAGATTAAGTTGGGAAATGGAGGCTGAAGCAAGAGCAGAATCCTCTGCTGACGAGCAGGTAGTGGCGCCAAAACCTCCTTCTATCAGTAAGTTTCATTTCGGCCTTTAATATGGTAACTACATTACTGCTGCTAATCAAAAATAGCCACATTGCCCAAAGATGAAGCATGTCGCACTGCGATGTTTAGAAATGGGCGTTTACGACTCCTCATGATGTTGTCTGGAATCGAGCTTCTTGGTGAAGACACCCTGGGCGCTTCGTGGATAGTTCCATCGTCAATTTCATCGTCCGTCTTGAGAGAAACTCATGCTATAGTCAAAAAGCATAGCGAAAGTTCATCCGAGACGGTCGATGGTACTAACCCGCGTGAATTACTCCGTCGAAGACGGATTGCAGATGCTGATTCCTCCTACCATGGGTACATGGAGAATGTTCACTTTGGGAGTGATTCGGAAGGTGGAGATGATGATTTCTTATTTCCAGCAAATCTTCCAGAAAGGGCAAAGGCTCTAAAGGCTTCGAAGAAGAAAAGACGAAGAAAGGAGAAGGGTGATGCTGATGGGGGTGGTATAGACGAGGAAATCCTGGAAGCCCGGCGGCAGGCCCGTGAAAACAATGCTCTGGCGAGGCGAAGAAAGATCAAAAGTGATTTGTTTGTTCATGCAAGTGATGACGAGTCAGATGAGGAAGCCGATAGGGAATTCTTCGCTAAGGAAGAAGAAAGAAGACAGGTTCAAGCCCAACGAGTAGAAGAGGCTTTGGAAATAGACGTGCTTGAGGATTCTTCTCCCAAGCCAAAAAAACGGGGCAAGACGGATCGCAAACGTAAATCAAGGGCACTGCCTGAGTCGGACAGAGAAGAAAGTAATGGCAGCCCGGCGAAACGTCGACGCAGCGAGCGTTTTCCAGAGCCCAACAGCGATGAGGGGCGCATGGTTGATGAAGTTTTGACCTCACCTTCACGTTCTCATACGCCCCCAACATCTGCCGAAGACGACCTTGCTCGGGGTAGATCCCCTGGTTCGACCATCTTTGCGAGCGTGGGTGTCGATAGTATGATAGCCAAAGTCCGGCAGCTTTCTAAAATGTCTAATGACTTGGAGAGCGACGTTGCTGAGGATGATGGAGCTCCCGTGGCTGCGACCACTCGTCGACGACGCGCCCTGGTGGGACTTGTGGTGGACAGCGACTCCGAGTGAAGGCTCGATTATGGTGTTAAATGATGCTATGCATTTACCATGATATACGGTGTCTGCCAGCTCGGCCCGTTCTGCTTTAGGGGCCATTAGATCGAACCGATAATAATGGCGACAACATGCGCAACGGGAGAAATAAGTCTTTATGATAAACGCATCCAATCGGTCTGCCGGTGATCTTCAATTGAGTTTGACGCCTAACCCTGGTTATGTAGTTAGTTAGTTAACTAACTAACTAACCAGTCGGCGTCTTGCCCGCCGTGCCAACCTGCGCCTTATGACTGATAGCGGGGCCCGTATCACTGAATATATATAACTGTATTGTGCTCGGGTTTTCTGAAAAAATTCGCTCACGATCCCTTCATCTCCAGAGCTTGACTTGACTGCTCTTTTGCTAATCTCCAAGAAACAATGGCGACAGCGCTCCATTATATCACTCTCGATGTCTTCACCACAAAGCGCTTCGAAGGGAATGCCCTGGCCGTTGTTTTCCTTGAAACTCCAGAACAGATAACCCAGGAGCAAAAACAGCTTGTGTCACGGGAGTTCAACTATTCAGAAACAATTTTCGTTCATCCACCTGTTACTGGACAACACACTCGCAAAATCGATATCTTTACGTTAGATCGGGAGCTGCCTTTTGCAGGCCACCCCACCATTGGGGCAACATATTGGTTCCTTCGATCTAAAGGGTATGGCACTACCGAGGTGCCACCGTCGACTCTTATTACAAAAGCTGGAGAGATCCCTATTTCTCCTGGTCCTGAAAATCAGATAGTGGGCGCATCAATCCCGCATAACGTGCGTATCCATGCAGCGAGAATGTCGCTTGCGGAGCTTCTCAGACTCCATCCGGAACTGGAACCGTATCTCGACGCTAGTACTAATGCCGATGGGTTTCCGGTGGTGTCCATTGTCAAAGGCATGTCTGCTGTGCACGTTTGCGTGCCTAACCTAGAGGCACTGGGGAAAATCACCACTCCTACAGGTGGGTATGAGATTCCCGCTGGTACGCCAGCAGCGGGTGGATACCTTGACGATGGATGGGATGTTCCTGGACATGTGGCAATTTACTTCCGAGTTCACAATATCTGGGACAAAAAGTTGCAGAAGACCGTGATTCGCAGCCGGATGTTTGCTGGGACACTGGAAGATTCTGCCACTGGCAGTGCGTGCAGTGGGATGTGTTCTTACTTGAGCTTGATGGAGGGCAAATCAGCAACATACCAGGTGGTACAAGGGGTTGAGATGGGGGGGAGAAGTGAGATCGGAGTGTGTGTGGAGTTAGAAGGGACAGGAGATAAGGTCCGATCCGTTCAATTGCAAGGGACTGCTGTTAAGGTTGCTGAAGGAGATATCCTGGTTAGCAATGAATAAAAAACAGGTATCTATCTGTTGTACATTTAAAATCCACTTATCAAAAATATTTTATCCAATATTCCCGGTGCGTTGACGTTCGGCCACACTCATGTCAAATGAATCGGTCATTCATACCCTAGTAAGTGCAGCAGACACATTGTATTTTATTGTGTGCTATTCAAGCTATTGTCAGGACGACATTCATCCGGAATTTTCCTTTGTGTAGGCCCAGATGGCACTTAGTTTACTATATGTTTCTTTTCAAATTAGGTTGCTTTCATACTCCTTTATTCCCTAAGAAATGCCCCATGGGCTTTTGGTGTTCGAGTGTTGTGCAATAAACCAAAGGGCTGGTCATATCACAAATACCAGAATCTTGATATGCAACCATGTCATCACCCAAACAAATGAACGCCACACATCCAGACTCGGCTCTTAAGGGACATGCCAGCAACATTCTAAATGTGAAAGCTTCTGGTCGAAAGTCTTCACTGGCAAGTTCCCTTCAGAATTTTGCAACCCGCACTTTCCATGCTTTGCCACGCCGGCGAAATGAAAAAGACAATGACGACGCGATGGAGGCTCCAAAGTTGCAGTATTCCTCCACAAAATTCCATGCTCCAAGGTCACCATCAAAACTGCCAGTCCGTCGAAGACGACCAACAATATCGACAAATGCGCTTAGATTTCCATCTCCAACAGAAATTCCGCCAGTCCCCCCCCTCCCAGAGTGGGCTTCTAAGTCAAGGATACCAACATTAACTCGAATATCTAACCCAGCACAGAGTGGAGGTAGATTGGGAAGAATGTATATTGGCATAAGTGCTAGCCCGGATATAAATCCCGCTGAGATAACGAACCGCATTGGCGATACAAAATCCATTGTCGCATATCAGGACGCAAAGGTCTTTTTGAGCTCGACTAGTGCAGACAGTCAGAATAAAAATGAGGAGATGGAAAGCTCAAAATGGAAAGAAGAAGAAAATACGAAAAAGCAAGAAATCATAGGCTGCGGACATCGGGACTCTCAAACATGGCGCAAACGCATGTTGTCTTTCAGTGGTAAACAGACTCCAGCTATGACAGCAGCATGTACTATGCAGGCGACTTTCACCGGTACTGGATTTTCAAAATCAACTTTCATGGCAGCACCTACACCCTCTTGCGTATTGAATATGCGAGAATCTTCGTCTCTTACCTCGTCCGTAAGCGTCCCAGGTGGGTTACAAATGATGCCGAGTGGAGCGATTCAACCAAGGCTAGGCCCATCTAAATCAAGCTGTACTGTATCGAGAGGGGCGTCTGTCAAAAACAACAGCCACATAAAAAGGAACTTGCCCCTACCACCAATTCCGGTGATACCTAAAAGTTACTCCATTGGGAACATAAGATTGAACAATCGACCGGGCAAATCACAAACCCGATTGTCAACACACGCATCTGTATACCCCAAGTCTCCAACTCAGGCTCAGGTAAAGCGAGGATCAACAATTAGTCACGTACTTAGCACGCCAACGAAAAACATTGGGACACGTCGAGAGCTAGGGACAGCTCAAAATTGTTATGCCACTGCACCCTGCTCCTCCGGCCATCTAAATGTAGCAGAAGCCCTTATCGACTTAATTCCACCCCGTAAGGCTGAGCAATCACAGCATGAAACTCGAGTGTCAGTATCTCCAGCTACCACCGTGTTTAGAGAACATCAGGTTCAAGAGGCGCAGCCAGAGCAATACTGGCTAGGGCGAATATCTACGCTCCTAAACAGTTTTAAATATGAGGAAGCATTCAATGAATCAGACCCATTTCTAGCTGTTCGCGCGCCATCAAGGACGAGATTATTAAAAACCTGGGGTATAGAGAGCATGGATGAATTCCATGCCAAAAGGGCATTTGCCGCTCTAGAAAAAGCATGCCTGACAAGTGAAGCCTTGAACAGTTTTTATTTTTTTAAGGAAGCTTACCAGTGTAAACTGATGAAGCCAAAATTTCGGGCAGTTGGAAAGAAAAACACAAAGCAAGGTGGGGTGGACGGGCGGCAGACCGCTTTGTGGGTTGGAGCGAATACTGATCAACGGGCCAACGAGGAGAGAGCGGAAACGAATGAAATCTGTTGAAATCAGTTTGAAAATACTTAACGTTGTTATAAAAGGGTACTGATTATGTATGTATAGGTTTGCAGAGTACGCTTCCAGGACGCTTTAGTCTGAAAATTGATTGATAAGACCATTGGGGCAAGGCGAAAAAGCAATGACCGGTATTCAAGGTTACGGGGGGAAATTCAGTGGAAATAAAACCAAGATTATGATGACCCACAGATTCAATCTGAAGAGTCGTTTCCCAGCACATGTTGGCATCCTAAATGTCCCAAAATATACTCTTAGCTTACCTACCTCGTATAAAACACCGTTATTCTTATGTACTTATTTCAAACATTCCAAGTCTTAGCTGCCAGAAGCTTTACTTCTCAGAAAGGCGGCAACCTGTTCATGTCTCGTCACAAAAAACATCCGTCTCTTTTCTGATTTCCATACCAGAACTCCGATTTCCTCAGCATACTTACACGGGGGCTCAAATTCTAGAGAAGAAGCAAAATCCTTGAATAGGAATCCCGGCGTTGCCTTGAGTCGATCTCGTTCCAATTGCCAAAGGCGGATCTGGTCAACTACTGTTGGTGGCAGAACAGATAAGGCTAAGCTGGCGGTATTGGCAGTAGACTTTGAAGCGTTCGACTTTCGCATTTGCGGATGAGCATGTGTCGTAAGATAGGAGATGATTTGATCTGCTGTGATTCCCATTTCAACAGCGCGGCGGATGGATTGGCGGGTGAGCTTTCCCGTAACAAGATTCGGAAAACGGTATTTTAATGTTGTAAACAAAGCTATTAAAGAAATTTGAAGTGGTGAAGAGGTATAGGCATACAACCGGTAATTCGTTTCGATAATAATGAAGCCTGTACCTGGGGCTTCGGTAGGGTCAGTCAAGTTGGAGCCTGTAGAGGTGAGAGCACCCGATATCGGACTGGACAGCGCCATGGAGTCAGAAGTAAGAGTCGTTGCAAGCCGTGTAGGGTAAAACCTAGAAGTGTCTGACGAAGGGGAGTGTTGATATACAATGCCGAAATCTGTTAAGTCGGCGAGGGTGCGAAGTTGCGTAGAAGTAAGATTTTTCTTCTCATAACACTGGCCAAGTTCAAGGCTACTGAGAAGAAATAGAAACGAGAGAACCTCCACACTGTCCATTCCTATCGCCTCAGCATTCTCGACGTAGAGTATAAGAATATGCCAGACTTGAGTATTGACATCTTGCAGAACAAATGCAAACCCTTCTTTAGTAATTTCAACTCTGCGATCGCGTACCTCCACTAGGTGACAAACTTGAAGGAGGGATTTCACTCCTTTGCTGAGTGATACGTTCTCACGTTGAATCCCCAAGGTATTGGTGCCAACCATGTAACCAAGCACACCTTCCCATTGGCGTCTAGCATAGGCATCCAAGTCAGAAACAGCCATTGGGTTCGTATCGGGTGCGCTAGACGTTACGCCAAATGACTGGCTCTTATCTCCTCCTGTAAGGGCTTGTCGAAGGGAGGATGAAAATGGGGTGGTAACGATATATGCTCGCAGGTGGCTGGAGGTCGTCGTGCTCGACAGAATATGCAATCGGCTAAGAATAGATAGAGCATTATCCCTCTCGCTTCTTTTGCATTAGCAGTTTGACCAGAAACAATAAAGTATCTCAAGGTGCTTACCGCTTACTCCCTGCCCTGACCCAGAGCTCCAAATCGGCAGCGGGCAAAGGGTCCTTCAAATAGAGGAGTGCCATGACAAAACATTTTGCTACACGAGCCAGAATCATCAACCAATATAGTCAGTTCAAATGAGAATAAGTGTTTAGATACCTAAGTCAGGTAGCATTCGACGAAAAATCGCCAAAGCAGTTGAGGGCTGCTGGTAGAGCTTCAGAAAGACGGTTCCAGGAAGGCTCTCAAGATACTCGAGAGAGCGAGAAGAGGAAACGACCATCTTTACTTTGGTGACGGCTATGCGCCGTTAATAACCTCACCTATCTATCATAACGGGACAGGAAACTAAGGATGATATCTTGCCACGAAGAAATTCCCTTGAGACGCTGAGTTGAGGTTTAGGGAGGTGACTAAGCAATGAATGCTAAACTCGACGTCATACTCCAAAATACGAAGTACTCTACTCCGTTATTGGGTAGTTAGTACATCATACTCCAGCGGAAGAGTAGCATACAAAAAGTAATAGGCGACTATGACTGTCTTGAAATTTGTTAGATCTGTAAGTTTATATTCTCTCATATGCTGTCGTTTTGTATATTAATTCTCACGCAGGTATGGGGGTCGTTTCGAGCTACATCAGGACTGGAGCCGAGGTACTCATGACAATCAGCATTTTGCTCATTATTCCAAGCTAATAAGAATGCTCTCTCAGATTGCTAGACAGCGTATGTATTATACCATCACTACAATCGGTCCTGGAGCTATTTGTTGTTCATAACCAAGAACGATGTTTTCATTCTGACCATATCCTACTTCAGCTACGTATCACTGCTGCTCGACCTGGCGTGGTCCACTTTGAATTAAACATTGAGAAACAGCATACTGTAAATCCCCTTTGAAGTTCTGGGCCATAAACCCACGTCTAATAACAGTATAGATCAACTAATAATAATTGAGGCTAGAATCGGTTGAACATACTTCATGGTGGAACCATTGCCAGTATGGGTAAGATTTCCACTGTACCTAACACCGCATCTACCAGTCTATTTTGCTATTGACCATTATTTAGTTGATCTAGGGGGTTCTCTCGCTGTTGCTTCTAGAGGCCTATTCGCTACTGGCGTCTCCACTGATCTCAACGGTACAGGCATTAAAAAATCATAGGTCTTTTCCCCTGAACTTCTAACCTAGATGTATAGTGACATATCTGAGCTCCGGGGGCAAGGTTGGGGATAGGGTTCTTGCAGTATGTAATATATTGGCACTACAAAATATTTTAATATTTGTAGCTGGAACTAATTGATGCTTTAGGAGGTCACTTGTGACAAATGTTAGAACAACAGTTTTCTACTGCTATATCTTGTATTTTGACTCTTGACTTATGCTAACATCAGTGTAGTCGGTAAAAATCTAGCATATACGTATATCACGTTCACGAACTCAAAAAACGAAATCGTAGCAAGGGGTAGCCACACAAAGTGGGTTTATGTTGACTATAATCTGTCGCATCTCTTGTTTCTTTATATGGACAGACTAACCCTTCTATAGATATGTGGCCCATGCATTTAAGGACCCAAGAAATGCTGTTGAAGAACTGACGCCAAATTCCTAATGTCTACATTAAAATGATACTACTTGAGACAAATCAGACAATATAGAAGTTACAAGTTTATGGATCAAGCTGCAAAGTTTAGTTGAATTAGTTGAAATTCGGAAAAAAATATAAACCAACATAGCCGATAATGTTACCATCCGTCTTTATCGTTGCTCAGACTTTTTTCCTGGAAATTTCGTATTATACAGTTGCAGAACTCCCGCTGAATGCACATCCTCTTGCCTCCTAGATTTTTGTTATTGATCAAGTAAGGGTCAATTCAAACATCACTCCAACAAAGTCTCTCGCGCCGCATCATTCTCATAATCGTCTTCGCCGGGTCCCTGGTCAGAATCATCTATTGGTGTGGCATGAAGAACGGCCACGTCTTGCCCCATAGCTTTGACCATAGCTTGGGTCATTTCGTACACATACTGCCCCATATGTTCAATGCCCTCCATTGGAGTCCCATCTATCTCCGCGTCAAGGGCTCGATCTGTTGGAAACATTTCTCCAGGTAGTAACATGAGTTTATCCGGTCGCTGGCTAAGAATATCAAAAGCCGGTTTCAGCTCAAAGCACGACTGAAAGACTTCACGCCGGCCCAAGATGTATAATCCTAAACGCGCACGTGAGAGTGCAACAGTCAGACGACGGACATCTCGAAGATAACCCACCGTTTTGGTACGGGTGAGAGATAAGATTATATCTGTGGAGGTGGTAAGAAAATCATGAACGGTTCAGTATTGGTTGTAGAAGGACTTACAGTCATTTTGCTCTCCTTGGTATTTATCGACCGTTGTCACTATCTTGGGCAAGCCAAAAAGTGAATTCTTTGCGCATCGGTGACTTAACACGTCTCTGATCAGAGCCTTTTGCCCTGCATATGTAGTCAGGATAGATATCTTAGAGGATGCGTAGCCGAGAAGTCGCATGTACTGGAATATGGCCACAGCATATTCCGCTTCTCCAAGGTTCTGAATGAAATGTGGCGACGGTTCCCTTTCACCAGCCCCCTGATAACTGGGTACGTTAATAAACTGGTAATCGTATCTAAATCCTGCGTTGGCAGTCTTGAATTCCTTTTCAGTCTCAACTGTGGAGAGGTTACCCAGGCTGTCGTATCTCCATTTAAATAGCTCCGCAATCGATGGGCGGGCTCGGCCCTGCTGGTCTAAGTTGATAGTTGGTACACCGAGCCTGACTAGTCGGAGGAAAAGACTTTGCTCAAAGTTAGCGTATTGTCGAAAAGCGATATTTTGGATGATTGGCGAGTTTTGAAGATGATCGCCGCACAGCACCACTCTCTTCAGGGGCAACTCTCCGCGTTTTGTGTTTTGCAGGGCGCATGGAATCACACTCTCAATTTCAGTGATTTGAGCTGCTTCCTCCATTATAACATTATCATACTGAAATCCAAGCTTCGCAATCTCCTCCCGCCGCATAGCAGCATGCGTCGAGGTCATCGCAATAATCCTAGCCTCCTTAACTAATAGATAGTTTGCCCTGTCCCGCTGTTGCCGCAGGATTTCAAATGGGCGGATGTCTTCAAGTTCGGAAAACAACTTGTCAATGTGGCGCTGGCAGCCCGCTGCAATTTCCCAAATTTCCTCTAAGGAAGCATTGCTCCTAAAGAGTGGCTGGGGAGCATTTGAAAAGAAGGAATGAAATGGAAAAGCCTGGATAATGGCATCTGGTGAAGTAGCTGCGTTAGCTTTATCCCAAAATTTAGCCCACGCAGGTTGCGTATAAACCGTATTAAAATAACCGGCTGTTTCGCACGAGTTTCCATGAGCGCCTTCTGCACCTATAGACGATGCCAGACGGCCGACCTCTGCAAGAAGCCCGGCTCTGTTTTCTAGGAAAGATTCAACCCTGCCAAATTTGCTATAGCTAACATCGCTTTCGAGGTCCTCTTCTCCCCGGCCAAGTCGCAGAAGATGTCTCTCGTCAATGTCAAGCGCAATGATCTTTTGGAACAGTTGATTTAGTGCCTGGTTGCTATGAGCGATGAGCAATGTTCGCTCATTGGCAAAATTGTGGTATAAGTTGCTGATGATTTGAGTCGCGACGTCTGTTTTTCCTGTACCAGGGGGGCCGACAATTACAGTCAAGCCTGGCTGTGTGCCAGAAACAATGGCATTTACTTGAGCAGGTGTGAATCGTATTTTATTCACCTTCGGAGTATCCATTGGGTAAGGACCTTGATTAATAGGCTTGTAGGTGGACGCTCGTATCAAACTTCGAGCAGGTTGTACAGATTCGTCGTGATTGCGTCTTCTTTTTTTTGGCGGGTTGAGTGCTTCTGCCGTTGGCTGACAATCGCTCATCTCCAGTACGTACGGTGGCCCAAAAGGAGAACTACCATGTTCCTTTGGTTCTACGACATGACCCGGAAAGCTGTCTTTAAGATGTTGCCAGTGCAGAAAAGTGTCTCGAAAATCAACCGACTTCAGCTTGGCTCCCATTTCCGGATAGCTTGCACTGCGCGGGTCGCCATACCCCAAGAAGACCTCTTCTAACCACGAAGGAAGCTTGGTGTCGGTGATTGCTAGGGATCGGATCGTCTCAAGAATAGACTTAAAATTATTCTCTCGGCTTTTTCGTCGCACCAACACGTTAATCGACATGTAAATATCCGGTTGCTTTGTTTCTAGTTGATTCAAATCTGCCTTATATGCGCTGGCGTCCAGATTCACCAATAACCTTCGTTGGAAGGGACGAGATCTAGAATAATTATTTTGCTGGGTATTCTGAGACTCACGCAGCGCTCGGCCATTCGCATCTAATATCTGTACTACCTCCGCACAACGGACGCGTAAGATTTCAACGTCTCCCAGTTTAGCAGCAGGGTGCAAATCAAGAGAAAACGGTTGGTTTATCGGACCGACTGCTAACAAGAATACGACGTCATCCGGACGAAGAGACTCCCACTCTTGGCGGACACCGTCGTTCAGTCGGCTAACATCTAATAGAATCTCTGCCCGAACATGGCCTGGTTGGATGCTCCCTACTTTTGCTGGAGCCACTTCTATAATCGCAGGTTTAGATATCGGTATTGCCATTCGTGAAAAGCCTTCAAATTTTATCTCCTGAGTTTCTCTGGTGACACGAGGCTGCATTCGCTTGATGATGGATTCAAGATCACTCTTGATTTCAAAAAAAGATTCAGCCCGATAAAGTGAAAGTGATCGACACAAGAAATCTCCTAAAGTCAGATATTGCAAATTCAGCTTTGGAACTGATAAAGGCCGAGAGCCATCAAATGTTTCACTTCTCACTAAAGCCTGGTCATATAGGGATGTTTCGTTGGGGAAAACAGTAAGATCAGATGCAATTTTCTGGATCGAAGGATGGTATTCGAAGGCAGACAAGATGATTTCAAGAAGCAGGGAACGGTCCGCTACTATCTTCGTATGCTCAGGATAGGTAGTTCTAAACCCCAAGGCAAAACAAAAGCTCAACAATTCAGTATCGTTTAGACCTAAGAGATGGGTCTCGAGCTCAGAGCGCCTCCCAATGGCGCCAAAGTTAGCAAGAGCAAGAAGAGTCAATGTATTCTTGAATTGACCAATAGCAATTCTTTGGAGCCGGGTTAATTCTTTGCAGTGAACAGCATAGGCTTCCTGTGGGGAAAGCTGCTGGCCTGACTGATCGTCTACGGGAAACCTGACGAAATGTCCCAGGAGATTGTAGAAATCGCGAAAAAGAGAATTTTTCCCGATCTTAAAAAGACGTGAGTTACGAATAACCGGTAGTAGATTCAAGTCCTTCAATAAAGCATTCACGTAGCGTCGTGTAGGGAGCTGGCTTTCTAAATCGACAAGGAACTCTAGGAATCTTTCGCAGTACCTGACGTTATCCTCTTTTTCGTCTTCTTTGGAATTCAATCGAGATAGAAAGTCGAGAAGCATGGAGTAAAGCCACGATCTCTCGAATCGAATCCTAGCTTTTCCACTATCGTCAGCCAAATCGTATCTTTTTGTCGCTACTCTCCATGCTCGTTTCAAAGTTGTGGACTGTTCCAGAATCTTATTTCGGAATTCGGCACTGAAGAGATTTTGCCAAATAGCAATTGACACTAGTGGTGCACACTCTTTGCGCATTTGGGGGTTCTCTAATGACTGGAAAGCGTTGATAATGAATGAAAGGAGATAGGTTCTAGAGGTCATGGGCAACGTGTAGTCAATATTCATAGAAAGAACGCGGCGAAAAAGGTTCGAGAAGTCCGCTGGGCGATCGGAGAAATGATCTTAGAAGTAGTTAGAAGTTGTCTATTTGGAAAGCACCTAATATCTTACGCCATGAGGAAAGATTTTCTCTTTGTTTTATTCCCACAATCACTGCGATTAGTAGGACGTGATAGTTTGAAGCGTTTTCCGAATACGTGGGCCATAAGTACCTAGCCAGCAGTTAGTATATAGGTCTAAAATATGGCAACCTGACCAGGCGTACTTTTCCAAAATGTGCAAGTTCTCAAGCAGGAGTAAAGAGTGGAGGGTAAAGCCTTCCGAGACCAAAGGATCCCAAATATCGTTCTTGATGACCTCAGGCCTGACCTTGCGCGGTTTGGACACCCCGAGCCAGTGAGTTCCAGCCAAAGCCACCCATCGATTTTCCTCCTGCAGGTCATTCACAGTTGGGCGCATGTCTAAGCTACGCGCCATAGCTGGACGCATCTGTAAGCCCATGGCGGCTCTGGTGTGTAGATGTTGCGCCGTCCGGCTTTTAGATGCTTGACAAGCATCCGCGATGCCAAAATTACAGTTACGGTACGGATCATAATAAGCCTTTTCAATACACCAATAGTGGATGGAAATACCGTAATACCAATACTGAGCAAGGTTCGCGTACAAGCGTAGAGCTTCGAAGCTTGCAGAACAACCGAACCCCAGACATCAGATCCCGCCAGCGCTGCTTTCTTGTTAATGGCCCAGTGAACATGGCTGTGGAAGATATCCATGCCGTTAGAATATATAGAGAGCTGGTTCAGCAGCTCTTAGACAGAGCAGCAGACCTGAAGCGGACCTCCGTTATCGACCCTCCGATTACCGAAGCTCATTTCGTTGAAGGAATCTGGCCTACTGAGATTGGCGAGGGGGATACGCCCAAAAGCCCGAGTTCTCAAGCGAGCTATGCGGCTGTTGAGATTGCTTTTCGGGAGAAATTCTATCATCTATTGGTTCGTCGATGGCCTGGCCTCAAGGGATCTAGGGACTGATATTATTAACACTTGAGGTTTTTCAAGGCAACAACATCAATAAACGAACCAAACTTTGTTCATGTTTGGAATCTACTCGATATTGTCTCCATATACTCAGATAACGGTGAATGGAATATCTTTTGAAATCTTGCGATGAGGACCTTTACTGATATCCCTCAGAACGATGCGAGCCTGGACTTATCTTTTGGCTCATAGAGGAGCTGCTCGACAGCCAAACTATCGACGGATGTCGCAAAGTTTTTGACTATTTAGAGTCAAGGAGGGAACGGAATACGGCAGTAAGACTAAAGCGATATCCCACTAGCATTGTCCCCGGCTCTAACTCGCAATAGAAACATTTTCAGCAGAAGAGTTTAATTATTCTCCGGTCATGCAACGAACTGCTACGGCGACTCTCGCGAGCAGAAGATACTGTATTTTGCGGACGAGTATTTATATTTCTCTTTCAGTCATTTCCTCTAGGGGATAAAAGCTCGGTGAATCTCAGAGGGGAATACCATACCGAAAATGTTACGACTTTTGATCAGCTACCCACTGTAACCTCTGATGAAGACGTTATGGAAGTAGATGCACATGGCCCGGAGGCATCAAAAAAATTGCGTGACACAGAAAATCAAGCAACTGAGGTGCACTCAAATCCAGCTCTTGCAGCAACGGTAACAAGCCCAGACGAAGATACACCAGTCGACATGGATTCCTTATATCCAGTATTCTGGGGCTTACAGGCGAATTTTTCGGCACCTACCCACCTTTTTGAAACTGGAAATTTCGCCTCGTTCAGGAACGGTCTTGAAGCCACGGTCTCCAGTTTCCAGAGGGTCAGCATAGAACTGGAAAAACGCGGAATGACAAAAGGCTCAGAAGAAAGTTCACGGCGCGGGAGTAAGCGGAAACGTGCCGAAAATGTGACCGAGGCCGCAAGTAGCTTCAATCCGAAGTATCTGACAAGCCGCGATCTATTTGAACTTGAGGTTCGTTAATTCACGAATATCATTCAGCTCACATTCTGACTAGTCATAGGCCAATGACATTGCATTTCGAAGGCATATCCTTGTTCAATCCCTTATCATCCTTGATTTCCTAATTTCCCTTACACCAAAAGCGAAGGCAAAACTTACAGGCGCCACAAATAAATCGGTTTTGTATGGCTATGTCCTCAGTGATGAAGATGTGAGTAGATTTTCCAGTCTTGTCTTTGGCCACTTACTTACACCAACCAAGGCAAGGTGGGCAACGAAAATGAAATCCACCATCTCCACCTACTTACAGCAAGGTATCGATGGAAAATTTTATTACCGAATGGTTGATACGGTCTTAACACGGGATAAAAACTGGGTTCGTTGGAAGGCGGATGGATGTCCATCGATAGAAAGACCTTCCATCCAGGCACAGGAATATATAGATGCCCAGTCGACCGCCGTCAAGTTGTCATCGAACAAAAGGCTTAGAGCAACCCCACTTGGTTCATTGAATTTACAATTTTTGTCACCGAATGCCGATCAAGATGGTCTCGACCGTCTGAAAGCTACAGAAAGGTGAGATGATCCACGACTAGCACCAAGGTTGAGCGCCTGAATTAATTAGGACTAGATTCACAAACCCAGAAGCCGAATCATATGTGCGAGGTATTGCAGATGATGATTTCAACCTTGATATGGCCCAAAATGACGAAGATAAGGAAGAAGCTGCGAGGTCCAAAGCCAGCAAGTCTTGGAGGGTCTTGCGCTTATCTTCACGTAGCAAGTTAAACTTATTTGACAAAATCGAGGACGGAAAAAGTCTAGGACAACTCTTTGAAAATCCCCCATCGCCACAAAGGCAGCCTGCAGATGCAGAGGATAAAGTGTCTAGTCCGAAAGAAGAAGAATTGGCAAAAGATGACGCCAAAGAAAATGAAGTTATGCACGAGTGAGGTAGGAACTTGAGTGGCAATGAATAATTCGATTCAGCCCCATGCATACTTCTCCACCCTGTTCTCTTGTGCCTTGAGAAGCAACTTACGACAATTCCCACAGCACGGGCGGTATTCAAACGTGTGGCTCTATATCCCGCCCTTCCCCACAAAAGCAGACGGGAAGGCTGGTTGACTGAGCGGCATTGGATATAAACCAATCGGCAATATTGCTCTTGGCGGAACGCTTTTGAGCTAGGCTCATACTTGAGCAGCATTGATACCGAGAAGTATTAACAATACAAAAAAAACACACAAGTCTTAACCGTAGGCCCATTTTTATGCACTTGTACGTGTGCACATACCTATGGATCTGTGATACTTAACTTCATACCCGAAATATGGACTTGTTGTCTCATTCTACTACCTGCATTTGTATGTACTACACATAATAAATACAGGCAATGATGTCTAATTTACATATCATTAGTGTCAAACAGATCAAAGAGGCCTTTGCTGTAGATTTCCCAGGTCTATTATTATATTCACGCTGCTTGTAATATTTTGGTTGTCTTGTTTGCTGACCACCTCACAGTATTGTAACATTAGGCCCAATATTTCTTCATTTAGGTTTGCTTTGAGCGGAAGATTGATGGTGTTTCTAGGTATAACTGCTGTTATTAACACAAAGAATAGCAATTATTCAAATACTTCTTGGTCTGAGTATCGCATATACACAAGTCTTCACAGTGCCTCAAATATGTGTGCAATTATTCAAGTGTCGTACAAGGAAAAGAAGTTTATATAAGGTTCAATTTCTGAGGAATATAGTTTCTAAATGGTAAATGATTTCTGAATTCTAAAGCCTAACTGGGGCAGGCAGTGAAAACGGGCCCCAATGTTGACAGTAAACACCACATCTATCATGGCTGATATTTAATCTCAGCTAACCTGTCCTTGAACCTCTGAATTTGAGAACAACTTTGACAGTATAGTGAGGGGGTTGGTGGCTTGAAGTAGTTCTAGAGAATTTATGGTTTTTGTCGAACTACTCTTTTATGCAATGAGCATGGAAGTGTTTTATTTTTATTTTGTTTTTTGCTGTTCGATATTCTCCTTTGAGGTGACAGTCACAAGTCACAGTACTTGGGAATAGTAACGAGCTGTTGCAAATTATATTGACCTTTGAGCCCCATCAGGTAATATTCGTTGACATCTTCAGAGAAATTTTAGTCCTTCGCCAGTTTTGTAGGTAATAAATTTATGTATCATTAGAGCATATTCCACAATGTTCGTCTCCAACAATTTGTCAATGGGAACTTCGTTTGAGGACATCTATCTTTGTAGTTAATATCCGTAAGTTCGAAAGATATATCGACGAGTGACGGGTGATAAAAAAAGTGAAGTTAACAGGGTACGAAAAAGTCGACAACAATGACAAGATCCGGAAAGACCTCAAAACTCATTTTTATGCAGACTCTCCCAGTCCGTTCGATCGGTTTGGTAAATTTGCTTAATATTTCAATTTATCGCCTAGAATAGACGGAGAACATAATGAACATGCGGTTCGGCAATTGTTAATGTGTGCGGCTCAGTCTTCAACTTGACTCGCGTAGCGCCATTGTCGCTGTCACTCTAGAGGTACATTTGAAATTTTGACACCAAGCCAAGTTGCACATGTTGCTTGAATAATTTTTGTGTCAGAGTAGACGTTGGCCGGCTTTTGGAGAATATGGTGGCATTGTATGTAATGCTGGTCAGTGCGCCCAGCCAGGAGACGACGACAAATGTAACCCCAAACTGCTTCACCAGGAATCACATTTTGATTCTTGGATCATCGAATACTGCAAAGTTGATGTCTCTATCGATCAAACGGATCCTTCAGCCTTTATCACCAGGAACCGACTCGGGCCGAGTAGAGAACCAACCACATAGTGGCTGACTACGCGATACATAAACTAGAAACACGGGTGCCACATCGTTTTCAAGGGAGGCTTTTTGGTCGAGAGCACGGATAAGCACCCGCCAAGGAAAGTTTTCAGGTTTTGAATCGAGAGCCAGCTGAGCCAATCCAGCATTGATTGAAGACGGCTAGAAAGTATGCCGTTCGCCATTCTCGAATATACGTAGCCAGTAGGCTCAGAAGGCTCAAAAACAAAGCTGTCTTTCGATTACCAGCTCGCCCCTCCTAGTCCAGCCGGTAAAGATTCAATTGAACACCCGATATCAGCTGGACTTGTGGTTCTGAATGACCACCCACACTTGTCCGGGATAAAACGCCTCGAATTGCTATGAACAGCGACGAAGAAGTTGACGCCTATGGGATTATAGAATCTTCTGAATAATGGCGACATCACCTAGCCCAGCGCGACCTCCTTTGGTATATTGCCCCACAGAGAGATGTAGCAGCGCGATGTTTCAAGTGGTTTAGTTAGCGGATAACCCGGCCCTGACTCAGGAATGTTACGCAGATTCCACTCGGGGATGATCTTGCAGGCATCTCTCAACGTGTAGCTTGTCGTGGGCAGTTTTCAGCACGGCATCGTCTGCACGTTTCTTCCTGTCGAAGGAACGCCATATCTGTTCGATCATTAGCCCATGAAGTTTATATTTGCTTACCAGTGGACGATGAGCTTCGTTCTACTCCGTACCGCCGACAAGTCCCGCCCTATTATTGCAGCGAATATGCTGTCCCACGCCGTGCTAGCTATAGGCCGGGGCCGATGATGTCGTCCGCGCTGGATCTTCAAACGGGCTCGCAGCCCCAGCTGCTTCGGGCCTAGTTAGTTAGCGCCGCCCGCGAAGGACGACGAATCCAACGGCGTAACTCATCAGCCGTACCAGACTTGCGCCGAAGCCAGCTCTCCATCATGAGCGGCTAGGCTCCGTGGTTTGACCTGAGACAATCTTTAACGGCTAACGGTTTTGTGGCACAATCCTCCGCCGAGACAGCCTAGAAAGCACTGACCCACGGGTCAGAAACCGGGCGTGTCTCTGAGTATCTCCCGGCAAAGCGCCTCCGGCCCGAAAAAGAAATGAAGTATCTGGATGTTTAAGCGCCGGCTATCCTCCTCAATGCTCGGCCAGCAACCACATGCGTCATGCGCTGCTGGCGGGCCACCGGTGTATCGCTCGACGCTCGTCGAGAGGGCCGCTGGCGAGAGGCATCGCGCTGCTCGGAGTGGCTGGACTCGTGGGCGATCCCGCGAGCGGATAGAAAGCGTCGCGCCATGTGAAGAAACTTTTCAAGGAATTTTTAGCCGCCTATCGTCATGGTTAGTTAGTTACTTTGTGCCTGGATTTCGACCACCGCTACAACCGGCTGCAAGATGGCGACACGGCTATCAGACAGTTGTTCCTTCGATTGACTTCAACAAAAATGTCCCCCAACAGACTAGTTACGGACTCGATGACTTGAACCGGCCTGGCCCCGTTGCATGGTGAAGTCCGGAGTACGGCCGGCCTGCAAGGGCCGGCATTCACCTCGCAGGCGGCCGCTAGCGAGACAACAAACGCTCTCCAAGCGCGGAACACCATGCATACAGCGGTATTATTAATAGTGGTGGATCGGCCTCAGCTCGCCTTGGCCGGAGAGGTTTGGCCCCCCATCGGGCCATCGCTGGCACAGTCCCCATTATTATTCTTGTCGACAAGTGGCAATGGGGATTGCGGCACTCTGGTAGATCCCCCTGTCGATGGACCCCATCACCAACGTGGGCGTAACTTTAGGGCATTAACTCCGTGACCACCAGCCCGCCTTGACTTGATCTTGCAGCAGTGCCTTGCCACACGCCCAGAAACACGTTCTTCGATTCGAAACTGCGTTCCCAGGGTTGGGACTACCATAGGATTCCCCATCCGCATGTGAGCAGCGTTCTGCGGGATGCTGTTCGAGATCGCCCAAAGGATTATTGGCCACTATTTCCAGGGAAACCACAGCGGACCTCCCCGACCACGAGAGACGGCTCTCGGTGGCCGATTCTACGTTTCTTGACAATACGAGATTTCACTGACTGGCACCCTTGGCAAGGGTTGGGAGCCTTTGCTGAAGGGTCAGATGAGTCGTTGCAGTTCGACATGTCATCGTTGCTACCGAAGGACAAGGCGCAACCGAGCGTCCGGTTTATTCCTTGCATATATGGCCTGTGCCTGTGTAGGGGAGGGAGTTTGGCCCCGGCTGTTCGTGTGCATACCGATAACATGATATGCACCGCCTGATAATAGTAACAATGCTACCCTGCCCCGCACCGCTATCTTGGTGCCAGGCTCGCTGTCGACAGGGATTAAACATGCACTCCGTGCTCGGCTCTATGTTCTGGTATAGATAACTCGCCCATCTCTACGGGCTGAGTCTGCAATGCTTTCCGTCCTTATTTGGAACATGAAGAGCCTGGCTCATCCCACTTGCGCATTTCTAGTGCATGAAGCAATATGTTATCTCGCAAGCCCGCGGCTACCTAAAGCAGGTGAGGCCACCATCTTCCCGCTTTTCGAACTTTCGTCCAGAATGTTTTAGCCCATAGGGCATGTGTGAAGTGGGATTTCCATGGCTTCGATTTTGTTTTAAAGGGACGCCCGGCTTGGTTTCCGGTGCATTTCTTATAGCCAGCCCGAGTTTCATTGTTTCCACCATTTTCCCTGATTGGGATGGCTTCTCTGAACTTTGACTGACGCCTCACCCACAGAAGGATAACCTATTGTTTTTTGGATGTTTTGAGACACCAAAAACTCTCAATCTGCCTACTTTGACATCAAGAGTAGCAATCCACGGCTCCGGAAATTTATCTGCACGTGGCGCTCTACTCCCAAAATGGGAGCGCGCGATATGGTGAATCAAATGTGTTTACTGGGGTCATCCACATGCCACATTAGCTGCGCCAACAAGAACCCGCCACCATATAACGACTGTTATACCCAGAGTATTTCTGGGTTCCATGGCAACGTCGAAGGCATATCACCCCAGTTGGATTATGCCAGAGAAAGTTGCGAAGCTGAGGAAGACTCAACGGGAATGAATCAGAGTCATAATGAACAGTACGGCATAGAATCTCCCGAGCCTCAAGGGGACGATGAATGTCAATCGTTATTCAGCACAACATCGGGAGATGGGGCTTCTAAAAAAAAGATGAAGCGGTTTAGGTAAGTTGGCCAATTGAGGGGTCTTTTGAGGATGCTAATGACGGCTCCCTAGGCTAAGTCGAAACCAGACGCGGTATTTGATGAGTGAATTTACTCGTCAAGCACACCCTGACGCTGCTCAGCGAGAACGGCTCTCGCGTGAGATACCAGGTCTAAGCCCTCGACAAGTCCAGGTCTGGTTCCAAAATCGGTAGGCATATCCTTTCTTTTCTGTTCTCTTTTCTTTTTAGGGAAAGGCCACATAGCTCACTGATTAAAGGAGGGCAAAGTTAAAGCGAATGTCTATCGACGATAGAGAGAGGGTGTTGAAATCAAGAGCAATTCCGGATAGTTTTGATATGGCCAAAGCCCTAAATTGGCCCTACGCAACGTACTCAGGGGCGTCATCGAAACCAGCTGCTTCAATTAATCTAAAAGACTTGATCAAAAAAGATTCATCTACTCTTACCGAACCTTCAACCTTTTTGGGCGGAGAGTACGCGAACGTTACAACAAGTGATATATCTTCCAGTGCCTACTACACCCCAATATCTCAGCCAGCTTCGAACTCCGACACTAACCTCGAAAACGCTTCTTCTACTGTTGGATATCGAGAAGCGCCGTTTACGCAATGGGCTTATTCTCAGATCCCCAGCCCACCTTTGGATTCCGCGGTTGCGTCTGAACCCGAGAGCTTCGGCGAATCCGAGTCACCACCCAATAGTCATTGGGTTGGCATCCCCCCAGGAAATAGCATTTCGCCCATATCCCCCTCCACATTCAGTTTGCCGACGCCGCGCTGTTCGGTAAGCTCTCAAATATCGTCTGGTATACTTCACAACGACAGGCCTTTGACTACACGACTGCCATCAAGAAACTTCATTAATATCTATAGTAAGTCTATCCTTTCGCTTTTTTGAAAATGTTATTTTATTTTTCTAAGCGCATTCTGTAAAGCATAAGCTAACGCAACATTGAATTTCAAGATACACAGCCAGAAAGACAAAGTTTAGGGCTTCACCCTCTGGCTACGACTCCTCATTCATCGGCAAACCTGGCCGCCCATTCTAATCCGACTTTTAACCTTAGCTCGTTTGGGGTGTCATTCTCGCCGGAAGGCCCCCCAGCACTAGGGTTTCCTCAGCCAGGATTTAGTTTCGACCCTCACTCCCGCTATGCTGGACTAGCCTATTCATCTGATTCGACGAGAAATCTGTGGGATACGGGCTCCTGATTTCTCCATCTAATATTTAAATTATTATTACACTATGCACCAGTCAATCTGCCATTGGTATTGAGGGAAATAGTACATGGAACTCTTGCTTCTACGGCATTGTATGTATATTACCCATACTTTCCTTCTTTTCACTTGAAACTATCTGTGTACTGGTTTCATAATTATCTTTATTCAAGCCGCATGGGTTCCTTTCCCAGTCGGCGTAAGCATGCAGGCCTTCATGAGTTATATTAGCATTTTCCGGATACTATGGGTTAATTTTTAAGAGATAAATTATAATATTTCTGGGGGGATATCCCCCCTAGTCGACCATAACACATACATATTCCAGTAGTGCATACCATATGGCGTCACTCATTCATTCCATACCGCACAGGCCTTGAGTCATTTGTATAGTGTTATGGGTCATGGAGATCGTCACATATATCTCCGTCATTTCTCCTTCAACCTTCAACATCCTTCAACACTCGATCCCTGCCATAGTTCTGGATATTAATCCATGGAAACCCCTCCGTCGTGCCTCATAGCTGTGGAACTAAGCACTGCCTGTTACTTTAGCAATCTTATGACGGCGTTTTAAGGGCGGCTGTTTCTTTGCGCCAAGTAGCTGACAGTCTTAAAAAGGACTTCTTAAAAATGACACTCCGACCTCTTTACTCTAGCCCATTATTCTCAAATTTCTTCAATTAAGGCCTGCCGGGCACTCTCCCTCAACCAAGTATTCACGAAGAATCTAATTAAATACCGGCAGACAAAGAAATCATCGCTATCTCTGAGAAAGCTACATCAGGAAAAGATCCACCGGCAGGACCTTGGGGCAACTAGCACCAACATAAAATCCAAGTAGGAAGGCCTATCGCGGGTCTTCGAAATGTCATATTTTAACCTCAGATTAATTTTCTCTCCTAAGCTGAAGCAGTACTATTGATGAAAGCGATGAATGATAAAGCTGAATATTTCCTGGGTGAATGCGTCCATGATCCTGCTTCTACATTTTCAACCGCCAGTGCAAAATCGTCACTGCTTTCCCACTCTCAAATATGCCACTATGAAAGTTGCGGTCCTGACTTCTGCCTACGCAGAATAGTCAAATTTGCTTTCCCACACAGCTATGGGAATAACTGTTCCGTGTCGCTATGAAACAATTGGACCCGAATTTAATACTAAGCAGGATATGAGGACCCTAGTGAGCTTCTGGAGGATTTTGTTAACCTCACCCCCTAGAATCAGCAATGCATTTGTCATGTGGTTGCTGATGGTATATCCCATTTGATGATAGCCTTGACTTGCTTTTTTCCTACCGCCGCATAAAAGAGTACCTACCTATCAGGCGCCAATATATTTCGCGAGTACTCGATACCCTTTAATAAGAAGTATTCATGTTTCCATACCGGATACTCTAGAGAAATTTAAGAGGCCAATCTTAAATATGTATCCCAAATTGAAGATTGTCTACCAAACTTGTCATACCATCGTTCAGATGAATGATCTGGGTTTTATACCACCAAACCTATCAACCTCATGCCTTTTATGTGTAGGTTGACGATGCGGGGTGTGATAAATGGGCAAAGATCGGTGGGATCTTGAGCGAAAGTGCAGCTATGAGACTCTATTTGTTACCAGCGACGATCAGGGGAATCTGAACGCGTCATCTAGTTATATTTTATGCGCACAGTAGGAGGAAAGGTTTTCGGATTTGGGTACGGAGTAAGTGAGCAGCATGTCGCGCCAATATTGATGGTAATGTTTGGCATGTTTACATTTGAATAGAATTGTGTTAGTAATACCCCCAAGCTCTCCACCAATCGCTGCTCAGCTATTGCTAATGCCAGAGCGAATGGCGAGAAGAGTACTTATAGGCATTGGGTTCAAACAGGATACCGGAAAGGGATATAAATAGCATGCTGCAATCCCCAGAGTGCAGTTCATTTCAGAATTCTTTTTCCTTCAGAAAGTCTTTTAACTGTTTGTGAAAAGCTTGACAAAGAAAACACCTCACATCAGCCTCTATTTGGCTATTATACCACATATCTTCAAATATGACTTTGCCTCTTTCGTGCTGCAATTCTTCGAAGCAAGGCTGTGTGTGCGCAGCTCAAGCTCGATGTTCCTGTGGAAAGCAACAGGCCCTTCATTGCAACTGTGACCGAGCACAGCAAGAAAACAGCACTTCGGGGGCAAGATGCTCCTGCAGTATGTCCCCGTTTTTTATTTTCCTAAGTACACTTCTTATTAGTAGCTCTGACCTTTCGTCTCTGTCTAAATAATAGGAAGCCGTCCAGCTGGGCAATGCACTTGCGAGCGCGCACAGTCTGAGAATCATCCGCCAAGTGGAGAAACATGCCCATGTGGTCGAAGGATAGCTGGTATGTAGTCAAGCCGCCGCAGATAACAAATGCCCATAAAAAGAGAGTTCGTTGACTTTGTTGTTTTTGCTGTCAACAGACTCGTGCACCTGTGAAAAGGCTATTGATACTGGAATCTTTCCTGGCGAAACGGACTTTACCACTAAGGCATAAACCTCAGCAAATAAGAGTGTATAACGAGCTCCATTATGGTCGAGACGTTAGGTTTTATCAGCTGTGTTGGGGAGTTCCATTTCAGGTAGGAGTGTAGGCATGAATTATTAGTTATTAATGTTCCGACTTTTTTTAAGGATTTGATGGGGGTCTAGTATGGAGTAATCAAATCGTAAATGTTAGTTTGTCTTGAGGAGAGGAATTAATTGTATGCTGAAAATAAATGTAGCTATCTGATTAAATTGTGACAACGTTTTCTGACGTTCCTATGTGCAGATAATAGACAAAATTTCTGAGATAGCTTGTTGCTAACCGCGCCAATAATATGGGCGCGTCGCGCGGTTACACGGAGACTATAGATGTCTTGGCAGGCCAAGATCGTCATTTATCGGAGTTACCTTATTCCGATAAGGGGACACCCGCCAGCTCCAGGAACATTACAATGACCAGAAAGCTGGGAAGCAAAGATGATTGTTGAAGGCAAAGTTCGTTAACTTGCATATTAATTTTGACTGGCGTTTTGTGACCTACGAACTACTTAGCCCGGCCTTTGCTTTATTCCACCGCAAACGACGCATTTGATCTTCCCCTTATCATCGCTCGACCGCGTCTGTTTCGTATAAACTCGTGTACCATCTCAAGTGTCAGCAACAATGCTGATGCTGCACCCTCGGTGATATTTCGAAAGAAAAATATGATAAAAAATCTCAGTTTGGAAATAACTGGACGTAAATAGTCCTCACAACCCAATCACCAGTCGACAGTCGGCCTTAGGGTATTACTATGTCGACAACTATGCGGGGACTGGTCCAATTCATTGCCGATTTACGAAATGCTCGGGCTCGAGAGCTAGAGGAAAAGCGGATTAACAAAGAGTTGGCTAATATTCGACAAAAATTCAAGGATGGGAATTTGAACGGATATCAAAAGAAGAAATATGTTTGCAAGCTATTATACGTCTACATACAAGGTTATGATGTCGATTTTGGACACCTGGAAGCAGTAAATTTGATATCGGCGGCCAAATATTCGGAAAAGCAGATTGGATATTTAGCCGTAACGCTTTTTCTACACGAGGAACATGAACTATTGCATCTGGTTGTGAATAGTATTCGCAAAGACCTTCTAGATCATAATGAGCTGAATAACTGCCTTGCCCTACATGCTGTTGCAAATGTGGGTGGAAGGGAAATGGGTGAGGCTTTGAGTTCTGATGTGCATCGACTGTTGATTTCGCCGTAAGCTTCCAAATATCGACTCTGGTGTAATTGCTTTAGGCTAACATGAGGGCGCAGAACATCAAAAGCGTTTGTGAAAAAAAAGGCCGCCCTCACCCTTTTAAGACTTTATCGCAAATACCCTGGCATTGTACAGCAGGAATGGGCGGAGCGAATTGTTTCTCTGATGGATGACCCCGATGTTGGGGTTACTCTTTCCGTCACATCTCTTGTGATGGCACTCGTTCAAGATAATGCTGAGCAGTACAGAGGAAGCTATGTTAAGGCAGCCCAGAGACTAAAACGTATTGTTCTGGAAAAGGATGTTCCAGCAGATTATATCTACTATAAAGTACCTTGTCCATGGTTGCAAGTGAAGCTGTTGCGGCTTCTTCAATACTATCCCCCATCAGGTACGCTTAGCTTGCACTCATTTAATGATTTCAATAGGAAGTTCTAACTGATCTGGAGCAGAGGATTCTCATGTCCGAGAGCTTATTAGGCAATCCCTCCAGGAAATTATGAATCTTGCTGTGGACATGCCAAAAAATGTGCAACAAAACAATGCTCAAAACGCGGTTCTCTTTGAAGCGATAAACCTACTAATTCACCTCGAAAATGAACAGGCTTTAATGATGCAAATCTCAACAAGACTGGGCAAGTTTATCCAATCACGAGAAACAAATGTGCGATACCTTGGGTTGGAAGCAATGACGCATTTTGCTGCCAGATCTGAGACCTTAGATCCAATAAAAAAGCACCAGAGTATAATTATTGGCTCTCTGAGAGATCGAGATATTAGCGTAAGGCGAAAGGGATTGGATCTCTTGTATAGTATGTGTGATACGACTAATGCTCGGCCAATTGTAACGGAACTGCTCAAATATCTTCAAACCGCTGATTATGCAATACGAGAAGAAATGGTACTCAAGATTGCTATTCTGACAGAGAAGTATGCCACTGACGCACAGTGGTACATTGATATCTCGCTAAACCTACTTTCCGTCGCTGGCGACCACGTTAGCGACGAGGTTTGGCAACGCGTGATTCAGGTGGTAACCAATAATGAAGAGCTTCAGGCCTATGCCGCGCAACATATATTGGGGTACATCAAAGTTGATTGCCATGATAGTTTAGTGAAGATTGGTGCATATATTCTTGGTGAATTCGGGCATCTTATTGCCGACAACAAAGGCTGTTCTCCCGTCGAGCAGTTCCTTGCCTTGTACTCCAAAACAAGCTACTGTTCGGATCATACCCGTGCTTTCATATTGTCTTGTTTTATTAAATTTGTGAACTTGTTTCCGGAAATCAAGCCCCAGCTGCTGCAAGTGTTTCGCTCATATTCCCATTCCCCGGATTCCGAGCTCCAGCAGCGGGCTTATGAATATCTTCAACTTGCTACTTTACCAACGGATGATCTTTTGCGTACAGTTTGTGACGAAATGCCGCCATTCTCGGAAAGGATATCAGTGTTGCTTTCTCGCCTCCACCAGAAAAGCGCCGGTACCAGCGATAAACGTACTTGGGTAGTTGGAGGAAAAGATGCAAATGCTGATTCTAAAGAATTTATGCTGACTCAAAAACCTGGCTTAAGACGTACGTTTACCACTATAGCCAACGGTACGTCTGGGTCTAGTGAGGTCTCCAAAGCAACGGCCTCAAACGACTTATTAGGACTGGATTTCTCTACAGCTTCCAACGCACCTCCACCCAACCTAGCTAGTGCTGCACACCTTTCACCAGATTGGGAAACCGGCTATAATAAGCTTTATTTCGCGGATGAGGGAGTTCTATTTGAAGATGCTCAAATACAGGTTGGCATACGCTCGGAGTATCGCGGCCACCTCGGTGTCTCCAAATTATACTTCACTAACAAATCTTCGTTCCCTATTGGGTCATTCACAACTACGCTTGATAATCCTTCGCCTGGCGGCTTGAAAATCGATACCAAGAGCTTACCGGATCCTGATGTTTATGCGGCTTGTCAAACTCAAGAAACTGTTTGCTTTGAGTGTTTAGGTGCTTTTACCAAACCTCCGACAATTAGAATATCATACCTGGCCGGTGCCCTTCAAGCATACACCCTCCAGCTACCCGTGCTCATGCACAGATATATGGATGCCTCCAGCCTATCACCTGACGAATTTTTCAAACGATGGAGGCAAATTGGAGGGGCACCCCTTGAAGCCCAGGTAACATTTGGGATGGTCAAGAGTACCAACAGAACAATGAATGAGTCGTCGACTCGGAGAATTGTGGAAGGCTTCAAATGGAAGATATTAAGTGGGGTGGATCCGAACCCAAAGAACATTGTTGGGTGTGCCGTTTACCAATCCGAAAGTCGGAAAACTGGGTGCTTGATGCGGCTTGAACCTAATTATGAAAAGCATGTATGTTTGTGTCGTGTCCCAAGATCCACTGTCACACCTTTTGCTAACTCAAGGCAGATGTATCGACTCACAATCCGAGCGACGCAAGAAGATGTGCCTAAAGCTTTGGTAGAACTGATGGAGGAACGATTAGCGCGAGGGATAGCGAACGACGATGTATACGGATAGCCGCTTGGACAATAATGCCTACGAAACACATGGAATACTTCGAAATCATAAATAGCATTTAGAGGAACGGAAAAGGACTAATCATTTGCTTTGTCTTCCATTGTTAGGGGCGGGTTAGTAGTATATAATGTAAATATGATTCTGTGGTATTTGGCGCTCTAACATTGTGCAAGAGTTGTTGTATGTTTTGTTAACATAGGTGGTTCTACGAGCCCACTTTTGCTTCTCCTTTTGGTGGACGAGCTCCGAATATTGTGCTGCCTACTCTCACCTGGTTGCTTCCCATGGCAATAGCTCCCTCAAAATCTTCGCTCATACCCATGCTTAGTTCCAGCTTTTCATCTCCCTCAAGCTTCAAGACCTCGCACACGGTATCTTTTGTCTCTCGTAGGCATACAAAGTCCTCATTCTCTGTCTCCGAAGTTGTAGCTTTTGAGCGGGCAATGGCTCCAATTGTCATTAGCCCTTGCAATTTCAGCCGCGGACACTTTTCCCTGATGAATTGACACAGCTCTAGTGTCTGAGATGGTTCAATGCCTGATTTACTCTCCTCTCCCGAGGTATTTACTTGCACAAAAACACGCAGTCGTTCTTCGCTTGTTCCAGTTTGTTGCTCATTATTCAATCTCTCACCCCACCCTTTGTCCAGCAGTGATGCTTTCTTTTGCGTATCCACACTCTCCACAGCCCACAGACCTCTAACGTCTCTTGCAAGTGTAACGCATTTGTTGGATTGCAGTCCACCAATAAAATGCCATCTAATTTCTGGTGGAAGGATTTTAGACTTTTCAAGAAGCTCCTGAAGGTAATTCTCTCCAAAATGAAGATGAGACGTTGGCGGGGTGTAGAGAGCCTGGATGTCAGACGCAGGCTTGAGCTTAGAGACAGCAACTAATCGGACTGAGTCACTGGTGGTAGACGCTGCGGAGATACGAGAATTCACGGAGGCAAGGTTGGCAAGGAGGGTAGATGCGCGGGACGGAGAGGGCATTTGTTCTGGGGCTGAGGACGTGCTCATAGCTGTATTCTAGATAATCCACGCTGGAATCTCTCGGTCATAAGCGCTGTGCACGGCCGACTGTTGCGTCTTGTAGAGTCATCGATAGTCCGACTTCGGCTAGTTAGAAAGATCCGGCCGAGCTAGTCACCCCACGTGACATTATCCTTGGCACCGGGAACAGCCGCTTGTTGACAACGGCTGACCACCACGACGGCAAGCTGCACGACGCCGGGGCACCAGGCAATTATTGGAGGCCCACCTCCGAAGCTTGCTCTAGAATCACACAGATGGGACCCAGGCTTGCAGATGCCACACCACCTTTTGACGTCGGACGGCTCCCCTGGCCACTCACAGAAGCACTCTAATGCAGCCCCCCTTCACTTGCAGCCACTATTAACCTGAACACCGCAGCAGGAGAATTGAACCCCAAGCCCCAAGGGTTACCCGGTTTACCCCCCATCGGACTCATGTGTATTTCAAAATAATGTTATACCCGAGTTACGCTTGACAAGCGAGAGATCTAGGTGGTTCCAGATATGTACCCTCTGTACTCCGTATAACTGCTAGTTTCATCAATGGATCCCGCGATGCCATCCATTCCTTGCATCATATATTTACAGACTTTTGGCCTATTATAACTTCGATTACTTTTCTCCTAGAGGCTGTGTACATTCCTTTGTTGACACACCCTTCCGCTCTTTTCAAGACCAGAACGTTATCTTAACCTTCTCCATTTCTGGTCCACTTATTTCATATTTTAGAAACCAGAGTGACAAAGAATCCACGGATCATTTCGGCTAGCTACTCATTATGTTTTACGGTTCTTCACTCCGCTGGACTCCAATTTCACCGTGCTGACCTCGATTCAATCAAACGTTCGGCACGATTTCTTCACTTCACCTGCCTTAGAGTTCCATGTCTAATTTCTCGCTCTTTGCTTTGCTAACAAACTTACGAAGATACTCCAGAGACCAAATCCAAGGATGAGCTTGACAAAATCATCTATAGTTAAACCCTACGCACGATATTCCGATGCCACAAACTGCTCGGCTCGATGCAACACCCTCGAACCCGGAAAAAAAAGAAAGAGCTCTTCAAGGCTTCCTGGCGGAAACTGGATCGTCAATGGTGACAATGCGAGAACATCTACTACTACTTACGCCTCTACAATAACCTCCCATGATGACGTAGAGAAGGATTATATCGAAGCTGTGTGCGAGAGATACGAATCATTCCCGTCTCACGCTGTCGCTTCTACGCCGCCAACCTTTGCCGACCTATTTCCGTCCGGCAGAAGACTTTTGATTAAACACGATGATACGACCCGTGATGGGAACCTAAACCTACGTATATCCACACTTGTGACGGAATCTCGAGGTAGGCAATGCGAGATAATCCTTTTTCACTTGCGAATGATGGACTTGGAGAAGAGAAAGTTTTCTCTTAGGCGATATTGTCGACAATCTGGGAGAGAAGTTTGCCATTCCTCGAGGAAATATGAGCAGGATATTAATGAAAAGCGATGCATGTCGTCGTGGGCCACCGCTTTCTCCCCATTTCGAACAAAATTCGATTCTCCGGATGCCCTGTTCAATCATTTGAGAAGGCAAGACTCAGGCTATAAATCGGGGGTGGAAGATGATGGGCTACATGAAGAGAAAACATTCCCTCTAGATGATTTTTCTCGCCTACAGAAAGCCCCAATCCCAACCAATATAGTGAAGCTCGATTTTTCTAACTACGCTCACGTGGACGTCAAGAGAAAGGGATCAAGAGTGTCAAAGCGATATGATTATGAGTACTGGAGCACCAAGTATCAGTGGAGAAGATCAATTCGCTGCCAAAACGGGTCAGAAGAAGTGTCTTACCATTTATATGATCTCAACAGACCTAAACCGGTGGCGCATATTATCCCCGATCACTTAACCCCGATGGCAGCACTCGTCGAGGAAAGCAAAGGCGGTTGGATTCCACCCTCGTCCTTCTGCATCAGCGATTCGTCAATCTTCGGAAAAATGAGTGACATCGCAGAGTGAGTTTTTTCGGTGATCCTTTATCGAGAATGCTGGGCCTTCGCGCTACTGACTGAGAGATCTAGCGTTGTCATTGCCACGGGGTTAGTTGTCCTTGTCGATGACAACATCAAGCGGCGCTGGCACAAGCCAGTCGCGCAGCCTTCTTCCTCTATTGCGTCCACGTTTATGAAAAGTATGGAGTCTTTGATTTCAACGAGGTTTTTCGATAAGGTCTTTCAGCGGCACTGGTCATCAGGCTCTCAGCATTTAAACTCGGTTCGCCAGTTGGTACTTAGGGGATACTGGTCATGAGTGACTTCCATTCTCTGTTCATTCGATCGATGTATTAGTCCTTTTTCATTGGCCTTGGGCCTAAACAAAATGTGGCCGAATAGTAGTACACTGCTCCAACGTTGGCTCATTTCATATTGGAGGTCGTCGCGTTTCAGAAAGCTGCAAGCATCTACTTCGCGCCATGAGGCCCAACAGCGTCTCTTTTTTTGGTCTACATGATTTCTAATATCGTGTCTTGCACGCCCCCAATCACTCACTACAACTGCTCTCATGGGCCATTGCATCCCATTCGAGCCAGCTATTCACATCTATTTTTCGAGTACGGCGCCGCGTACAAGGAAACATTTTTTTTTTTTTTTTTCAGCTCACATGCCTTCGGGATCGATGGAATGGGCAGCATTGAATGTAGTATCATAGGAAAACGGCCCTCGACGGGAGGAAAAAAAATATTTATTTTGGTCATTATGATTTTGCTTAGCTGAAATTCCATGTCACATCGGAAGACTGCCTACTTTTGGGCGCATATTTCGATTTTTGCCACGACGGAGCGGTCCGTGGATCAGTTTTGAATCTAATCGGTAATTTCCCCTGCATATTTGCCGGGCAACCAGAGCACGCGCACCGAAGCGACTGGCAGCGTCGTTCACGCCTGCTCCTGCAGAGGCTAGGTAGGATATATACGATCATTGCGAAAGAGCTGATTTCGTCGTCCTTGATTTTCTTGAGTGCTCTGCTTGCTGACGACGAGGATGGAACGGACTTCCCCGTAATGGCAGAGCGACGCACGCAGCCGGCCTTGCAGCGTCCCGTTTTGAAAATACTCAGCTCCTGGATGATTCGATTTGCTTAATTTCTCCGTCAATCACGAATTATCTGCAGATTTCCCGGGGTGCGTGTGGACTGAACCATGCACGTATGAATGCCCAACATAGAGCGACATTCGGAGCAAAAGGGACGAAAGAAAGCCAAAAACAAAAAAAAAATAAAAATAAAATAAAACAGAGCGAATCACCCTTGCAAGAAAGGCGGCCTCACCCCCTGCTGCGCCCTCCACTCTGCCCCCCAGCGTCTACCTGCTGGTGCCGCGTCTGTCTGCACGTCGGCCTTGTTGGACGAGAAGGGATTCAGACGGCCAGCGGTGCCTCGTCTGCTATTCCTGGCGGTTGTGCCGTGACAGCCCTTTTTTCCCCAGGTCCACCGCTGGCCGGGGAGCACCCCTCCATCCTGCAGCATGGTGGGTGTGTGTTCTGCCAATTGATGAGCTGGCAACCCGGTGCTGGGCGCGCGCTGTTCTCCGCTGCCCAACCTGCCTTCGTTGCTCCTGGTAATTAACCGGGCCGACTCGAATTCACCCTGGCGTGCGCTCCAGGGCCAACGCCCCTCGCGTCCGGCCCTTATGCACACCGGACAGCGGTATATCATCCTGCATTCGTCTGCTGCCCGTCCGTTTGCCCCTCTCCGTCATGCTGCTCTGGTGGGGTAGACGGGGGCGCCAATCATCGCCCTTCCGCCCTTCTTTGCTCGTTTTCCTTCATTCCGGAGGAGAGGCATGCAGGGTTGTTTGTTCGCCATTTGGCGTATCGTGTTCTCCCAAAGATCTAATGGGAGCGCAGCGGGCCGACCCATCAGCCTCCGGCCACCCCCTCCGGCCTGCTGTTAGCGCAGCAAAACAGCGTAGCAGGTGGGTGGATGGCAAGTATGACATATGGCCATCCTGATCTCTCGTGCATAATGCCCAGTTCCATTACAGCACACTGGCTCGAACGACTCCAGTCGTGTGGATTCAGCTTGAACTTTCACACGACCTCGCAACGTCGAAAGATATACATACACTTCCCGGCTGGTGTCGTTTTTCTTATAATATGTGTCGCGCGTCCCCGAACTTCTGAGTGATTTCTGCTTCACGGAAAAATAGCAAACAACCCCATCAAGCCCTTGTCTCTCATTATCGCTTCCCCTCACTGCCAACCACGGTACGCTTCTGTACTGCCAAATCTTCGCTGCGGACTATTTAACCTTTGATAGTCTTCCCCGATCTCGCCTTTTGTTCAAGCCCGGCTCCTAGTCTCCAAGATGGCTGCCGCTCCCGTCAACGGAGTCACTCGCCCGACCTGGCAGGAAAAGCTTCAAGGTCACACCCCTCTCTCGCCGTCATGCATATCGCCTCAGTTCTAACACGCGCTCTCTAGACCACTGCAAGATAGCACATATCCAACCGCCGGTCTTCAACCTCGTATCGGACCGCCGAGGTAGCTCTTTCCCATTATATTCCTTTCGGCTCCTTGCTGCGTTTTCTCAAGTTTGACCCTCTTTGTCCTTGGTTTCCTGAACAAACATACTTTGTCTACACTTTCCTTTTCGCAGTGGAGACTGCTGTTTGAAGCGGCAGGCTGGGATGGAACACTAAACATGGTTTTGGAAAATAGCCTATTAACCAGAAACGTTTTGTCTTTTTCCAGGGGGGCGTACTGCCTGGTCGAGCACGGTGACTATCCAAGGCACCAACTTCTCGGCCCGCTATTTTTATGATGGCCAGTACATCCACAACGCCAAAGAAGACGCCGCGGAAGTTGCGTACACGGTGTTGAGCTCTCGAGGTTCCCCACCAACCTCCACGACGTTGCAGGGACAGCTCTATGCGCAAAATCAACCGGGCAGTACTTCATACTCCCGGCCAAACTGGCCTTCTTAGTGGATAGTTATGTTTGCTCCAGGAAAGGACAGAAAGTCTCTCAAGATCTCGCCTGGCCTGATGGACGTCGGCATTCATATTCCACGAGCTCGCCTACAACCTGCCATTTCTTACAGGCCGAAATAGCTATAAAATCCTTTTCTTTCTTGTCAGGCTTGGCTCCGCGATGGACGTTCTTAATTTTCTGCCTGGGCTCACTTAGTCCTCTCACTTCGTTGTATTTCCTTTAAGACGGCCCTTAAGGTCTTTACCTTTCTGTTCAGGGTGACACCTCATGTATTCTCCTTGTCTCCTTTGTTAGAACTTTTTTACTTTACCTTTTGTTGATCTTTGGGTTACTTTTCTTGGTATGACAGAACAGAGATAGGTTTGTTTGGCACAATTTGGAAAGAGCGGCAAACTTTTTTTTGTGGGATAGGAATTGGGCAGACTTTTCACTGGGGATATATGGTGGGTTCTTCTGAGAAGAGCCTGGTTCACTGCCCCTTTCTTACTGGGGAATCACTTGATTCGTGAAGATGTGCAATCTATTTGGAAGCGATTCCCCTAGTTTTTCGTTGTTGCATCACTTGCTATACAGCACTTGAGAATTTCGAGTGGTAGTATCTATACCAATATCAGAGAATATCACAAATAGAGCTCTATGAATCAACACTAGGGGCATCTGAGAGGTCACGGATATGAGGTCAGTGAGGTAGGCCTAGTTATAGCACTGTAGTTTTGAGAGATAGCTAAATTAAGTGGCTAACTAGTTTACTAGTCCAATGGGAAGTCGTTCTGAGGTCTCTGAGGCGGTGTTTTATGGGCCTCTGGGGCTGCTCACTGCCAGGTATATCCCTAGCAAAGAGCGATGCTCCGCGGGCTGAAAGACCCCTTGCCCTAAACCCTAAAAATTGCGTTTCTGGCTCCTTTTACCCCGAACACCCTAACCCCAATCAGGCACCTCCATGCCGGGCCCCGCAATGCCCGCCAGCTCGCAACCAGCCGGCGGAGCCTTTTTAAATGTCTCCTCACTGCTCAACCTCAGGGTTCCTCGGTCATGGAGTCCGATATTGATCCCTGGCCTACCAACCCAGCCCCCTAAACACCGCATTCTAAGATTATCGCGCAATAGACCGACAACGTCGCTGCACGACCGGCTAGACAAGGACCGCATCCAGCCTTGATAACTAATAGTTAAAGGAGCAGAGACCAGAAGCTCCGCTCGAGACACCTATAATTAGTGATCGACCATGCAAGCCTGCGATCGCTGCCACCGCCGAAAGTCGCGATGTGATAAACAAGTTCCCGTTTGTGGCCCATGCATGAAGGCTGGTGTGCCGTGCATCTACACTGATCGATCCAAAGAGCCCACATATAGAAAAGAGGTTGTGGAGAGGTTAGAGCGCCGATTAAAACAATGCGAGGCGACAAATCGTGCTCTAGCTTCGAGACTGGCCAGTGCGAACAGCCAACTTGCTGCTGTAACAACAAACGACGCTGCCGGCGAGGACCAGGCTAGTAATTCAAACATACCTGCTCAAGAGCAACAGCACCAGTCGCGAGCGGAAAGCGACAATGAGGTCACGGATGAGGTTTCTTTTCTGTCCTTGACAGCCGGGGGGGAAAGACAGTTCCTCGGATCGGGTAGCGGAGTGCTGTTTGCTAATCTCGTTCGAGCGACAGTGGAAGCGAATTCTGCGCCCACCTCCTCAATTGCTCTCAAGGCCAAGGAATTCCAGCGGAGCTCACCTTACCCTGTCAATGGCCATTCCTTGTCCCTTACACCGGTACCAAAGACGGATCTTTCTCAGATACCCCCCGAACAGTTCGCTCGAGACTTACATCATGCCTACTTCGAACATGACCACCTTTGCTACCCCTTCCTTCATAGACCGACCGTTCTAACCGCATTCGAAAATATCTATTCAGATCCCCCGTTCCTTGATCATGACCACTACGCTGCATTTGTATACTATATGATTCTTGCTATATCCTCTGTTGATTTTCACAAATTCGATTGGCAAACTCGCCCTGATGCTGAGAATTTCCACGCTATTGCGTTAGCTAGGCTTAATGAAGTTTTGCAGCTTGGTGGGATAAAAGCTCTGCAATCAATTCTTTTACTTGTACAATATCGAATGAGGAGTTCGATACAGGACACGTCTGCAAGTATGTCTCGGTTTCCGGCCAGTAGTCCCTACTATATTTGACTTACACGTCCTTCGAATTAGGCATGTGGCATTTGGTTGGCGTTGCTGCACGCGTGTGCTTCGAATTCGGGCTACACCGTGAGCTTATCTATAAGGTTCGGCAGGCTCCCGATGAGACAACGTTAAGTGCAACAGACCAATTCATTCGTTCAGAGGTGAATCGTCGATGTTTTTTCTGTGTTGTTGCTATGGATCGGTGGGTTTTATAAGACTATTGTTGTTTGACTTCGTTAACGACTGGTATTAGCGTGGTGAGCATTACACTCGGCCGACCGTTTGCAATCCGACTGGAAGATATTGATGTTGCTCTGCCGGAGTCACAATTTGATTTGGATATAACTCCACCTGGTGCAAGCTTTTATCCTTTGACTGGCGAATCATTCTCCCGCACGACCCTATTTAACCATATTGTCCGCTATCGAATCTTGTGCGGAAAAATCTTAGCCTCACTGCATACCGGAAGTCGTTTTCAGCCGAGACTTGAAGATACATCGGCTCTAGAAGTTCGTGAAGGCTTAGTTTCAGAACTTAAAGCGTGGCGCCATGATACAGCTTCCCTCAGCCTACCCGCTGTCGACCTTTCAAGCGCAATACCAGGTGACAGGTCTAGCTTTCGAGCCCACGAATGGTATGAGATTCTCTATCACAACGCGATCCTAATGCTTTACCGCCCATCTCCTGCATTATCTGCATCGTCCACGCAGGTCCCAGTAGCGATGCAAACCATATTTATGGCCGCAAGACAATCGATAATACTCTACGCGCATCTGCATCGGTCGAGGAGAATCAACTATACATGGATTACTTTACATGCTGTTTTCATGGCAGGGCTCTCTTACGTTTACGCTGTTGGTAGACACTTTCGCGCCAAACGTCGGCTTGCATCTGGGGGAAACGCCACTACAATGCTCGATGAGGATCCATCTATTATCGAAATTGTTAACGAGACTCGGGCATGTTCCAATGTACTTGTCGCCGTTTCGGAACGATGGTCGGCCTCACGCAATACACATGAAGTATTTCATCGTTTAAGCGATGCAGTTCTTGCAGACGCAATTGAACTTCTAAGCTCACCACCACCTTCATCAGGAGCTAGTCAGCACCCACAGACCTCACTTCAACTGGGAAATCTTGGCTCGCCGTCTAGCATTCACATGAACGGTATCAATAGCCTGGAGAATAATGCCACAAGCCCTAATTTAGAATCACCTTGGCCTGAGATGATAGCAAGTCCACCGTTAGCAGTGGATTCGGTGCTGAGGGATTGTTTCCGAGATCTACAGAACATTCACGAGCATGGCTGTGGTGATGATCCCATCGGAAGACTATCGCAGGACTGGTTAGGGGAAATTGGTGGGATGACGCTAGACTCGGTGCCCATCTGGGGAGAATAAACTTTTTTTCACATTGAACGAGCTAATGAACGATTTTGAGAATATTTTACGCCTCCTTATTTGACCGATGCGGTTTTATTTACTTCAAGCGTTCCTGAATTTTATTCAGCCGGTCTTATCTGGAATCGGGTTTTCAAAAAGCGTATGGTATTCCATATACCAAATCGGTTTTCTAGTTTAGAGTGTTAAACAGCGACAAGAAACACTCAGGCCACTTGGTTATCTAAGTCCGCACCCGGTTATACTACAAGTTTATTATCACCAACATCTAGCCTCTTGAGCAATGGTGATTTTGGCTACCTACTCTAAAATTAGCTGGAGTCTCCTAAACACTGTCTGGCGAGCCCCTTGGAGTTTAAATCTTTATATTCATCTGCAATACCTTGGTTTTGGGTGTTAATGGCGTCGTCGAACTTTTTGGTGAGGTGTTAGCCAGGCGCGTTACGATACGGAATACCCTTTTGGTTTTATCGGGATTTTTTGGTTGGTAGTAGTCTGGGTCATTTGTGTACATTTGTGTATATATTTAATCTGTTTGATTATCCAAGCCAATACTATCCACTTCATTTACTTAACTGCCTTTTTGATATTGTCTGTTGGTGTTGAATTTTGGGCCTAAAGTTATTAAAGCTTTTTTTGCTAGGTAACTATAGAACAAGTAGTTAACCACACAGTGTGGCAATAATCCTTAGTGGTGTAGTGGTTAACATCGCTGTCTCTCACACAGCAGCCCTGGGTTCGATTCCCAGCTAGGGAGCTCACGATTTCTTTTTGCTCTTTAAGTGTCTATGTACACTTTGTATGAATGGCAAGCATCCTTTGGGGATATTTTTGGATCCACTATGGTTTTGGTAAATGGGTATTTAGATGGTTTCTTTTTTAAAAATCTCTCCGCCAAAAGAACGAAGTAACGAGGATACGGAATAAAGCTCGATAAAGCATGGACAGGTGACTCTCCAAAGGACTTGCCTATTGGAGAGCATGTAGTCCCCCCCATGAGCTAGTGGAGGCAACATAGCAATATTTTCCATATTTCGTAGAGCGGAGAGACGAATAGGGATCAAAGATGTTTGCTCTGCACAGAGTATTTTTTTTTTTAGTTTGTCTTGTCGGATCCAACCAACTCAAGTTTCACACAACCCGCATCACCAACACAGCCTACGCTCTGTTTTTAGATACCCAGTCCATAATGAGATGAAACCTTTGGCCCGCGTCGTTGTGCGATCCTCCTTACATTTGCTTTTAAGGCCACTCGTCACTACCCGCATCCCCTATTATAAATTTACAACCATGGCTCCAGCTACAATCGCAGCTTCCACGCCTGATCCTGCCCCTCGTAAACGAATGCCCTCAGCATTAACATTTAACCTTGAAGCAAGATGCTCAGTATGTCCCTCTGCCCCTCATACTTCCCCCATAAGTCTGAACTAACCGGCCCAATCCAGACAACGAAAGCTCGCGCGAGCACCCTCATTCTTCCCCACGGGACCGTCAAATTACCGATTTTTATGCCTGTTGCGACTCAAGCCTCCCTAAAAGGTCTCACGCCCGATCAACTCAAGCAAACAGGGTGCATGCTATGCTTGAATAATACGTACCACTTAGGTTTAAAGCCGGGGCAGGAAGTATTGGATGTAGTAGGCGGGGCACATAAGTTTCAGGGCTGGGATAGGAATATATTAACAGATAGTGGAGGGTAAGCTGGTCTGTTAACATATTCTGCTGATATTGTATTTTTTCCTATGTGAACAACCCTCGTAAATAGCCCTTTGCTAACATGGCCGCGATTCAAATCCAACAGGTTCCAGATGGTATCGCTATTGAAACTTGCTAAAGTTACGGAAGAGGGAGTTCGGTTCTTGAGTCCACACGACGGGACACCGATGTCGGTTTTTACAGATCCTATGACTCCAGCCACGCTAACATCTTGAAGGCTTCTGACACCGGAACACTCAATTTCATTGCAAAACTCCATAGGATCCGATATAATTATGCAACTTGACGATGTTATTACCACCACATCTCCCGACCATGCCCGTATGAAGGAAGCGATGGAGCGCTCAGTGCGTTGGCTAGATCGATGCATTGGGGCCCACAAATTTCCCGAGAGACAGAATCTATTTTGTATTATACAGGGTGGTCTTGATCTTGAAATGCGCAAAGAATGCTGTAAGCAAATGGTAGAGAGAGATACACCAGGCATCGCTATTGGTGGATTATCCGGTGGTGAAGCAAAGGATGAGTTTTGCAAAGTGTGAGTTGACGATTCCCCGGTTGCAACTAAACTAACTTCTGTAATTAGGGTCAACACCTGTACAGCTCTACTGCCACAGAATAAACCGCGATATGTCATGGGTGTGGTAGGTATCATTATATCATTATATGCAATCACCGATACTTAGACTAATTTTACACAAGGGATATCCCGAAGATCTTATTGTGGCAGTCGCCCTAGGTGCAGATATGTTTGATTGCGTGTGGCCTACAAGAACAGCGGTAGAGTCTGGTGCCTATGATTCTTCTAGATTGTGTTGCTGATGTTTTCTTAGAGATTTGGAAATGCTGTGACGCCTAATGGGACCCTAAATCTTCGGCATGCGTCGTTTGCGAACGACTCTAAGCCTATTGACGAAAACTGCTTATGCACATCCTGTCGACCAAAATCAAAAGGTGGACTTGGTATTTCACGTGCATATATTCACCACCTGGCCTCGAAGGAGACCGTGGGCGCGCATCTGTATGTGATATTGTTTGGTTTCTAGACATATAATATCTTACAGAATTAACTAACGAATTTTCTAGCCTAACTATGCATAACGTCCACTACCTACTTTCACTGATGAACTCAGTAAGAGATGCCATCATTGAGGATCGATATCCCGCTTTTTGTCGCACGTTTTTCAAAAATTTATATAATAACCCATTAGACTTCCCTGAATGGGCGGTCACTGCCTTGCGGGCAGTCGGCGTTGATTTGATGAAAGGTTAACGGCTCTAAGTCGAAATTTATCCAAAAATCGATAGATATTTTCTGTTTGGCATATTATGTAGTTTACTATACACCTGCATGTTTTGCATAGAGGCGGCGTCGCGGGGTACTTGGCTGGGCGTACTCTAACTTAGGTTGACTTTTTGTTTTTCAACGATCTTTCTTGCGCATAGACAACTACATGCGGAGTACTCCGTACATATTCTGAAGGTGTTGATACGCAATCGATGTCATTAGACGAGAAAATAAACTTTCCATCTATAAAGCTTAAATCATCGCGTCGAGACGCGCCTTGATCGATAAGATAAGCCCGGCGCGTGTCAGCCAGCGTGGTTTGTTTGAGGAAACAAAACCGCCTCAACACAACCTAGAAGAAGAGACGCTTCTCATATCCTCCACTCTAATGGCTTCAGATGCAGCTTCCGGCTACTCCCAGGTGCTCCAGGCACCTGCTGAAGCTTCCATCTCACCCAGCCCTCCCCCCAACCCACCCGACCCCTCTCATGAGGAGCATCAATACCTCAATCTTATTCGCACCATTCTCGCAACAGGCGAACACCGACCAGATCGCACCGGAACTGGGACTCGGTCTATTTTTGCGCCTCCTCAACTCCGATTTTCTCTCTCGAAACCCGGAAGCACAACGTCATCACCCCCAGTTCCTATCCTTCCTCTCCTAACTACTAAGCGCGTGTTCCTCCGTGCTGTAGTTCTTGAATTACTCTGGTTTGTCTCAGGATGCACCTCTTCACTTCCTCTGAGCGAGGCAGGTGTGAAAATCTGGGATGGTAATGGGAGCCGAGAATTCCTTGACTCTGTCGGCCTTTCCCACCGGGAAGTAGGCGACTTAGGACCTGTATACGGATTTCAATGGCGACATTTTGGCGCTGAATATGTGGATGCAAAGGCAGACTATACAGGAAAAGGCGTTGATCAAATTGCGGAGGTAGTTCGAAAATTGAAGGAAAGCCCGTATGATAGACGGATAATTTTGAGCGCGTGGAATCCTGCCGATTTAAAGAAGATGGCATTACCTCCCTGTCATATGTTTGCACAGTTCTACGTCTCTTTTGCATCTGCAACGTCTCCAGGGCCCGAGAATACAACAAATGGAGAACAGGAGACAACGAAAGGGACCCTCCACTGCCTACTTTACCAGCGATCCTGTGACATCGGCCTAGGTGTCCCGTTTAATATTGCATCGTATGCCCTGCTCACGCATATGCTCGCTCATGCGGCTGATTTATACCCTGGAAGCTTGACTCATACTATGGGGGATGCTCACGTTTATCTAGATCACATTGAGGCATTGCAAGTGCAACTGACACGAAATCCAACAGCCTTCCCGGAACTCAAGATCAACCGTACCGATAGAGGGAGTGGACAGATGGATGGGTGGAAAGATAATGATTTTGAGGTACTAGGATATAACCCGCATAAGCTTATTAAAATGAAGATGAGCGTATGACGGTGTCTCAAAATCCTTATGATTTTATGTAGAAGCGTTAAGTTTGGATCTGTCTTTATATCCCAGCATGAGAGAGATATAATATGAGTAGAACTATATGTTAAGTATACTGGTTTATCTAGGATAGTCTCTATCCAAATATGATACTCAAATATGTAATAAAGGTATTATGCCTCAATCAAATCAGGTATTGGTGGTCCAACTCCCCTTAACAGCACAATCGTGTCGCCCTGTGCAACTTTACAACTCCCAATCTTTTCAGAAAAATCCAAAAGCTTGCCCCCTTCGACATGAAACACCCTTAACCGTTCGTCCTCCCCTTCCACTCGATTGTTCACATTTTGTACTTTTAGCCTCTTCGCAGCATCATCTAAAAGACGCCCCACGCTCCACGACGCATCGAAATAAAAATCACCCGTGGGAAATTTTGCCGTTGTTGTATCTGCTGACGCTTCGACGTGAAGATAAAACCGTTTGGTGGTGTCAAGGTTTGGATCTCCTTTCGCCGATTTTTTCAGGGCATTGAGATTTGCTATTCGAGTTGCCGCGCTACTCGGAGGTCTGGACTTGGGGGCGAAGCTGACAGTAACAGCAGAAGATTTGTCTTTGCCCCATGCACGGAGCTTAGAGAAGGCAGATCGGGCCTTGTCTACATTTGTCTGGGAAGCTGCAACCAAGCCGCCTTTTCCAGGCCGTGCGCCCAGAGGTATTAAGTTCGAACAGTCGTGGTCCTCGCGTAATCGATGTGACAGGCAATACTGCCTATTGCAATTTTTGCAGTGAACGCCTGGATTTTGAAGTGTATGAATGAGTATTTTACACTTTGGATGAGAGCACTGCGTCGAATTATAGACTGAGGGTTTGGTATTTAAGGGTGAGAGCATGCTGCTAGTCATATTGTCTTGTCTTCTCCGAGCAGCTGCCCACTCTCCTGCTTTGGCGCATCTGTGTGCAGTCTCTGTTCGGTGATCTAGGCAAAATGTGTACTTGCAGGACTCGCACCTGAATGGGAGAAAATCGAGCTGACGGCAAAAGTGACAGTGTTTCCCGATCTCTTCTAAATCATGTTCTGGTGCCATTTGAGTGTAAGACTCTGGCGGGTCGCCTGGAGAGGGTGTTACTGGCATGGTGATGGATTGGAACAAGATACAAACAGAAAAGTGAAGATATACACGCTATAGAAATAAAAAAGCGATTAGCAATCCAAAGCACCGTCGAACGCCTTCCGCTTGCCAAAACGTGTCTTCAAGTCTTGCGTAGACGTAGTTATCACCGACCCGCGTTACGAAGTTATAACTTGCCAAGCCCTGATAACCCGGTTATCACGGCGCCTCCCCTAACAAACCCATTCACAAGACCAGGAGCGTACACAGCGCGCAGGCTGGTTACTAAGCTCCGGCGCGCGTAATGCCAAGACTTCTCAAATGCACTAGACTATATTGGGCCTAGTATGATAACTTGCCCCGCTAAAGTTAGACCCTGATGCTCGGACATCGGGCAAAGTATTTATCCAATAATAACAAGTCAGTGGAGGATATAAGCAACCCTAAAAAACATCAAGAAAACAATAAAATTACGGAAGAGAGAATGTCACTCAAGGGGCCACATGTGAAAATATATAACAATAAGCATATAAAACTAGATTGTATATGTGGGAAAACAGAACACATTTGGAGTATTGCCTAATATTTGTCCCTACGTAAACGAGACTCTAGTTCCAATATGTAAAATTGACACTTGCAAGACGGGGTAAAAGTATCTCGAAAAAAGGAACTGCAAGAACATAATTTCGACCAAGGAACCATATAAGTCTCATCATATGGTACCTCAAATGGCTATTTTCCACGTCTCACTGTACATTCTTTTGGGGGGGGATCAGGCTTATAGAATATGGAGAGAAGATAGGCTGTAGCGTAAGATCCCCCCACCGCTATTCTTCGAAGGTGAACCTGAGAGATAAATTGTCTGATACGGGACCACCATATGCTTCCTCCTCGTTTTGCGCATTCGAAAGCCTGGATCCTTGATGTCGTTTTAACTGAAAAATAGTGAGTTTAAAGACAAGGCTTGCAAAATAAAGATGCAGGAAAGCGCACACCTTCTGGAGACGAAACAGCATAAATTCAAGAGCCGATTTCTCAAGCTTCGCGAAACGCAGAACATCGTCTTTTGTCTTCATTCTATACCAGTTCTGTGGAAATAACAGTGCGCCACTAAAATCTATCAAGAGTGCACGTCCATCCTTGGAAACCATTATATTTCGTGGAAGTAAGTCACCATGGGCAATGTCCAGGTTATGCAGCTGGTCAAGCTGATCACGCAGGCTCTGAGCACCCTCTGCTGTGAGACAAGCTTTGTCAACTGTGGTTCCTTCAATGTATTCAAGCAGCAATCCACAGACAGGGTCTTTTGCTGTATCTGCTCTCCATTGCCAGTCTGCTGCCACACATAATTTCTGGCTTAAGTATTCTGCTTGGTTTTTGGTCACTGTGAGCCAACCATAGCATCGAGGGCCAACAATTCCATTGAGATTTTTCTCGATTAAATAGTCGTATGTTCGAGCTTCAACAATAAATGGGTCCATTCCCAATGCATTACTTTCAAACCGCGAAGGTCGCCAGTGAGGTTGTGTCAGTCGGTACTACCCAAATAATAAATCAGTAGAAATATAATAGGGTAACCAGTGAGGATTACTAGTTTAAGGGCATATATTTTGCCATCGAGCTGTATCTTAAACAGGTAGCTATGGCCTGCTCTAGCGAGAACGTTCAAGACTTCAATGCGGCGTGTAACATCCCTTTTATCGGGCAAGAATGGGCAATATTCCTCATAGTTACGTAGCCACACATTCCAGCAAGTATCATGTGATTTCCCATTGGATGCTGGCATGGTGCCATGCATAGAAAATGAGTCGTGACCTTAGTCTACCCAAGTAATTTAGTCGATGACTTGTTCGTCTCGATATCATCCGGCCATAGCGGATGAACCCCAGTTACTCCATAGTTTCTCTGCAAATAATTCTGCCTTTTTTATTAGTTAGTAGTAGTAGACCGATTCCTGAACGAACAACGAACAACCTTTCTGTAGATCTTGCCTACTAGAGGCTTAGTGGAATGGACGGCGTTATGACCCTGCAAACTCTATTTCATTCACTCCGCGTACTCCGTACCGCCGACGTTCCAATTCTCATTTTTGAATGAAATCAATCCAAAAAATTAAAAAAGATAAATTCAAGAACAATAATTAAACACAGAGTACGAGTACTTGGTAAGGCGCTACGGGTCCAGGGTCTAAAGCCGAGGTCAAAACAGAGCCGCGATGCATTTTACACTTACCAGAGCTCAATACACACAGCTTACGGCAGCTCCACCATCTCAATTGCTAGAGAATGCTTAGTTAGTAGGATTGGTGGATTGGCATGCCAACTCTATCATGCATAAAAGAGGAGAGAAAAAGTGGTTCGTTGTCCACTTCGTTCAAAAATCCCAGTGCAGTCTTAAGCATGGCTCCTACCGAGTACGCAGTAGCTCGAGTGAAATTCGAGTTCTTCTCAAAAATCCGAGTTGACGCTATGACATGCACACCCAGGTCGGGGCTGTATCGGAGACTCGTTCCGGACTGCCGACGATATTCCACGTCGCTACTCCACGGGGATTAGGCTTAAGTCAAATTTTGGGTTCTCCTTGATACCCATAGCATAGCTGTGCGCTAATAGTCTCATATATGATTGAACTACTGCTATTCTGGAATATTGTTGCATTTTCCGGCATGGCTGATATGTTACAGAGTACGGAGTACGTTCGCAAAAAATACCGCCACTTCCTGTTTAGTGAAACTCGTATAAACTGACATGCATCATGCAGCATTCTTACCACTTTGTCGCCCAGGCATGCTTGGATCAGTGGTTATTTGTGAGCTGCCCCCAGTCATTCCTACTCCACATACGGAGTGCAGACTACCTACTCCGTGGGGTTTAAAAGACCGATTTCTCCGCCACTTCTGCTAAACCTCTTACTGCCATTCTCTACAAGCTGAAACTTGCCATACATAGCTACCTTGTTTTAACCATACAAAATGCCTACTCTGCTCGAATTCCTTAGAGCTCGTGACCCCAACCTGGACAGATCCTATGTCAAACGAGGACCTAATACGTTCAATGCGGCATGGGATACAGTAGACCGTGTTGAAAACTGGCCTGACTTCAACTTTGTGAACTTGATTGCTATGCTTGGTCCCATCCTCCATCACCAGTTTCACCAACATGAACTTGATATACCACCCCAACCTTCCCGTGCTACTCTTCAAATTGTCGATGAAAAATCTGTTACCAAGCTTCTATCAAAATGGACTCATACGCGAGTTGATTGTGCTCTGGAGAAAGCAGTCCACCTTCTTCAAGGCCGCATGATGCCAATATCCTGGGCGTCAGGAGGTCATGCTGATAGTGCTGATGAAGTAATATATCCTGACTGGGCTGGAATTGATTTGAATGATAGCTTTCCGACTATCAACCGCGTCCCAGGTGATACCAAGGCGTCTGGAAAATGACATACTGAAATGCAAAACGAAGACGAACTGGCTGAATTTTTGAAGCCAATAAGCCAAGTCATGAACTATGCTAAGTTATTCAACACTAGATATGCATATGTTGTCTCGGACCGAGAGGTTGTTTGCCTTAGAAGAACCATATCAGAATATGAGGGAACTCCACTCGCCCGTGGCCGCGAACGCCGTCCTCTTTTCCCTACAACGCCGATAGGACACTCTAGTCAAATCTCCATGGCATCTTCTACTCCGCCGCCTCCCAGTAGCCCTCCTGTTCAAGTGGTGATTCGGCGCCAGCAACTGCCACAGAGCTCCCAGTTATTCCTTACACCTGAACGAGCCCGACAGTCACCTCGCATCTTACTTTCTTCTCCTAAAAATATAAGCTCGTCTCCGTCCGCTTATACGGATAATGGAAACCCCGATGTTGCTGAGTGGATAGTTGAGATGGCAAGAGTCCCCTGGGGAGAAACCAGGCCAAATCACCTCACAGTTAACCTTGCCATTTTTTGGATCCACATTTTGGCAGCATTCGACATCGACATGCAGTCTTCATACCCTCCTTTAGGAAGAGACTTGGCAAGGGAATACGGTATGTCCATTCTTATCGTCACGTTTTCGTTTCTTATGACCTTTTCGTTAGGCATTCGGGAGTAACCAAAGCCTAAAACAGCCAGTCTTTGTAGCAACGAATATCCTGGTAAGGGTTTTGGGCCGTTTAACTTTAATTGAAGCGGAGGAATATAACATTCTGAGAAATTATGGGCTGGTAGAATGCTGAGTATGTAACACAACTCGGATAGATGTGAAACTAGCTACATCTATAGTTGACTGGATTATCAGTGAGCTCTGGCACCTTATTTAACGCCAGGCACCCATGGTTCCCATCTGCATTTTCCAATAATAATTACTCAGGCAGATCTCGCTCACTTCATTCGCCGTTCCACTCTTTCTAGTAGCTGCCAAGTGCTCCTACCACAATTCTATATGCAAAAACGGCGCAGCTCTGGAGCAGCGAATGAAGGGAGCGAGCTCTGCTCGCATTATAGTACTACTACTACTGTAGGATATCTCCCGATCAAAATGCTACATAGTTATCTATCTTGTAACTAAAGATTTTTCTTTTCTTTAGCTGGCGAAACCTCCGTCTGGCTGAATCCTATGACTGGGGAGGCGGCAACGCCAATCGCTAAGTTAGAAAGCGACCCTGACCTAAAATACTACCGAACATGAATATCGCCCACTCACAGTGCTTGCAAGTTTTGAAGAAACTTGCCAGCGGCAAAAAATGTCTATAATTCGACTGCAAAAGAATATTTTTAGGCACCACACTTGAGGTCACCTTCGATCTTACTTCCACGAAGGCAGCATAGCTTCTCAGCAAGGCGCATTCAATGGGCCAAGGATCTTGCAAATGTCGTGGAATTTACTCATAACTGTGCCGTCAGACATGGTGATATTGTCTGCCGAAGCATTCTACTGAACTCAGGAAGATCCATCTGGCTGTGTGATTTTGCAGGCTCAGGGAATAAGGATGAAAACTCTCGTGTTTATCTAGAGGCCTCCCCCTACCTGTGTCGAAGCTAGAAGGGCAACTATCCCCTATGAACTGCATGATTTGGGAACAACTATATATGAGATAATAACCTCATCCCGGCCATATTGGGATGAAACTCTTGAGGGACGGGATGCATGGGATGATGAAGACAGATCGCGTAAATTTTGTAGGGAGCAAAAGTTTTCTAGTTTTCAAGGCTATCATTCTAGGTGACATCATCGATGGACTCTGACATTACGGATGTTCTTTCGCCAAAGAGGTCAAGCAGGAAATTGATAATCTAACGTGGCGTTTGGCGCGAGCAATCGATATATCCTCTCCAAGGCGCCATCACTTGGATGGCGGAAATAGGATCTACATCTAGGTATCAATAGCAACCAGAGTTAACAATCGCCAAAGGCAATTTTTGTGGGGAAAGGGGAAAGGCGAGAGCTTGATCAATTGATCAAAGAGCACCCACATATTCCAGTATGTTAAAAAAAAAATTATGGATTCAGATCCTAAAGCTTTCTCTGCTATTGTGGAATCGGAAAAAACTAGACTGCTAGATAAATAAAACATAGAATACTAAGAGAGAGAACGGGCTCATACAGATCGATAAAAGAAAGAAAAGTAAAGTAGAGCGTTAAGGGGGGGAAAAAAATAAAAGGAACACCGACAAGGGTATATGAATCCAACAATCTGGGGTATTATGCAGCACCAACTCCAGTAAACTAAACATGGCTATGAGATATCAGCAAAGTAGCACAAGGGACGAATAATCGTACAAATTTTTCGAAGAAAGGGTAGAAAAGGGAAATGGACTCGTAGAGTGTACGCGCCATGCTTTACGAAGCAGACTTATCCTGATCTTTGGCAGAAGGAGCAAATGGAATAGCCGAAGTTGATGTGAAAATAGGGAGGTTCTCTCTTGTGTACGCTGTTGGGGCAGCAGATTGGGTTGTTATTTGTCTATGGGCGATTGGCGATGTTGGAGTAAGAGGCGGGGAGAAATAAGACTCTTGCTCGACAAGTTGATGGTGCTCGAGGCTTTTAGCGGTAGAATGAACATCTGTGATTGGGGTTTTCGCTGGCGAAGCCGAGTTTGATTCAGCAGGAAGGGGAACCATGCACGCATCGGGAATATCGGGTTTCAAAGTCACTTCTGGAGGCTGCAAAGAAGTTGGGGGTAGGGGAACTCTCGAGGTAGGCCTTGGTGCGGGTTGCCTTGCTGTTTTAGCTGCTGGCTTCTTCTGAGGTTTCGTTACCACCTTTTTGCGTTCTTTAGTAAGCCTGGCGGCTTCCAGAGCAGCATGCACCTCTGGGCTTGGAGCTTTGAGGTTAATCTTTTTCACGCCACGCAAGATTTTCTCAATATCATCAGGAAGAGTCGCCGTATTCGACGTTGCCATCGGAGAAATTAAAGTACTGTTGTCAAGAGCTGGTGGACAGGGGATTTTGTCGCTGGATCGACCACCACCGGTCACTCTTGTCGAACTGATTGCCCTTTGTTTTTGAACCGTTAAGCCACTAGAGGTACCAAGTCTTGGTGGCTGAACCGGTGCCTTGCTTGCTGGACGCACCGATGGTTCACGAGCTTTACGAGGAGGAGTACTCTTCGGTGTTGAAGTAACTGCAGAAACTACGCTTAAAGCTAAGCTTGGTACCCTTTCTAACGGATTAACCGCTTCGGGTATATGAATTGACGTTTTAGAATCAGGGCAGTCAGGCAAATCCTTAGATGACGCAATAGTTGTCCGACGAGTAGACCTAGAAGCAGGCCTTGTATTTCGTGCTTCTTCTTGAAGAGCTGCGATTTTTGGCTTTCTTTCTCGAAGCTGCATATGGCTGCGCTCAGACACACTTTCAAGGTCAGACCCTGTGGTTGAATGTCTCTCCCGTTTAGTCCGAGGGTTCTCGACTTTCAGTTCAGTATGCTTGAAACTAAATGTTTGTCTGTCGGTTGGTATCATGGCTTTCCACAATTCAACCGCAGCAAGAGCCCAATCAACCTCAGGAACCGAGGGGTCATCCAAAAATAGGTGGTGGGGAAGAGATGAAACTCGATCCCGAATTGGAGTGAGGGCTTTTGCAGCTGATGCTTGTGTATGGGCCAAAAAGCTGGGTTGACCTTTCTCACGGGGTTTGCGGATCTGCGGAGGGGGCGGGCGTTGAGAAATGGCTTCTAACTCTTCCAAAAAGGGAACACTCCACCACGCGGAGTCGAACCTTGTGGCGTTACCGGCCTTCTCGCTAACAGTATCAGCATTTTCATCGCTTAGCATAAGACGGCTAAGCCCAGCAGCAAGTCCACTAGGACTATCTTTTCTCTCGGGGCCTCTCGTATCCGAGAGGGCGGAAATATGGCTAAAAATGCCGCTGGTAAGGGCTCTGTCACTGTATCCTCCTTCAAGAACACTGACTATCCTCCCATCAACATTCAGACCTTCCTCCTCAGCAAGCTTGACAATATCGGCAGTAAATCTAGCGTAGAAATCTGTGGGGACGTTAACTTTGTGTCTCTGCATTCCAGCCCCTTCCCATTCACTAGCATCAAAGCCCGCAGAAATAAAAATTGCGGTTTTCGGTTGTATAGAGGGCGAAAGACTACTTAAATACTCGGAATGGGAACGTAGAAAGCGCCTTGCCTTCTCCAAAAGAATTATGTATTTCGTGTTGTACAACTTCCAAAACTCATCCATATCTTGCCACGGTTCGAGATGCACATTCCAGATAGACTGACCATGAGCATCCTCAATGCAAGCGCTGGCATTTATGACCTTAACCGGGTCCCCATCTTCGCATGGATATGAGTTGATATCGTGTAGACTAAAATAGCCAATCTTAGTTTTTTTGAACGAGGCGGCATTTTTGGATGCTGATGCAGCTCTTTCGTTTTGTTCCCACGTAATAGTCTGGGATCCATCACCATGGTGTAGGTCAAAGTCGATTATCGCAGCATGTGTTAGGCCGTGGGTCATGGCCGCATGCATTATGCCAATATGTACGTTATTGATCCAGCAAAATCCAGACGGGTAGTTCGAAGAACAATGGTGCCCTGGAGGCCGAATACACACAAATGCGCGCCGGGTCGCGTCGGGCGCAAAGACGGCATCAATAGCTTCGCAGACGCCCCCCAATGCACCCTCGAACGCAGCTTGCGACTCTGGACAAAGGTAGAGATCACCCTCATGCAACTTCGCTGTTGAACTTGAGGCATTACTTGCGGAGCTGCTTGGGCGAACAAGCTCTTTGCCATTCATCGCCAATCGCGATTCGGCTGCCTCACACATCGCTGTCAGCTCTCCCATCCATTTGGTTCCGTGGATATGCGTGGCAGCTGCAGAGTTTAGTGACACCGAGCGCGTCGTTTTACGAATTTGGAACGGAGGAGTTGGTATGGAGTGCACATCAGAATCAGGATGCGGCGCGAAAGGATTGTCTCCCCATCTCTTCCCCATCCGAACATATGCTGCAGCTACCCCCAATATGCCCGCGTGTAAACGTTCTGGACGTTCAACGATAGATTCCAAGCCAGCCTTGGAAGTTCTTGGTCGCGCATAACGGTGGCCAAAGCATGAATCATGAAGAAGCACAACGGTCTGCGAGTGCAAATTCGTGGATTGATGGAGGGCGAGTTCTCTCGCAAAGTGATCTGCTGCGATTGACAAAGCGGTATGCGGCGGCGACGGTGAAATGCTCTCTGACATGGCGGAGGGCGATCTGGGTATTGCTGCCATGTTTATGGAGGACCTCCTGGACGCGCCAGGGCACGGAGAACTGCAGTTTCGTACGGAGCGTAGCGAGGTGATAGAGAGCCGTTTTTGCAATGACGGAGTCGACAGGCGCCTGTCGTCTTTTAAAGACGCTATGCTTGTAGTTCTTCGGGGAATAGGAGAGCGATAGGCAGTTGGGTCATGGTGCGGTGTTTGATCGCGGGGTCGGTAGGAATGGGAGAGCGTTCGCGCCGAGGAGTGTGGCAGAGGCGAGTGAGGAGTCTGTGAAAGCTTCACAAGCGGCTCATTGCCATTGCTTGTTGTGAGGGGCTTGTATCGGCCAGACGATGACGATCGCGCTGCGTCCCTCAGGGAGACACTGGACAGCCGCCGCTGGTCCATGGGTGCCTGAGCGAACAAACTTCCAAGAAGGGCCGGCCTAGTGTGTTTGAGGGAAATAGCCTTCGGCAGAAGTTTGGGTAACGGGCATTAGCTCCTGAGTTTGTTTCTGCGTGCTGGGTAGGATCAGCCAGCGGGTGGTGAAGTAGAGTGGAGAGGAGAGGAGAGGGTGAAGGTGAGCTTCATCGCATGGTTAACTAACTATTTATCTAAAGTTTCTTTCTGCAGGGGCACTGCACTGCCTGTCCGGCAACACGCGCACTCTGTGCAAATCCTCTGCGGCACGGCATTGTGCCCGGCAGGCTCTTTAGCGGCCACAGACAGCAATGCGGTCCAAACAGCAGGAGTGCGCCCTGACACCAAAAACAGCCTGTGCCCAAATACCAAAAAGAAGCTCTGGGGTCCCGCCGCGATTCGAACGCGGGGCCTCTCGCAGCTTTGAGTTGCGCCCAAAGCGAGAATCATACCACTAGACCACGAGACCCGTGCAGTTCCAGCCGGCCGGAGCTGCGCTGTGGAGGAGTGCAGGAGATATCTGGAGGATTCCGGATACTCCTAACCTGCGACGTTGGCCTCACGATGTCAAAGAGTGTGTCTAGAACCAGGATGTTGATTACGGGCCCCATCCCGTTGGCTGACTGGCAGGCATCATAGCCGCAAATGGTACGAGCATGGACGGCAACTGACTATGTAACTATACAGGAAGCACCGCAATATACGTCGATACCTTTTATTTCACAATTATTAGACGTCTCAGGCTGGGCACAAATCTCGGACAAAGTTGATGAAACTTGGGGTTAGGTTTGGCCTCCACCGTTGGACTTGAAAAATGACACTTCAAGGTAAGCGAGACTTCGGCTTTTTGTCCCAATTGCTTCGCTAATGGCTGGAATATGGCGATGGAATAGCGGCAGACAGGTGACTCTCCAAATCGCACGCCCTAAAGTAGCAGATCAGCTTGCTGCTCATCTTTCTTCAGCGCATGAGCCCAAGGTCAAAATTTCACATGGTGACCATCTTCGCCATGTACTCCAGCCTTGAAGGGTTCTCTAGGTTACAATGAAATGGCAGGGCTCATATTGAGACCTTGTCCTCTGCCAAAGTGTTTCTGAGAGTCATCTTCTCCGGCCTGTATTTCTTGGATTCCAAACGCCACGTCATCTATACAAATATTTAGCTTTCCCAGGGGCTTGGTCCCAAGTAACAAGGAATATATCTTAAAGCCGGCAACATCCTCCTTGTTTTTGGGGCCCATGTTGCTAATGATGTTGAGAATTAGGTCCCTCTATAGGGGCACAATCCCATACATAGGAGAGTGAACGAGGGCCATGTATGTGAATTCTACAAAAGAATTGCAATCGGGATTGTGACGAGTGAGACTCGCTGATTTGGCGACGTGTCTTTCTGAAATCCTACTCGGAGAATTATGAACATACGACGTAGATTTATCGAGTCTAAGGACAATGGTGAGCCTCCTAAAAATATACCACAGCTAGAATAGAAGAATAACACTATTTCCAGTTATATATATCGCAAATCTTCCCAGAGACCCGGTCGTTCAGCGGAACTGACTTGACATGCAGTGGGTATTCGTCCAAATAACACAGCTTTGAAGCATTTACTATCAGAGCTAGGGCCGATGAGGCCATAGTATCATAAATATTTTCAAAAGAAAGTATATGAATGAAAATACTTGCCTAGAAAAGAAAATACCAGCATATGCCAGGCGAATTCTAGGCTTCTTATGATTTACTCACGAAATTTATTAGTATCTCTAATTGGATATTTCCTTTGTCATGAGAGTGAAGATGTGTGACTCTTTGGAGGATTTTTCAAAGAGAAAAAATGGTGCCGCGGGTGGAAAAATCAGTCCACAGTTGCATACTTAAAGAATTGTCCCTGACAAGTTACCCCAAATCTTAGGACCCTCTATTTGGCAAATTTTTTTGCTATCCGGATCAATCAGGAGCAACTGTTAGAACTCCATGAGCTATGATAGGTCCACCATACCGGACACTCTGGACTATCATCATACGGCTAAGGTACCGTGAGTTTTCTTCAGTATTGTGTCGAAAATCGACCCAACCCCCTCTCAAATCATGTGGCATCATAATTTGGGATGCATACACATACTCTATGCATTTGAGATAAAGGATGCACAGAGATGCATGTTGACCCTGTACAATATATACTTTCGCAAACGGAAAGATTACAACCGAGTTAAGAAAACTCCCAGCTAGTTAGTATCAAGCAAGAAAAGATTGAAAAAATAGCCAACTTGATTCAAGGAGACTTATGTACGGTGTATTTCCAAATATTTACATTGAAGGGTACTTTTCCTATGCTATAGGGAAAGGATTGACCTGATCGGTAAGCGACTCTCGAAGTCGTCATTCACAGACAGACAGATAGTGAACATTTGTCAACCAAGTTGGGCAGCTCCCAAAGGTACTGTCTTTCTTGGTTTCATGTTCGAAAGCGGGTATCACTGCAAGAACGGAAGAGTAGTAGAGCTACATCTCTTTACAAATTGTTCTGGAAAGCAAGTTCGGTCATGAAACCAACAACCAACTTGGCGTGCTCCAACATGTGGTCATAGTTGATGGTGCTGAGCTCATCAGCGGGACTGTGGATGGTAGGGCTGATGTTGTTGAAAGCAGCTTCGGCAACCATAGCGGATGGGAAGCCATATCGGTTGGCGGAAGCGTGGTCAGAGCAAGCATAGCCGCAGCGAGTGTTGACGTATGGGAGACGAGTGTACTATTATATGGTTAGTCTTTCCGCCTACCAAAGTTTCAAGAAGCGAATACTAACCTTGCCAATGACGGTTCGGGCAAACTGGCTCAATTCGGCGTTGACGTTGTCGGTGATGACACCGAATTCCTCACGAACTCCACGCTTGACGAAACCAGTCATATCCTGGTTCAACATGGCCTTGATCTGTTTGCGCTGCTGCATGTAGCGGGCGAAGATATCGGCAGAGCCAAGGAGACCAAGCTCCTCACCGGCATACCAGTGGAATTCCATGGTGTTGGGGGCGTTTCCGGCAACAACATCGCGGTTCTGGAGAACACCGCGAAGGGCTTCCAGAATGGTCATGGATCCACTTCCGTTGTCGTCAGCACCAGGAGCGCGACCGGTGGCACGGTCTCTCTGGTTGATGCTGTCTTGGTGAGCACCAACGACAACAGTCTTCTCAGACTTTCCTGGAAGAGTGACGACGATACTGAATTGCTTGAATTTATGGGGGAATTTCTCGACCTTGGCTCCGCGAGCTCCTGCAGCCTGAACAGCGGCCTGGGCTTGTTGCATGATCCAGGTGGCGGATTGCACGCCTGTTTCAGACTGATAGTATCGGTTGTGGAACTGTGTCAACCGAGTGAGATCCCGTTGCATGTTCTCCTTCGAGAGCTCAGCAATCATAGCCTTCACAGCTTTCTCTTGCGTCATTGTTCTGGGAAAGTTGGTAGCAACGTTTGCGGTGCGAAAGCTGCTGGGGCGGATGTTCTGTTCGACTTCATGGGTGATATCAATGAAGTCTTTTCCTTGCTATAAACCAATGTTACGTCAGTTGTGCGACATTCAGAAGGATGTGGCATATAAGGACGCATTACGTACCATCTTTAATTCCATCTTCTGATCTTCAGTCACCCATTGTGTTTGTCCTGGGGCAGTTTCAACTAAGAACTTGCCCTCGTTCTGGGACGGGACGGACGCTGCCAGAGCAGTGGCACTAAGTGCCAACAATCCGACGAACTTCATTTTCTGAGTTTGTGAGAGAGTCGATCTGCTGCAACAGGGGAAGAGAGAAGGAGTGATTTGATGTAATGAACAAGAGATGCTGAGATGAAAACATTCAGAAGTGGGATTCCCTTGGGGGTTATATATCTATCACTCGAGGAGTGAGGGAAAGAAGCGGGTTCCTACGGCTTCGGGCCGTTTATGTTTGGGTAGTATTTGGCGGGCAACACATGCTCGATGGGAAACAGGCGGAGCCACACCGGCTGCGTTGAGATGATGATATTATTGTTATCATCGTCATAAATTATGATAGACCCGAGCCGCCCATCCCCGGAAAGGTCGCAATTCTGTGTGTATTAGCCGAGACCGAATTGTTTCGGGCAGTTTGGTTTTGATATGACGCCCCACTACTAGACTAGGTTGCTGTTGATAGCGGCCAAAGCATCCGCCTTCTGCTGGGGTCGATCAGGAGATCTCCACAGGAAACAAGCGCGGTCTCGCTGGTGGCAACAACCATTTTTGCTTCTAAGATCTCTTGTGTTATGGCTGTTTTATTGGTAACGGGTATATACATTCAAATTCGCTGCGTTGACACTGCGGTTCTGGAAATTATTTGATGAGTTTCGAAGATTCGCGTTCTGAAACGTCGGGCCACTACAGTACCTACTTCGGGCCACATCTGTATAAAGTTGAGAGTAATCCCAGTTTCCCGAAATGGGCGATGATCCGCGCAATAAACAGTTGGGCCTGTTTCCTCACGAAAAACACGTTTCATCCACCGCAGATTACCGATTCTCAAAGGGCATGGACACTTTCATTTTCCCCGGGAAATTCTGGGGAGAAAGGGCAACTGACGTTAAAAGTGGCGTAAAGTTTCGAGAAAGCACGCGGAATCAAGGGGCTGGGCACATCTAGACTGAAGCTTTCCTTCTATGATATGGGGGGCGAGCTAATATATGCCAAATACGATGGTAACTGTACTCCGTATATGGGGTATATGTACCGGATCAGCCGAAAGTGAGTCTATCCTAGTCCTGTTTCTCTTCATCAGCGACAGCAATAATAATCAACTGATGCACACAAACCCAAGAGTCAATTTATTATTGGGTGATTAGATGTCCCTTGATTCCCGATGCGCCAATCTGATCCATTGCCGATTTTCAACAACAAGCACCAGGCACAAATCAAGCTCTGCGACTGGCCTAAGCGGTGTGGTGGGATCGCTGTTCAACACCAGGTGACGTTGCTTATTCTCAGCTCAAGGGGTTGCAACTCCATCTCCTGAGACTGGAAAGTGGGCGAGATCCGCGGCATGGAGTAGTATGCCGAGCAGCAAATCTAACCTTCGCCGCAGCTTGAACTTCTTGCCGAACATGGGGCCCCTGCAAGGTTAATGTTTCCAGAAGAATGGAAGAAACTCCGTCTCAATTCAGCAGAATTCAGCTCAGTAGGGTAACCTTGCAGGAGTATTAATCTTTCAGCTTGTGGGGGTATGATCACCCTGTAACCCATTATAATATTTATTATTACTCGGAGGTCAGAGTATACTAGGGCCGGACGAGTGAGGATGATGAACCGTCGTCTAAAAGCCGGGCAGACGATGCAGCACGTGAGATTAGGTTTCGGTGCCAAGACGATCACCAGAGCCTGGGGTTTGCCAACCGGAGTGCCTTGTCCCGCGCTGCAAGATTCGGGTGCGAAGCGACCTCGCCTCCTCTTCCCCGGCCTTGAGTTAGGAGGCGGAGATGGTACCATCGCGCCCGCCCAATTTCCGCGTCAACCCAAGTACTACTGCCAGCACCACCACGCCTTTCCAAGGATTGGTGACCACGAGACCCTCCCAGCAGGGTTTAGCCCCATGCAACCATCTTGCGCTGCCCCGCCATCAGCCCTCACCCGCGCTTCGCTATCTTTATTATCGTTGAGCTTGCCGTGAGATACCACCATCACTAACCACTCCATACTGCGACAGCGCGTGATTGAACCTTGCTTCCCCGGATTCGGTTCAGCAGAAAGTGCGGGGGGCTAATCTCGAGTCATCACGCTATCGTTCGAACTCGTTCCCTCCACTTCCCGAAGCCCAGTCTATAACAGCACTTCGTATTCGCCCCATACCAAGTCATCCTAGAGAGCCATTGTCACTGACTGTGGCTTTGTGGTAAGATCCTCAGAAATATTGGCATCACTTCGGCCCTAAACAGGGTCTTGTCGGAGATTTCGAGCTCAGCACTGTCCCTACTCTCCAGAGCCTTGATGCGAGTTTGTTATTACTACTTACCCAGATATCACTACACATTCAAGAGGTCATGGCGGATACATTGGGCTCTTGTAAGTGCCTTAATTGTTATCATTAGAACTGTGGACGAGGCTATGTTATCCCCTGGCCGCTGACCATGGCCTTGAATTCCATCCCCTTAGACAACCCATTCACAAGACGAACAACCCATAGTCGCAATACTCTACTGGCATATCGAGCTTTGGTGCCCCTCTCGTGGCTCCTTGTGGTCATTTTTGGCATCTACTACTCTCTCAAGCGTCCCCATGAGGGCCACAATGGTTCCACCATTGGAGGACAAGCAGACCTCAACCCAACGCCATTTTCACAGACTAAGATAGTCACGATAATATATTGGTAAGACGAAGGGCATCTTCTAGAAATCCCAAATAGTACATCCGTCTCCCAGGACTCGTGGAATATTGCCGGCCCTTCTCTTAATTTAATATCTATACGCCACTTGATTTGTTCTTGGCTAACTTGGTTGTCAGGATAATTCTTCTGGTATCCCAAATCGTATATATGGGGCATTTGGGCTCCTCAAACGTGGAGAATCTCACTACTGCAGCCAATGTTGCACCGTATTTTATACTCAACAACATATTTATACTATCATTCATCCTTCTATGGGTTAGTGCCCACTTCTGGGCGGCTGAAGTTTTCGATATTGCATCCCTAGTTAACCAGGGATTGCTGTATTGGAAATACCCGGCTCTTCCTGAATCCATCCACCTACCAGTAATAGCCGGCCCGTATGCTTGGTCAATTACAACCCTTTTCTGGAACGGCGCCGTTGCCATTGGTGGGAACGGTCTTGCAAAGAGAATCGTCGCCAATGTGTTTATCTGGGCGATGTTTCTATTTGGACAAGCCCACATCATGGCCCGGAGTGATCAAGTCCTTGGATATTCTCTCAGTCTTTTGACTTTCTGTAAGCAGATTCAACCCCAATCTCGAGGGTGTCTCGAGAGGCGGGCGGGAAGCGTTTATTACGCATCCAAACTAATGACTTAAATCTAGCTCTGGCCCTCAAACAGCTCGCGCTTAAGATCATTTCCCTCCAATGGATCTTCGCATTTATCATCTTTGGCCTTTTTCTCGCTTCATCGCTTTTTAGCTCAACCACCAGGTACCATAAGCGCGATTTCTTCCTCAGAAATCTTGTGGAACCTGAATCCACTGATCGCGAACGAGCACCACTGCTCACCAGCGAGGAAAATTGAGCCCTCAATTTATAAGGGCAGTATATTGGCTAGTTAGGCCTCTTGCTCCCAGCATCTGTAGTTGTCAACCGTACTGAAATTGAACTTACTGCAATAATAGGACGAACTTGAGTATGCTGATTTAGCAATGCTCCTGATCCTGGATCTCCCAGATCAATTAATAATGTCTGTGCTAGGGAGCTATGTTTTGCATGTCGCGACTTCTAGTTTGATTCAAAACAATTGATTTTGGGGTGTGCTGATAATGTTATGATATCTTACTTTATGATTTTATGGGTGTATTCTCCGTTTCCAGAATGAGATATATGCATGTATGTATGTATGTACGTATGCATGTCTATCGTAATACTAAATTGTGTTATATTTAAATCCACTTCTCTTGTTCTTATTTCTGAATTAGGGGCACACAGTATCAAAAATAGACCTCCCAAGCCAAAATAAGACTTACACTATTTTGTGCTCGCCCAGTACCCTATGCATAATGGACACATCACAAAAGAAGCTGGATCTAATGAAGCCAACCATGTATACTCCGTACACAGCTTCAACCCAGCTGAAGTGGTAGAAGTAGCGGTATATTATGTGTCTTCAGGGCTGGTATTTCAAGTACTTGGCAATGTGATAAGTAACCTAGGAAAAAAAGGCGGGGGAAGTTTGGGAAGCAGAACAGGGGGGATGTGGAATAACAAGTTTCATGAGGTGTCATGGGGATTGTAGTGTGCTGCTCTTAGGCGATCAAATCTTGCGATTTTGTTGATTCTGTGTATAGTTACATATTAGTAGGGGTGAGTCATCGGAGTTCCCTGCTGGAATAGTGTGGTTTCTTCTTTTCCAAGCGACACCACAGAGCAAACTTGGGTAATATCTTGCAACATGCGGAAGGTGGGTGCTTTCTGAGTACCATGATCGCTATGGAGAGGCCATGGTATGTTAACAGTGGACGTAGTAGCAGTTCTTCGGTCAGTATACCTCTCCGAGTAATAAATTGAATACTAACGAAACTTTTCCAGCGTTAGAAATAGTTTCCGTCGGGCAAGCCGGCTCAGGTTAAGAATTATAATCGGACGCAGACAGAAAATCAATCCCTTGAACAGACTTTTGATATCCTAGGCACAAAGAGTCTAAAGCAAGAGCAAGTTACAGGCTTGGATAATGAGCAATAATAGGGAAACGGGTATATCGACCGGTAAGAGGCCGTTATCAATAAGGAAATCGACAGCACGGTCGGAGAGTATAGTACTAGCATCCGCTGGTACGTATTATCCATATCCTGCTACTTCCCTCTCGCCTGGCTGTTTAAACTCCAAACATCATCTGATTGTGGGCGTCGGCGGTCGGGCCGAACCGGGTTTCCAGCGGCCAATCTCTCGTTGCGGGCCAGTTTAAGTGGTGGTGAATGCTAATCGAATAATAAGACAAAAGCCAACATTTGTCCGATATTGACAATAGGCCAGTCGTGGTACGAAGTACAGTGGTATTCTAGCCGGTATGACTCAACGAACAACACGGTTTACTATTCTAGAACCTGGCCTGTCTACTCCGTACCCGGCCCCGATTCCCGCCCGCAGATCGAGCCAGGGGAATCGGTCTGGACTTGCTTTCCCCAGATCTCAGCATGCTAGGCGGAGATCGTGGAGCACCGGCTGGGCCAGCTGGTCCCTTTTTGCACAGCGTTCAGACAGCCGAAGAGATTATTTTTTTTGCATCGCGAAAATAAATCGAAGTTTTGCCGGCCCAGCAACGAACCGGCCTTGGCGTCGCTGACACTACAACGGGCGGATCCGGCGGGCCATTCACAGGAGCCCGTTTTCTAAGCCGCCGCCCCCGACGCTTGGAAACATCAGGCCACTTCACGTCGAAGGCGCAGAATTGCGAGTCTGGCCGTGGGATGCGGCAGGTGGGCGACAAGCCGAATATGCCCGATGGGCCGGCCACATGATAAAAAGGGAAAGGATGGGATTTGTCTGACGTGAAGGAGAACTCATTCTTTCAGACAGCAGCAAGGTATAAAGGGACTCTGCGTGGTGATCTAGAGATCCGTGAGCAGCTAATTGTCTTGTCAACCTTCTTATTATTCCAACTACTCTGTGCTCTGTACGCCAGCATTCCAAGCCACTGTTCCGGTAGAAAACATGGACGGTGGAAAAGCACCGCCCCAGAGCCCCAACGGCCATCAAACACAGAAGAATGAAACGCGGCGAATACAACACATCGATCGCAAAGATCTCTATATAGACCTAGAAGCGCGGATAAAGTACCTCCACAACTTTCTAGACTTTAACTCCAGTGCGTTCCTCAGCAGTCGGCAAAAAAACAGATCACACGCCACAAACCGCTACTCACTGACCTGCATTTCCAGATGACATCGAAGCCTTAATAACCGGCTCCAAATACATCAAAGCGCTGATCCCCGCCGTCGTGAACATCGTGTACAAGAAGCTCCTTCAGTATGACGTAACGGCGCGGGCGTTTACGACGCGAAGCACCAGTTTCGAGGGCGCTCTCGACGAGCAGCCGGACGAAAACAGCCCGCAGATTCTGCATCGGAAGATGTTCCTGCGAGGGTATTTGAATAAGTTGTGTTCGGACCCGAGTAAGATGGAATTCTGGGAGTATCTCGATAAAGTGGGGTGAGCGGCCATTCTTCATTATCGCCTTTTTTTAAAAAAAAAAAAAAAATCACAAACCCAAGAATATCAATAGCTAACATATACTCTTTTTCTTCCCAGCATGATGCACGTCGGCCGCGGGCGGCAGCACCCGCTGCACATCGAATACGTGCACATCGGCGCGAACCTGGGGTTCATCCAGAACGTGCTGACGGAGGCGCTGCTCTCGCACCCGCGGCTGCCGCTGCCGCGCAAGATCGCGCTCGTCAGCGCCATCGGCAAGGTCATCTGGGTGCAGAACGACCTCTTCGCCAAGTGGTACGTGCGCGACGGCGACGAGTTCCGCGACCAGATGGAGGAGGTCATGGTCGAGCGCGAGGGCTATCTGCATGGCAAGAAGATCATTGGCACCGAGGAGGCGGCCGGCGGCAGCGGCGGCGAGGAGCAGAGTGAGCCGGATGCCGAGCAGAAGCCGTCGATGCTGCCGCTGCCGCAGCAGCGAGGGGGCGCGGGGAGTACCAAGGGCGGTGCTGGGGGGGCTGCTGCGGTATGTCCGTTCACCGGAGTTACGACCAAGGTTTCGGGAGTCAGGCTTGATGATAGGGATCTCAAGAAAGAGCGGGTGGTCTCAGAGCTGCCTGGGTAGTAGTTCGAAGCAGCCCTATATGCATGGAGAGAAAGAACCCATACCTCCCATCCTGGTTGATTAGTTAGTTGGTTGCGCATGAAATATGTATATATATGATAGATAGCACCCCCCGGCGAACAACAAATTTCTCTGACGCGATTCAACCAAGTTTTCTTGTTCGAGATTATCCCCGGCCCAAGGCGGTCCAGAAGCTCTTAGCATGCCTAGCGAGCCTCCCCCAACCCCCCGGGCGTGTGATAGATCTCATTGGAGATATGTCGACGTCGGACGACATGGCGTTCCATACCTAGAAAACAACACCCTGCCGTTTTCTATGCTGTGTCGAATATGATTGTTACAGGTGCTAAGTATGTATGTACATATCCCGGACAGTCGCGTGAGTCCGGAGCACAAAGGGTCGGGTCCGGTCAGGTCCAGGGATGCGTGTCCATAGCAGAGTCGACATATAGGTCGGGGCGTGTACGTATGGATACGTGTGTTGTGTGTGTGTTGTGGGAGGTTTGGTTGGTGCCTTGCATGAATCGGGTACCTTTGTGGATAGTTCAATGCTGGGCCAGCCTTGCGGTGGTGGCCCATCGCGAAAACAACAATCCCTAAAAAAAACAATATTATTCTATCGTGCTATTATTTTCTGATGGACATGGGCGAATATGCGCAGGTATATATCTGGTGTTTGCTCCTATATATATATTCTTCGATGGATATTGCTAGAACCTTGGATCCTGTGTGACATGGTGAAGTGGGAGTAATATAGCTATAGATCTCCGTAGCCAAGAAGAGTGTTCCTGGTCAGGGTAAATGGGATTTGTTGCAGAACTGGCGTGTTTTTTGGTTGACCATTCCAACAATATGTACTCCCGTACTCCGTATGGTTGCTGGCTATCAAATTGCAATGAAAGTCATTCAAGAAATGAATAGTTAATAGATGGCAACTATAGGAAAAAATATTCATCTCCAAAAAGCAAAACAAAAATAAAAAATCAACCAAAATCATGTCATGTAAACCACAAACACCCATCAAATATTTCGCATCAAAAAGAGATAGAGAAAAAAGCAAGCAAATTTTGTAACATCAGCATGCTGTCATACCATGTTCGTACTTGTCCAATTTTGTAAGCCAAAAAAACAAAACCAAAAAAAAAAGCACGATAACCAAAGCAGGGCGCGTGGGTGAGGGGGAAGGGGAGGGGGGGTGGCGGGAGAGGCATTAAGCTTGCTCCATCTAACATCAAATCAAAATACATACGATTTTCCTTCTACTTGTACCATGGTTCCTGCGATGACATGTCAAGGGGACGGACATAACCAAAAAAGAAAAAAAAAAGAGAAAGAGAGGGGGGCAAGGAGGAAGGGGATCCTTGATTATAAGAGGAGGGAAAGACAGATGGGAAAATACGAGGAAACGCCATGGAAAGGGGGTGGGCCAAGCAAGGAGGGCGGGAAAAGAGTATGAAGTCGTCAACAAGTCAATGACACATAAATCCGTGAGATAGATAGATAACTGAGAGAGGTAAAGAAAAACCAACGCAGATCCAAAAGGAAAAAATGGGAGGAGGTGGAGGAAAGAAATGGTATCCAGTAGATGAGAAAAAAATAAAAGAAAAAATCACGCATGAAAAATCCCACAAATAGCCATAAAACCATAAATAAGCAAAATAAATAAAGAAATAAATATCATCATGACAGGGCGGCGATGGTTTGATATATATCAAATAAAAAGCGTACTCCGTAGATGTTGGCACAGCAGAATATATAATAATGAAAATCAATTCACATCAGCCCAACATACACCATCAGCTTCTGATTGCGCTGCATCGCCACGTCCAGGTCGGCATCGCCCAGCAGCTCGACGAACCCGCGCGACGGCTCGTCCTTGTACCGCAGCATCACGTCCTCGTCGACTTTTAGGCGGTCGCGGATCTTCTCCTTGAGCTGCGCGAGCGCAATGTCCGCCGGCACGCGCACCACGATCAAATCGTCGCGGAACACGACTTTGATCTTGACCGCGTTGGCGCCAGCGGCAGGGTTGTTGTTGTTTGATGATACCGACGACTGCGTGAGCGCGCTGCCCTGGCGCATCATTTTCGGCGGCGGGAAGTCGCCGCGGGTCATGCTGGACTGCGACACGGAGCCCTGGCTGCGCTGGTGGTGGGGGTAGACGGCGGTGGTAGCGGAGTTCATCTGGCCCTGCGAAGACTGGCGGGAGGCGCTGGGGGAGAGGTCGTGGCCGGACGAGAGCTGTGAGCCGGTGGAGAGGCGGTAGTCGTCGGCCACGGCGTTGGGATCGATTTCGAAGTCGCCCGCACGTGGGGCGAAGAGCTGCCGGACGAGTTGGCAACGCGAGATGTGTGGGGGCATGGATAAGAGTTTCTTGATGTATTCGTCCAGGTTCTGGCGACGGCCATTGGAGATGGCGTTGGTCACATGCGTGACGGGGCCGGGCATGAAGGGCAGCGTGCGGGGGCTGCCTTTGTTGCCGGCTTCTTCTTCGAATTGGGCGAGCAGGGCGATTTGGAAGTCGTAGAAGTCGTGGTAATATCGGGCAAGTTCCCACCATCGCCCGTCTTCCATCTGGGCCTCGATGATATACCAGTACTTGTCATTATCGAAGCAGTAACGGGGGATGGAGGCCTTGATCGGGGCGGGAACGGAGTAGTAGCCCTGCTGTCGTTGTTGGGGGGGTAGATGTTGTTGGCCGGAGGGATATCTCTGATTCTGGCCTTTGCTCATGCTACGTTGGTGATACTGCAGGGACGGGGTGTTTAGTTAAATGCTATTGAGGTCGATGTGTTTCGATGATTATGATTGAGTACTCACATAATCGTTGCTGTTTTGATGGCCGCTGTTGTTCAGCGACATTCGCTCGATCTCAGAGGTGGCAGACTGCACGCCTCCGCCCTCGAACTTGCCCAGGGTGATGGAACTATTCTTGTACTCGGCGGTCATCTTCTTCCACTCCTCGACGCGGGGCACGCCGGCGCGCTTGACGGCGTCGTGCGGGTCGGCGACGGGCTGGCCGGTAGTCATGTCGCGCACCTCGATGAAGGAGACGGGGATGAGGCCGGGCCCGCCGAGGCGGCCGATGGGCTTCGCAACGAACCACTCGGGGTTGGACTGGGCGATGACGATGATGGCCTCGCCGGCGCGGGCCTCGAGCTCGTCGGGGCGTTCGGCGTGGAAGTCATACTGCACGACGCCGTAGACCATGGCGCCGGAGGTCTTGCCGATGGACGACATCCTCTGGGCGCCCTGCTTGGTAGTGTTGGTGGAGGAGGCCGGGTCGGCGGTGCGGTCGGAGAAGCCGGAATCGTGCAGGTCGTCGTGGAGGGTGCGGTGGTGGTGGTGGTGGTGGTCGTCGTCGTCGGCGCTGAGACGCTCGGTCTTGCCCAGGACCTCGAAGAAGGAGACGGGGACCAGGCCGCGCAGGTGGGCGGAGAGCGGGTTGCAGGCCTCGTACCAGTCGGAGTCCTCCTCGCGGCTTATGACATGGAAGAAGTCGCCCTTGTTGAAGGCGAGCTCGTGCGGGTTGGCGGGATCGGGAGCGTAATCGTAGAGAGCGCGGATGACCTGTTGGGCGGCGGGGAGGGCGGGCGCCGTGTGGGTTAGACGAAGAGAAAATTGACTTCTACCGGGACCGCTCACTAGCAGGACTAGGTTTGCGCAGCAACGAAGCGAGGATAACCACTCACTTTCTTGGGCGGCAGGATGGCGACGGCCGACTTGGTGGGCAGCGAGGCGTGGTGCTGGTGGTGCGGGAGCTGCTGGGGCCGGGGGTCTTTGTCGCCCTTGAGCGAGCGGCGGATGGCCTGGGCGGGCGGACGGTCAGTAAGAAGGAGTATCGCACGGCAGGGCAGGCTGATGTCGTCGGGTCCGGGGGCGGGCAGCGGGCAGCGGGCAGCGGGCAACGTACCTTCATCCTATCCTATCGACGGGGTCTCGCTGAAACGAGGGTGAAATTGGGCCGTTCGCGCGGCGAGTCGAGAGCCAGGATGGCGCGGGACGGGGGTCGCGGGTGGGTGAAACGAGGAGGGCCAGAAGAAAGGAAGAAGAAAAGAAAGAGAAGACAGAAGGGGGAGAGAGAGAGAGAGAGAGTAGAATCGCGAGTAAAGAATAGCGAGAGCGAGAGAGAAGAGAGAGAGAGCGAGAGCAAGCGCGCGACGGCGAAGGATGGCTAACTAGTTAACGATGGCCGGGCAGCGGTCGCACAGGACGCACCGCACAGGCAGCACAGACAGGCGGCGCGAGAGGACGCTGGATGATGGGTAGTAGTAGTAGTAGTAGTAGTAGTAGTAGTAGTAGTAGTAGTAGTAGTAGTAGTAGTAGTAGTAGTAGTAGTAGTAGTAGTAGTAGTAGTAGTAGTAGTAGTAGTAGTAGTAGTAGTAGTAGTAGGCACGCCGCACGCAGGCGGGCTGGGGCGAGGGAGTGGGCGGGGAGGAGGAGGGGAGGAGGGGAGGAGGGGAGGAGGGGAGGAGGATCGCAGGGAGGATGGCGATCGGGGGAGGAACGAGAGAGGGAGCGATAGAAACTACAGAGAGAGAGAGAGAGAGAGAGTAGCTACGGGGTACAGAGAGAGAGAGCAACTACCTAAGACGATGCATGAGCGCCTGGCCTGCCATTTCCGCCCCGATCGAGCAGGCGGGCGAGGTACCTGCCGCGCGCCCGCCGCCGCCGCCCGCGCCGCGTACCTAGCCAGTTAACTATCTACATCGACATGACGTCGCATAACTAACCAACTAACTACAAAACAAAAATAAAAAAACGCCATCAGGGGCCGCCGCACCGCCACCGCGCCAGCCCGCCGGAGGTTTCAACCCGCGCGCGCGCACTGACTTGCCCGTCCTTCATCTGCCGGGCGCGTGGCGCCTGGAGCTTACACTATCCAAGGACCCTGCGCATGATTATGCACGCCTGCCTGCCTGCTGCCCTTCCGCTTCGTCCACCACTACGACTATCATACCACCGCCTACGCTGCGCAGCAGCCTGGCAGCTTCAGGTTGCAACCCTCCAAACCCACGCCCGACGCGCCCCCGGCCAGCCCGCACGCGCGCCCCGCCGCGATCGACGCCCGCCCTGCCAGCCCCATCCCTGCCCGCCCAAGCCTGCACGCCAACGCCTTTCCTGCTTTGCGGCCTTGCCCTACTACCCCGAGACTTCGCCGGCGGCAAGCTGAGCCCGTGGCGCCCGACACCCAAACAATGTTATTGTCGGCTCTGGAACCTGTCGCGATCGGCCGCCGTCGCCAGAAACCCGTGGTCTCTCGCCCCCCTTTCGGCCTCACTCTCTGACCTGCTTCACGTGGGGCCGGCCGAGCCTACCGCGTGCGGTTGAAATGTTTCGCTTGGGGCTCACTACTGATCATCCCCAGCACTAACGAACAACACTGCGATGAATCAATGCTTCAAATCTTATTTCTCTACACCTGATAAACATCCTTGTCGCCATTGGCCTAAGATAAAACATCAACGTCCTTTAAACAAAACCTCCGAGGCATGAAGAAAAAAAAAGGCGAGGGCTCCGCTGAACGCTGCAACCTAGCCAGGGAACACTGCTCCCTTGTATGATTGCCGGCCCCTGCGCGCCCCAACTCCGGAAGACAAAGACCTCTCCGCTGCCCACCCTGGAATGTGCGCCCTTTCCCCGTCCCAGGAGCTAACGCCAGTCCGATTAAAAGCAGAGAAGCAACGGGTCGTGTCGGGATATCATGGAACTGTGAGACGCGGAGCGATCAAGAGCAAAAAGAGAAAAAGAGAGAAATACACCGCCATACAAACGGATAACGGTCAGAGAACGGTGCTGGGGCGGGAGAAGGTCGCACAGAAGAAAAAGATAAATAAAAAAAAAAGATCGCTTGACTCGGCCTGGCGGTTAGATCTGCCCTTTGAGGTCAACCACTCCGTGCTTCTCAGCCTTGGCGGCTTCAAAGAACGGCTGTGCCTTTGCAGTGACAAGTCTGACGCCTTCTGGCTTCTCTTGAAGCAGCTCCTCGGGCACGTGGTCCAGGAGGAAGCGGGCCGCCTGCTCATCAGACTCAAACCCCAGCTCCTCAGTAACAAATCTGATATTGATGTCAGGTTTATACCTATCAACCCACATTAGTCGCGAGCAACAACCATCTAGGGAGCCAACGTACGCTTTACATATATGAGCGAGCGCATGCAATCGTTCTCGGTCAACAAACATGTCCATCAGGTACGCTCCCATATTGGGTGTATCAAGGTACAGCTGGAAAAACCGATGGTAGTTGCCCAGCGCAAGCGCCGAACGCACGTCCAACGCATGCTTCACGGCTGGATCCGCCGCCTCTGCGGCGGTGAGATCCGCCAGCGCGTTGTTGATGGCTGTCCGATTGCGGGTATAAATGAAATAAAGAATACGATACGCCTTGAATTCCATGGGATGGCCTCCAAGATTTTTGGCATACAGTGCCAACAACTGTGTCTGGCACTGGTTATACTCACCAAGGTCCCCCTTCTCCAACGCAATTCGAGCATGGATCTCGTACACGCTGACTGTGAACTCCGTCTTGATGTGTTGAACAGTCAAATCTTGCCGCATGGATTTAAATTGATCACAAACGTAGTTGTAGTTGTTCTCTGCCCGCCATTTCTTCTTTAGCAAATCAAGCGTCTTTTTCAAGATGGGTAGTGGTCGCACTGTGTCTGGATTTGGTGGCGCAGTAAGTCGAAAGTAATTCTTTTCCAGATTCTGACAGCGCCCGATGATCGGTCCCTCATCTGCCTGTCTTGTCGGCGATTGCTCGTATGGCGACCGAACGTTGTGCATCCCTTGAGGGCCACTATTCGCATCCTCGAAACGCCGTTTCCGATTTTCCAAAATACTGTTGAACTTACTTGAATTTTTGGTGGCAATATTACTATCATGAAAATCTGTTCGTCTCCGTTTGTCAGTAGGGGGGGCTTGGGCACTAATACGATAATCAATTTCAGTGCGACTGTTAGCTTTCCTTCGCCAGGGTGGAACATTGTCCATGTTTTCCTCTGTCGTGGACATCTCTGATGATTTTCTTTTCGGGGAATGCTTCTCTATTCGCTGGCGTTCGGGGTGAGTATCTACTGTTTTCTCGGGGGGTAGAGATTGATGCTGCACTGTGCCTCTATTTCGCTCATCTCGAATCATTTCCTGGGGCAACGGAAGCGCGTCCCAGTTGACGTTGTTGAGGTTGTTGCTTTCTGCCGCGTCGGTGATGATCTGTTTTAGTTTTTTCTCCATGTCTTCTCGGGTAATACCCGCAATCTGATATTCTGGTACAAAACTTCGCTGCACATATTGACGCACTCCTGAGGGCCACTCAACCCTTTTCTTTTCGCCGGCAGAACCAGCAGGTGCCGCTACCGCTGGTTTTGTTGGTTTTGATTCTACAGGTTGGGCTTGGGGCGCCAGACTACGGCGTGCTTGGACGGGTATGAAGGCAGGGGTAGCTAGAAGCTGTTAGATACGCCTCATCAACTGAACAGTAGAAACATTCAACTCACCATTTGATGGATACTGAGGCGTAGCGGAAGCCCGCCAGGGTGGAGGGGCTGCATTCATCGCGATGGGATTCAGAACAATACCCAATAGGAGAGCAAGCTGGAACAATAATGAATCAAAAATGGGGGTTTCAATGAACACAGATTCACAATGTGCGCATTCATATAGTACGGGATATGTTACACAACCTTCAAAAAAAAGCAGCCTTGCAAATGAACGCGATTGGGGAGGCTGAGGGTGGTTGTTGGCAGCCGAGATGAGGTGGCGACCTACTCGCTTAGTGCCTCTTTGGGTTTAGCGGGGGGCAAAAGGGCGGTGAGGCGCCTGCCTGGGCAGAACGATCACGTAAGCATGGACATCCAGCCAGCAATGACGGATGCTTTGCTGCAGCGACTACTGATAGATAGAACTTCGACGGTTGGCGGAGGGACGGTGATAAATTTCCTGTGTTTTCTCAGTCACGGAATTGGGCATCATGCTTGACCCCTTTTTTTGGTCCTCTAGATGTTGTTCCAAGCAGTTGATCTGACGACTGCCCTCCGCCCGTCACTACTCCAGGACGAATCTCTGCTCTTCGTACAGAATGCGGTGGGACTATATGAAGGGTGCGCCCTATTCAATGATATTTGAACCCTTTCGGTCGTGTCCCGGGCTAACCGAATGCTGCCTTTTGCCGTACCCAGCAAATATAAGATACCCAAGTATCAGGATGGCCACGCCTACCTCACCTCACACCGCATTTGTTATGTAGGGGCTCTGGAGCCTCGAAAGTATTCCGTCGCAGTTTCATTGAAGGACGTGGATCGTATTGAGTATCAGGCATGGCGCACCTTGATTAGCACAGCTACTACTGCCCCGCTGACAGCTATATTTTGGTGAAGGCAGGCTTCCTGAGGTCGTCTCCCAAGGTTACAATATACCCCAAGGCTCCTAAGAAGTTTCTTGGGCAAAGTCTAAGTATAACAGCGACTGACAATACCGAGTCCGTATCCTCCTCGCTCCAGACTCGAAGTGGTGTGAACCCTTCGGTGCGCCAACCAGAGAGATGCGCCCCTCGACCCGCGAATGCAACTTGGATTTGTCCAATATGCACATTTTCTAACCCCGTCCCGTCCAACTTTGATCCTTCTACTGCCACATCATCGACGCCCATTCCGCCCTGCTTAACATGCGGTATTAAACCTCCACTCACAGTATTATTGAAAGCAGCTATAGCCTCCGCAACGAATCGTAATGTATCTGATCCTACTACCTTGTCCGATAAAACCCAACGGTCCACAAGCGACAGCACAAATTTCCCTACAGCAAGCCACCAACTAACCTCGTGCCCTCGGTGTACCTTCGCAAACCATCCGTCACTGTTGGAATGTGAAATATGTGGCGCCCCCCTCAAAAAGGCAAGTGTCAACACCATCGATCGATCGGACTCGCCCGCTCCATCATTGAGTACTTCTCAATTGGACAATACAGAAATCAAAGAGAGCATGAAGCTATCCTTTCGCGGTGGCGGGGAAAAGGTCTTCCATGAGAGGCTTAACGATGCTCTGATCCAAAGAAAATGGCTGCTTTACGGCGCTCCTCCTGTTCCCCGATCCCCGGCTTCCGGTGTATTGGAAACGGGCCCCTCGCCTAGTGGAGAACTGGCGCCGAGACAGGATCGTGACGCAAGGCCAAAAGGAGTTGGAATTGCGGGGCTCGAACGGAGGGGTTTCCAGTCTAGAAAAAATAATGAAGCGGTAATCGGAAATGCATTTGAGGATTTGGAAGCATTAATGGCTTCTGCAAAAGACATTGTCGCGCTGGCCGAGACCCTTTCAGCTGAAACTGGGATTCAGTCAAATAGCTCGTCTTCGGAGGCGACTAGGGTAATTTCACAATCAGCAGCCGCCCTTGGAATGATTACAACCAAAGACATGCTTTCCGGTGGTGGCTCGGATAATCTATACCTTTCCGAATTGTCCCGCAATCTCGCAGAATATTTGACGGATGACCGGCAAGGCATACTGCGACGTGAAGGCGGTATTATGAGTCTTATCGATCTTTGGTCTATTTTTAATCGTCACCGAAATGGTGTGGAGCTTGTCAGCCCGTCGGATTTTCACAAGGCGGCGGAGCTGTGGGGCAAACTCAAGCTTCCTGTGCGCTTACGACGTTTCCAGAGTGGATTATTAGTTGTTCAACCCCACGATTGGACGGATGAGAGATGCATCCGCTTACTCGAAACTTGGCTGGATGAACTACATACGCAATCTCCTACTAGTGAGATCTTGTGGGATTGGACAGCGTACGGTAGAGGTGTAACGGCCCAAGAAGCCGCTGCGCGTTTCGGATGGAGTGTTGGGGTTGCCTCAGAAGAGCTAGAAATGGCTGAGGAACGTGGCATACTCTGCCGTGAAGAGGGCATCGAAGGAATTCGATTCTGGCGCAACCATATCATAGGTTCCCTAAGTGCTGAAGAAACAATGTCACATACTTTTACAGACACTGTTAGTATATGCTAGCTCCATGAACAGTTGGCACATATCCATATTACTCTGACTGTATACCACTTACTTGAGTATTTCGCCTTATTTATGTCATTATCTAAAGCCCAAATACCTAAACGCCAGAAGTTCAGGGCTGCTACTCTTCTACTTCTACAGTAGTATGTCGGTTAATTCACATATCTTTTGGTGAATTGTCAAGTCCATCCATCAATTCTATCTAAATACCGAAATGATCATTGCTCCCCAACACTTCATTATTCACACATTTCCCAGCATATCAGCGGTATCCAGTAAAATCTGCTTCAACTCTGCCTTCGCAGTTCCCCAGTACGCATTACTTCTAGCCTGGCCATCATCGCCCAAACCCTCTAGCTCAGACTTCCAATACTTTGCAAGTTCTTTCATTTAAAACCAAGTTTGGGTATCAACCTCACATTTTAGAAAGTGGTATGACACAAGGAAAATTCTTGGGTTGGTGTTAGAATGTTCTCAATCCTTGACTATCTAGATAAGAGGTCCTGGTAAACTAGAATTTTTTAACCCTTTGATTTTCAGACATATTAATGGGAATATGAGGGCCCTCTTATTTGATGCTTTTCACTCAAGTCACGATAAAATACCGTTTGAGATCATTGAACATGGAGACGTATTCTTTGACTGCAGAGTTCATGTACTCGAGACCTTCCTTCTCGTGACTCATAGTCATCTGGAAGGACGCATTTCTCAAACATCCAGATTGAGGGTGACTGGGACTCTGGGACGTTTGGATTGTTCTGGAGATAACAAAGTTCAGAACTATGTGGTGCAAGTTAGAAATCCCCTGAGTTCTAGCCTAACAAATAATTCCTGGAGTAATATCCGGACATGCTTAGCCAAGCGGCTCAGACCTATGAGAAGAAAGACCTGATCGAACACTTCTTCAGTAGGATGCTTCAGGGTGACAAACTGACAATAACTACTCTTTAAAGAAACTAACAGCAATCTCATTTCAAAAGGATCCCATATGGCAGCTTGAAAGATGCTCTGCAGGGTAAAAATACATGAGAATTAGGAGATTAAATAGGAAGATTCTAAGGAACCAATAGATTGTAGCAACCAAAGTGTCTGAAAGTGGGCTCACTAAACAATGTCCAAAATCGCAGGATGGGCCTTATATGCTTCAAGTCAGAACACTGCTTTTTTATGTATTGAAATTGACAAGATTAACTATATATAGTTTCTACGGCCATTTGCCATGATATATCTCGCCTGTTGAAAAAAGTTTGATAGAAGAGGGGGCGGGGATTAAGGTTTACGGAGATTCTATTCATCCGCTCTAGCTAATCACATGAAGCTTGGATCTGCAGGTGACGTCTTGGCAACGGGGAAGTGGGGCGAATACCCCGAGAAGGCAGCATCAAGCACGGAGTACTCCGTACATCCCACCAGACAGGCATCAGGCTGCCGTTTGCATGCTTGCATCTTGTGCACCCCGCGTTCTGATGATACTGTGATTTACTTGAAGATAACCACTTAGTACTGACCTAGAGAATGTTGAGTCCATAGCCTGGACTACTTGATATTTTTCACTCATTGGTTGGCAATGGATTTGGCCGTGGTCAGGCCCAGCTCCCATGCCGTGCTTCTAGGACAAGCCCGAGCAGGCCATGTCGCCCTTGTGTCTATAACTGCTGGCACTCTAAGGTATCATCCTCGCCAACAACGATCATTCATATGGCGGGGGTGTTCTGATCGCTCTAACTGGGACAAGCGGGCGGAGGCACATTTACAAAAACATATCGAAAAAGCACATCGAATCTCTATATTCAAACGCTTCTATTTGCTTCATCAGCAAAAAGAGCGTTACCACTCACGTTGTGGAAGTATCTGGAGCATCCCTAAATATTCCTCATTTAGTTGTTACAGAACAACAAGCAACAATAAACAGTCACGTTGGGGGTGGGATCAATCGATGTGGGAGAAGCAGACTGCCCATGAGCGTAGTCGGTTTGAACGAGAGTACGGTGAACTCAAAAGGCAAATTGAGGAAGACCCGTATGGCATGATTTTCGGAAGACGCCTCACTCACCGATACCCTTTTTCATTGGGACAGAAAAGTAACGCATATGGCTCCTTCTATCGACGTATGTTCGGTGTTGATCGCGATGCACCGAATCAATACAGTGCTACATCGAAACAATCCTCCGATCCATCCCACACTGCAGGAAATGATAGCCCTCATCCTCAGGGCAGTAGTTCCTCAGAGACCACCCTAGATAACGATACTATGTTTCAATTTGACCCAATCAGTGGGAGAATGGTTCCTAGAGACGATTCGAAATCTAACAGCACTGGTACTTCGGAAGACGCAATTGATATTCCCGTTCGGACGTCTTATTCCAGCATCGGAGATGCCTCTCCTGTTTTGCAGGAGGTTGAAAAGTCTTTTCAAGATAGCAAAGCACATAACAAATTGTTAAATTCAAGTTTGGAAGGAACATCCGGCCAACGGCGAATCGATGGAGTATGGCTGATGGGAAGCCCACAAGCTGATGGAATTAAAGATTTTGATAACCCGCCTACGCAGAATGGTCACGTCAGAATATTGAACGAAGAAACGGGCCATATTGGATGTCAGCCAAAGCAGTTGACTTCGCGAAAGCACCCACTCTTCACCCGTTTCAAAGATTATCTCACTGCCAAGTTTGATACTTACAGCCACGAACGTGCCGCGAAAGTAAAAAGAAACCAAGAAATGGCAGAAGATGCTCTCCGCTCAGAGTTGACTAACCCCCATAGCATTGTTTACACGGATCCAGAAAGGCTAAACATTGAGTCTCTCCGTGCCCGAGATGTACGCTCTTCATTCGAAGCACGAAAATCCAATCTAGAAGCTCAGAAATGGGAGAGTACACACAATACTTCTACTTTAGATAGACATCCTCATGTGGTTATTGGCAAAGGGCATGTTGCTGCATCAAACCCCGCCCGAAATATCAAAGATATTCAGGAGGAAGACAGAAGACTGGTTGAAGGTATTCGGGCCATTTACGAGGAGACTTATGGACGCATCACCGCAACGCACAGGCAATGTCAAGAAGACGTTGGAAAGAGGGATATAGAGTCCAATACCAATGTCGAAAAACAAAATAATATTTCATTATTCAATAAGCTGGAGAGGGTGGTGTGGGAGCTTGAGCGAACAAATAGTGCTATTTGGAATTCATTGCGTAAATTCGAAGAAACCCAAGAACAGCTGCAACAGATTTCAAACCAGTCGGCCAATCTCCACAATTCTGTGAAGTCTGGACCCGCAGCCTTCGGCCTTTCCCCCACCTCCCTGATGGAATCACAAGGTTACGAGATGGTGTCAGAAATGGGTGACGTTCTGATTTTCAGAAAGACAAAGGTGGATGTTGGAGGCCCCGAAATGAAATATCCCCAAAGCCAACGATCTTGTGCGGACGACTCAACCAACGATCCCAAAAATACCAATAACTATAGTTTCGGTCCGAGCACCACCACACCTGAAGTCAATACTAATACATCAACGGAAACAGCACCAAAAGCACCCTTTGAGGATGATAAATCCAAAGCGAAGCTAGAAGGCACAGAATGGGAACCGACTACACCAGACGACACTATGCCTGGGTCTAACACCGCCTACGGCCATGCTTCCTCACACTCGGTGCACTCTCTAGGCAGTGCGGCTCAACTTGAACAAGATTCCATCATTAAAGATTTCGAGGAGCATAAAACTAGCGGTTCAACAGACCCGCATCCTCCGGGAACCCCCATCACAGTTCGCCGACAGGAAACCCATTATACAGGCGGTCCACCAAACTGGTCTCCATATCAACCAGGAATAGAATCGCAGCCGTCACCTCCTCTACCGTCGGCGTCTTTCCCACCGCACGAGTCCTCAGCAAGCGGTGAGAAACGAGGAATTTGGAGTTCGCTCCGGAAAACACTTCGTCGCATGTTGCTTACCGGAGCCGCTGCTGGAGGATCGTGCTATGCTCTTGGTGTAGTAGCGGAGTATTTCCGCACGGGAGGACAGGATGGATTGGGCCCAAGAGGGTTTACGGGGCTGGGAGGTAGGTAAAGATATGATAACGTCTACAGATGTTAGAAGGTAAGTACGTGGGACTGAAAACAGATTAACAAATATTATTCGAGGAAGCAGGGGAGGTTGTTCAATTTGGCATGTGTTGATGTCTTCTGTTATCGCGGGATTCCCGTTATCTTTTCAAATCAACTGCTTGTAAACATATTGCTCGGGACTTTTTCATTGGGTGTCTACAGAGTGTGTATCGGAGCATACATAGCCTCAAATATAGGATAATCTTCTCTCTTTTACTTTAGCCGCTCCGTCCCTGCAGATAGTCACACAACACGGCTATCTTGTTCCACAGAGTCACAAAAAAAAAAAATGACTTCCTGAATGAGCAACCCCCTAAATTTTGAGGTAGCACGGAGTACAATCACACTCAGCTTCCAAGGATTGCTTGACCAGTCCCCAACTATGTATGTATATGTAGAGTGCAGATGTATCATGGTGCTACATTTCAGAGGCAACGCTGTCATTTTTTGGGGAGTAGCATCCAATTGATCCTTTCAGATTGTAAACTCATGGCATAGAAGCTTAACATCATTCAGGGTGATCCCTTAGCTCAACCTTCATGGCCCAAAAGCAAAAAGGGTTTGTGCACAAATGCAGATCAATTAATAAAATTGTTCCTTTCAAATATATTTTCCCCACTCTTTTAATATTACCTCCTAAATATGTGAAATGAATTAATTTGCTTGTTTTTCTTTTTCATTACTCAGAATATTATTATTTGCCCGTATGTACTCCGTAGGGTTGGAGGAAAGGTTCAAAGTCGCCAGGTGTTTAATCAACACGTGTACGGAGAATATCAGATATGCGATCCTTCTTTTTTAAAAATAGAAAGTGAGCTCCCATATCCAATTGGGATCAGCTGTGTCATCGGTATATTGCAACAGTAAATGTAAAGTGGCCTCGAACGATTGAATTTTAAGCACGAGTGCGAATTACACTCGTCCGTTCCTGTTCGCTAGTCAAGCTGTTCATGAGATCAGCAGGAGTAAGCCCCTTAACCTGGGTGCCTGCTCATAAAACAGTGAAAAATTGCCCGTGAAACTGCCTTGTCATTTGACAAGGACATAGTTAAGTGACGCGAAGCCGCTGAATAGGGGAATGAGCGAGGAAATTTCTCAGCTCTTGCAATAGATTGCAATAGATGAGAATTTGCGTCCAATGTACGAAGTGCATGGATGATACTTAGAAAAGAAAAACAGGAATCTTTCGCCATTTTTGGCAAAAGGGCACACTCGCAGTTCATTGCATAATGGTAATGATGTGGGGAGTGGTCTCGACAGCTTGGAGCAAGAAAAATGCACAGATCCTTCGGACAAACCTGGGAAACAAGTTAAGGCCAATGAACTGGGAATAGCAACCGCCCGACTGTAATCATTGTGGGCTACAGCAAGTCGCGATGGTCTGGAAGGTCGAGACTCTCCACATCTGAATGTCAACTCTGGGCAGCTAGGGCTGGTGTTCCGCAGACAGCCTGGAGAGTACTCCAGAGTAGTCGGTCTTTCGGACAAGGGCGAGAGGCGAAGGAAGCACTGACTGAGAAGCTCTGGCATTGTTATTTTTTCTTTTTTAGAATTTTGGCATGTTGTTTCACGATGAGATTCTGGAACCAGCCGTCGCCTGTTTTATCAAGCGTATACGGAGTACGGAGTACTCCGTGGATCTATTTTTGCTAGTTCATGTAGGTCTCTGAATCAAACGGAACCATGAAAATGCGCTTTCCTTTTCTTGGGAGGGTCTCTGCTAGTCTGGTTTTCAGAGAGGGAGCGATGGATTCGCAATGTCTCTCCTACGCGTGGCATTGCCATGATCGCGAAATAAGAATAGTAATTATTATTTGTTGGCGCGAGGGAACGTTGCAGTGGTGGTCCATGCAGCGGGAAACCGCAGCTCTTGTTCTTGCCGGAGTAACATTTCTGAGGGGAGGGCTCAACAACGTGTCGGCCTAGGGCTTTGGCAGGTGTCGAAGTGATATGGAGAACCAAGGCCGGGTGCTGTAGGGATGTTGGGGAAGGGATCCTGGTTGCGAGAAGTCTCCGGGTAGGTAGGCTCTTGTGCCGGGCGCTCCTGCGCCCTGATATCGTCGATTCGAGAACGCCCAAGTATTGCGATTGCAACGGTGGTGTAGGAGGATGAAGGGAATAATGCACATCGCATCTGGGGTTTCGCGACTGGCCACAGGCCGGACTGCGCTGGCCTCGTCAGACCCGGGAAGAACGCAGTGGCGCAGCATGAGTCTCCAGCCCCAGGCCGAATGCGGCAAATATAACTGCCGATCGCAATTCGCTAGCAGCGAAAGCGGTTTAGCGCCGTACGGCGTTTCTTTCCAGGGGCTGCTTAGCTAATGGTAATTTACGGCTTGGCGGTGTCGTCATGTGCTGCTTGGGTGTTACACTCGGCGGCCGCCGTGCTTCTGGCGTCGCAGTGCGTGCGGCTGCGGCTGCAGCTTGGATGTGTGGAGGTGCATACATATACGGGTGCGCAGGCAAGGGCACGGCTGCAGTCATTGCGCTGGCGCATTTGGGGTGTGCTGTGCCGTGACAGGAGGCGGGGAGGGATGCCAATGATAAGGTAGTTAATATAGAGTGACGCTGCAAGTCATCGGTTGTTTTGCATTGACACTCTGCTTTGGCTTTCTTTAGATTGAAACACCTGAACGCCGTTCCTGTCTTCGGCTGTTTGCGACTTACAGGGCGAACTACGCTGCCTGCTCTATAACAAGTTTCCTTTCAGCTGTTTCAACGGGCTTTTCGGGCGCGGATTTGGGATTGCCAACACTTTGAAGGTTCGTTTCTCGAGCGGCTATTCGTGCGAATTTGGCGCAGTTTTTGGCCAGCGAAGCACGGACAGGTCTCAATATATTGTTGACCAATATCGCGCACCGGCCATGGCGGTGGCTGGCATTGACTCGCCCATCAACACGAGGGCGTAGGATGATCAAATAATGGCTACTCCGTAGATAGCGGGTAAAATTCGGCAAGGGACTGGCATAGCAGCTGGACCAAAACGAAAGACGCACTGTGTCAGTATTCCATGCTTTAGCAATCGCGCCTTCAGCTCTAGGCATCTGGATGGGGACTGTTGTGGCGGTCTTGGGCGGTCTTGCTGATGCCTGGTACTTATGTAGCGCATACAGGGCGTCGATCCAGCCTGTGCAGAACTTGATCACAAATATGACACATCTCGACATCGTATCTCGACAGCGTCCCTAGCCTTATATCGCACCTGAGCGGGATGGGCATGTACGGAGTAGTATCTGCACCCCGTGTTCATCCCCTGAGGTTCGCCTATCCGGGCCCTGAACTAGACCTAGTCAGCGCTTTTGCTGGTGCCATGTTTCTTCTTGCTACCGATGGGCGCTGCGGTGGAGCGGTTTTGCAAGCCTTCCGGAGAAACACATTCGGGCATCATATCTTGAGCAATCTAGGCTGATCTTCGCGCTCACATGTGTGCAGGCTAGTTGCGAGGGAAACATACCGAGCAAACTCCATACTATTGATCAGTAGTTAGTTAGTTGTCCCAAAGTTCCAAGCGGTTGGCGGTCTGGATGCGCACCCATGATTCAAAGCCGCGGGATCTGGTCGCGGTCAGCGTGTCCACGCCCAGGCACGCACGGTCGTCTTCGACGAGCCAGCGGCAAGCCGGCTGTCTCTGCGTGCCGCTCGCCAGATCGCAGCCGTTTCCCGCTGGCCGCTGTGGGCGACGCTCACACGTGGATGGGGAGGCCGAGAAGGGCTTGCACGCGCTGGTAAGTGAAGGGTGCGTGACGGCTAGTAACAAGCCGTACGGATGACCGGTGGAGCCGAGGGCGTGTTACCCCTGACCCCCAAGCCAGGAAAGAGCGCAGCTCAGATCAGGGCCCGCCAAACGGCGGCGCGTGAGTGGCTGCCGCCACGGCGCTACGCCCCTTTCGAGTTTAACTCCGTGCCTGGCGGCTCCTCGCAGTGCAACCAATGGATACGCGGTGGGGCCCGTAAACTTACCGGCGTATCCCTGCCCCGTTCATCTTATCGTTTGCTGGCGGCGTATCACCAGGGGCATTTAACCAAACAAACCCCACTCGCACGCCAATCGCGGGGCGCCGCTGACCATTTTGAAACCCGCTAGCAGCGCCATTGGCCGCACCCTGGCCCGCCCAGTACACGCCCGTACCGTACCGTTGGCTGCGTCTCTGGCCTGCGCCGCCGCCCGGACTTGTCACCTCGCCTGCGCCCATCCTTGTTTCCTCCACCACGTCCTTCGTCGTCGTCCACCACCACCACCTCCTCCTCTTTCTCCATCGCCCGCTATCTCGCCTCCTCTCCTCCCATCACCCTCCTGAGCGAACGCCATCGCCATCTGCGTCGTTTTCGACGCTGCTGCTGTTGGCGCCGTCCTCGTTCTCCTCCGCTCGCTTTCGTCGACACCTAATCCGCGACGGGCGCCCGCCGTAAGTTGGAGAACCCACCCCGACGCCCCCATTGGGCGCAAGCCATCGACTAGCCAAATCGACGTGCTTCTGTACGACTAACCTGCGGCTTTCTTAATTACTCAGACTTCCGATCCACAACCTCCTGTCTCTCCTCCTCTCCTCCTCCTCTTCTTCTCTCCTCCTCCCGCCATCCGACGACCTACCCGTCTTCCCCTTTCCATTTTCTCCTTGGTGTTGTTGTTGTTGTTGTTTTCCTTCCTTTTTTTCTTCAACCACCCTCTCTTCACTCGTTTGTTTCTGTATTTAATTCTTTCGCGCCTCGTTGCCATCCGTCCTGGGGATCACGACCTTTGCGCTTCCATCGCCGCAACGTTCCCCAGCCGAAGCCGACCGTCGTTCGTTAAAAGGGGTCATAGGCAGACAACTTCGGGCCAACCAGGCTGCACGGCAAGAAGGACGGGTAAAAGGGTCTGCTGGGGTATCAGTCATCTCGCTTGGACGACAACTACAGACTCGTGAGTGACACCCAAGGCTGTTTCAAGAAATGCGCGCACAACAAAGGCCTGGATCGCCATCGATGTTAACACTTGAACGTCTTCTGCGAAGATAGTCCCAGCCTGATCGTCCTACCAACTCGTTCATTTGGGATTCCGTTGCTGGAGATACGCCTGATGAGACAAATGATATCCACGTGTGTCTAATGGGACCAATTCAAGTCGACTGAACTGTATGTTGGAAGTCTTCGTTACCTGATGTTTTGGGTGATAACAATCTTGAATCGAATTAGACGCCAACGAAACAGTCTTCGACCTCGAGCCGATTACAAATTTGTATCGTTCTATCGGGCCTGTCACTCTTTATCGCCTGGAACATTTGTTCCGTTACACTCTTTTAAATAGGTACAAACACTGCAGCTTGTTTTGTGATGCTTGTTTGCAGCGATTCGCCGTCCTTGGCCATTGTCGATAATTTTCAACTTGGCTCCTAGTGGTGAACTTGCCCCGTTGCCATCACATTTACTAACCAAAGTCATAGACACCACTTCGCTTCGCGGCCTCAGGTCGTCGATTCCACTCGCTCAGTAGCTCGAACATAAACAGTACGTGGCGCACCTGTTATTCAGTGTTTTTATTCTTGTACTCACCGTTCCATAACCTGGTACAGTCAAATCACCATGCGTTCCATATTATGTACCATTTTGGTCGGCCTGGCGTCGCTCGCCAGCCTGGATCAATGCCAGGCCCTTGGCGCTCCAAATAGCCCTCAGAGGCCCCAATATTATTTTCCACGAAAGATAAAAAGAGAAGTCCATAAAGATTCTCCCGTTTATGTTAAACGTGAGGTGGTGGTTGTGCCTGTGACTCTCATGGTTGGACCGGATGGGAAAAAGAAGGCAGGACCACTGAATAAGATCTTTGGCTTGGAGACACAGCCTGCCACATCGACCTCCACCTCTTCAGAAACGACTACATCCGAGAAATCATCAGAGTCGTCTTCTAAACCTGCTCCTTCCCCTCCGAGCTCATCGCCTTCGGCATCGGAACCGGTTTCTACGTCAAGCGTGCCATTGCCGAGGCCGACGCCATCTACGACATCCTCGCGACCTGCACCGGTGACACCCCGTCCGAGCCCCAGCGATGATTCGAATCCTGGAATCAGCATTGGCCTTTCTGATATCTTGTCGGACCCTATCATCCCTTTGCCAACACCGACACCTACACCATCGGGCAACCCGCCGTCTCAGAATGGGCCAACTTCGTCTGTCGCCCAATCAAGGCCAATTCCTCCGTTGGTCGTTGTGTCGTCTGTGCTTCCTCTTCCATCTGGCACGGGCGGGTCACCGCCCCCTGTCATCCCGGTTGCATCGTCGAGCCCTAACAAGCAAGTTACTTTTACTCCTCCAGTTGCGTCGGGTACTGGTGTCAAGCCCCCTGTGGTAGAATCACCCACACCTATCGTGCCTGTTGAAACTAAACCACCTGTGACTCCCGGTACCAGACCTTCTGGTTCTCCTCCTGCGCAGGAAGTATCATCACCTATTACGCCTGCTCAGACCAACCTGCCGCCCATGAGCTCTGGTACTGATACCAGACCTTCTGGTTCTCCTCCCGCACAGGAAGTATCATCACCTAATACGCCTGCTCAGACCAACCTGCCGCCCATGAGCTCTGGTACTGATACCAGACCTTCTGGTTCTCCTCCCGCACAGGAAGTATCATCACCTAATACGCCTGCTCAGACCAACCTACCGCCCATGAGTTCTGGTACTGATACCAGACCTTCTAGCTCCCCTTCTGCACAGGAACCTTCTCCATCCCCAAATGTATCCGCTGAAAGCACCCCTTCCATACCTCCAGGAACCGGTGTACCTTCACCCGCTACTAGTTCCGTGAAGGAATCCTCTGCCCAGGCGCCGGCTGAGACCAGGCCGCCTATTCTCGGTACCGGTGGCTTGCCAATTAGCATTCCGTCTATTTCTCCGGTTCTCTCATCCAGCGAAGCATCGTCGGCTGATAGCAAATCGACTGTCCCACTTCCGTCAGAGACCAGTAATGTCCCCGTTTCCTCTCCGCCAGTTTCTCCATCCAACGGCGCTTCGACTGCGACAACGCCCATGGACACCGGTTCTCCGAAGCCAGAAAACTCTGCACCTTCGTCGACTCCCGGATCGCAATTCCCAACCATGTCCGTTCCCCCTGTCACGGAGATCCCAGCTGGAGGTAGCACTGGAACGTTTAACTCGCCAACTCCTATACCCTCTACTGGTCAGGCAGATTCAAGCAGTGCCACAATCCCAACTCCAACTCCAATTGCATCTTCTGCAACGGGAACGAAAACCCAGTCATCAGATTTGGTTGTACCGACCCCTTCAACTCCATCCGGTGTTTTTCCTTCCAGCGGAACGGCACCTGGGACTGGCACAATGGTGAAGCCTACCAGCAGCAGCACTCGGGTAGTCGAAACTGAATCGGAGTCATCATCGATATCGAGAGCCACGCCAAGCTCCTTGAGTACGTCTGCTGGTGTTTCTACGCCAATCTCAAGGCCGACGACACCTCCGACGCCAACACCCACCCCCACACCTTCGCGATCGTTGGTATCCCTGTCCACCAATTCTGATACAATGATGTCAGTTCCCACTAGCATTGTCGTTCAGCCTTCCTCAACCAGCAGTCAGGCCCCAAGCAGCACTGCAAGCCCATCTTCCCGACCAAAGATTATTGTCCCACCTACAGACGATAACAAAATTCCGCCAAACTCTGTGACCGTTCAACTTGGGTTTAACGGTTCGCTCACGTACGATTTTGTCGTTCAGAACCAGGGCGCCACCAGCCAAATTTTCTACTATCTTCCACAGGGTATTGCGGATGGTCTTAATATCCAACATTCCCAAGTGAAAGTTCATTCTTTAGTTCCATACGACACTGTTGCCAACTTGGGCTACACAACAACGATCGCAAGAGTCAACATTCCGTCAGACTTGGTCGAGTCGCTTGCCCTCCAACTGCGTACACCAACGTCACAACTGTATAATAATGCTGACCCTTCCGTCGCAACCATAGTATCGATGCTCGACCCAAGCATTCCACTTACTGGATCCCTTCCTGGCGTTAACAAACCCCCTGGAAGTCCCGGACAAGGCAATCCCAATGGACCTGGTAATGGTGGAAATGGCAACCAAGACTCGGGCCCTGGCCCAGGAGGATCCGGCGGTAACTATAACGTTCGGGCAACCTCTGTTGGGATTGGTTTAGGTGTTGTTGGTGGCGCCTCTCTCTACGGCGCAGCTATGTTCTTTGTTGCCCGCCGATACAGAAAGAGACGTCGATCATCCACCAATGAGGAGAGTGTCGTATCTAGTGGATATAACAGCCAGCGCTCATCGGCAAGAGAGGTTGAGCCATTTATGAGTGGTGCCAGAAGTGACGGCTATGGTTCACAACGCAACAGTGGCGGCGGTACTAGTGCCAGAACACAAACTATCAGCCCGCCCGTCATGGCTGAGAACTCTCTCGGCTGGAACTGAACACGTTGTGCGGTTTAAAGCCAGATCTTCCAAATCAGAGGACAGAATTGACCTGGTGTTTCCCGGCGTCCTTGTTGGCCTTCAACTGTCTGGGTTTCACTGGCACCAATTCGAGCGAGGTACACGTGGCTCATGTCAACTAGGATAACTTGTCGACCTTGCGGCTACCTAATGAGCAAGAAGGAAGATTTAAAAAACATGTCCTGTTCTTGAAACATTTCGGCACCGACTTATTTTTGGTTTCTTTCAGCTCTTACCACTTTCTACTCTAGTCTCATTCGCTGAAAATCAGACGGATGCAGACCCAATTTTTACTTCTTCACTGGCCGACAGCGAAAAACATCCACCATACCCGTTTTGCTTTGACGTTTAAAGTTATATTCCCCCTTTGTCTTGCTATAGTATTAATAAAAAGCAAGGATACAATCCTCACGTACATGAGAAAGATATTGTATTGTTTTTTGCCTCATGTTCCATGGACAGAAACTTGCTATATTCAAATTCTGGTCAATCTCTCTGCCTTCAATTTTCAGTTAGATGGCACTGCCTAACTCCGGCCGTTGGAAATGTCTCTGCTCTCTTGACGACGTTTCCTTACCTTCTCCCCAAATCTCCGGGTTAAGGATACGGCCATTTAGGCTTTTATGGACGTTCGAATCAACACTACGCGAGGGAAATATAAGGAAGGAAATGGTGCTCAAATCTGTCGGCTTTATATTTTGCATTTTGGTTTTTTTTCCTTCAACGTCACCACCATTTTGTCCCTTGAAAAGCAAAGAATATTACATATTTATCTAATACAGGGAGTCTCTGATGGAGACGTATTTTTTTCTTCTATCTACATGAATTTCCTAATACTCTCCTTGATATCCCCATATCCTCTTGTCTGGATACTGTCCAACTCCTCCCATCCCTAGCTTTCCTTTTTTTTGTCCACTGCTACCTTGCTCTCTTCCCTGACAAAACTTATATATCTTTTAATACCATCCCCCCTTACTTTCTCTATCTCACACCAGCCGAAGAGAAGAGCAAAACACCAACTTCTCACGGCTACTACCTGGACCAAAATACCCACACGCCTATCGTGGCGTCTCCTCGAACTCATTCTTTTTTCCGGTGTCATATTTGAAATGATGTGTACAAGTCTCCCCAGCTATCCTGACCACACACACTCGCACACTCAACCTGTCCATTCATTTTGTTCCCAGTTGATGTATTTTTTTTTACTCGGCGATACTGTATTACTCGGCATCATTGCTCGAGGTAGATCGGAGCCGGGGGTGCGGCGGTAGAACTTTCCCGCCGCCCCCGCGCAAGGGCCCCCCTTTCCCACCCCCCCTGATTATGATTTGGTGTTGTTCATTCATATTTTGGGTTTTGTCCGCTGTGTCTTGGGGTTCTTGTCATGTACTTAACTCTGTATGGATACTTTTCCTCCAATGAACTCGGTCCTTTTTTATTCCTTTTTCCTACTCCCGCCATGATGCCATGTGTATATGTATGTATGTATGTATGTACTGGAGGTACGTGGCATACGTATCTGCACCGAGGGGAGGAAAGGGATGGCAATACTGAGATACCAGCGATTAACCTTCTTCCAATCTTCCAATTCCCACCAACTATTATTTCACAATAATAGCAAGCCCTTACTATAACGCACCCCACTACACCGAATCTGCGCCTAATCCGGAGGCTATCTACGCCCCCGGGGCTTGGTCGGCGAGCTAGCGGGCCAGTCACGCACACACAGATTAATATTGCCGCCTAGCTAACTCCTCCGTCCATACCACCGCAATAATAATAATAATGCTGGCTGCATCTGGAGCTAACTACGGAGGGGGGGTATCCACTAATAATAATGATGGTGATAGATAATAGCAATAACACACAGTACGTCTTAAAAGTCTTGTGGCGCGCTGTTCACCCACACCACACACACCAATCTTACTACTGCTACTGCTCACGAGAGCTCGGGACTGAAAAACGGGGATACAAAGCGGTCTTGTCCCCTTCCGGCAGACATTCGAGAACACCGAGAGGGGGGCAAGGCAGGGTTGCGATATGTTTTTTTTTTTTTTTTTTGGGCTAGGGTATAGTTAACTAGTGGGTATACGGAGGAGTAACATAGTTCTTCTAAACAGTATAGACCCGCCCGGCCGCCACGGGAAAAAAAGGAAGTAAGTGGGCTGGCTGGTTGGTTGGGCGGGGGTTATTAGGTAGACGACATTTTCTTTCCTTCTCAACTTTTTTTTTCCTCTGGGTGTATGTCGCGATAATAGTCGTCGTCGTGTGGTCCTGTGTGTGCGACTTGGCTGACGCGGTTTGACACCAGCGTTGATGGCGGTAGTGGGGTGGAGCGCAGGGGGATTGGTTCTGCTGGTTAGCTAGTTATATTGGACACGCGAGGCCGGCGCTTCTTGACACACACATCGCAGCCTACGGAGTGCACGGGAAGGCCGTCTAAGACTGCATGAAAGGCAATAATAACAATAATAGTATTGGTGCGATAAACAATGCAGGCATGCAAGGACATCTGGCCAAATCCCAATTTACCCCACCCCTTTTTTGCGTTTTCGAGGCTCTGGTGACATGCCGATGATAAAAAAGCAATATGTAGATCATGATGCCATTAAGGAAGAAAGCCGATCGATCGGTGCTGCCTTTCCCCGAAGAAAAAGCCATGATGCAAGACGGGAACATGAGAAGCAAAGGCAAAAGATGCACATGAAAATGAGGCAGACAGCGCGGGAGCGAGAGAAAGCACTACTATTAGCTCACCCAGCATGGACTGCATACCCGGCAATAACGACTATCTCCAAAAAAGAAAATCATCAAGAAGAATTCGAACGCAAAGAGCCACAAAAAAAAAGGCAAAAAAAAGGGAAACACGAGAAGATGGTTGAGTGAGCCCCGGAAACGCGGAACGGACAAGAAAAGTTCGAAAGCCAAGAGTATTTTTATGTGGTCAAAATCGTCAAAAGACCGCACCCGTCGAGACCCGGAAGGAGAAAAGGGGGAAGAGATGAAGATTCATTAGCGAATTAAATAGTCGCAAGATAGTGAAATTGGCGGCCGTGTGCTTCGGAGAGAGGTTCTGGGAACATGTGTGATTTTTTTTTCGTCAAAAGATGCTGGTTAGCTACTACTTTGACATGGTCGAGCCCGCGCACGCGCAGTATTCGCTTCGCGCTCGTCTAGGCTCGTTTGCCGTTGATGCCTTTGAGTTCGACTTCGCTGTGAAACGGAAGCCAACGAACGGCGTCGGTTAACGAGATGCTGCTGGACGGGTGGAGGGGAGGGGAGGGCACATGACAAGGGAAGGCTCACAAGACCAGAGTTGCATTGGGCGGAATGACCCCTGGGAAGCCACTGTTGAGAGCTGCGTTAGTTCGGGAGTCCTCGAGCAGCGAAAAACACCATGGATTCAGGGTGGCGACTGGGGAGGGGCAGAGGGGCGGGGGGCAGGATGAAGGAAGAAGCGCCGAAGCCGCACAGTCCCGGGCCATTTTCTCGACGTTTTTGTCAGTGGTTTGCTGGCCTCTTTTTTTTTTTTGTATTATTTTATTTTATTATTACCCGGAAGTGTTGGGCAGGGATGTGTTGGGGGAGCACAAGCAGCACGACGAGAACAACAGCAGCATGCAGACACGTACCGGGAGCCGTAGGCGTAGTCGCTGCAGCCGAGAGTTAGGATACGTAGTTAAGTGCAGAGAGGACACAGACAGAGGGGGGCCACGCACTCGGTGATGGTCAGGATGCTCTTCTCGCCGAGCGACATCTGCACGACGGCCTCGTCCCAGCCTGGCAACACAGTGAGTCAGTCAGTCGAGTTATCCAACCAGCGCGTCTTCCCGCTTCGCCCGATACCCAAAATAAACGGGGCGAAGGGGAGGGGGGGACGGACGTACCGCGGATGACGGCGCCGACTCCAATCTTGGTGCGGAATTCGCCACGATCTTCGGTCGAATCGAATCTAGACGGGCGATCGACAGTCAGCGGCGGGCGGGCAACGCGGTTGCGAGGGCTGTCATTGGGGCCCGCCGGGGGGGGGCCCTGGGCAGCGGCACTAGCTCGCGCGTTCACGAGCAGCGGCCGGGAGGGGAGAGGGCGGGAGGGAGGGAGAGTGTGAGGGAGAGTAAGAGGGAGAGGGACGGTATGAGAGAGAGAGAGAGAGAGAGACAGAGACGCACTTGGTGCCCATGAAGTGGCCGGACGGGTTGGTGGAGTCGTAGAGACAGCCGCGGTACTCCATGTGAATCTCGTCGCCCTTGCTGGGCTTGTCGACGCCGTTGCCGGTCTTCAGGATCTTCTTGGTGACGCCCATGGTGGCAGGCAGCGGGCGAGTCTGAAGCGACTGTTGGGGAGGGGAGGAGGAGGAGAAGAAGAAGAAGAAGAAGAAGAAGAAGGAAGGAAGAGAGAAGAGAAGAAAGAGAAGAAAAGAAAGAGAAGAGAAGAGGAGCGAAAGGAAAAGCGAAAAGTGAAAGCGACGGGGGGCGGGCGAGGCGGCGCGAAGGTTTGCTAGGAGAGAGAGCACGGGCGGCGCGACAGACAGCAGACAGCAGACAGCGAGCGACGGTGTAGAGAGTAGAGCCGAGAAGAAGAGGAGAGAAGAGAAGAAAGACGAGATCTTAACAGCGATGCGACATAGCCCGCCAGCTGGTTATTAGTTTGTTCGTAGTTACATACTCCGTCCGCCATGGTCTGGCCCCGCGCCGGCGATCGAGGCCCTGCGATCGCCGCTGTCGTGTCTGTCAGGACGGAGGATGCTGCTGTCTGTCTCGTTAGTTATTTGATGATGATTAGTTATTGTCTCCTACACCTGCGCTTCGTGGCCCACGCCTGGGTGGCCAGCGTTGCCTCCCACCAGCCCTCGCACGCTCCCCCAGGGCCAGGCCCGGCCGGGCCAGCGCGCGAGGCCGTTAGGCGGTCGTGACGGGCGTGGCCGGCGGGGAGAGCCCCAAGCCTCTAGGCGCGACCGCGGCCGACCACCACCACCACCACCACCACCGCTGCAGCCCATTATCCCATCCGTGTCGGCGACTGCCTCCCATGTCGGACCAGGACACACCCAAGGGCTCTGCCGGCCAGCTCCATGTCGTCGGAACGCCTTTCCGACCCGCTGCCGCAGCGTCACGTCCTGCCACGGACCAAACGAGCCTTCCAGACAGCTACCACTACATACATCATAATATGCCCCGGCCGTGCCAGAATCCCTCCCACGCGCTGCATACTTAGTTACGCGTCGCCGACAGGGTCCGTCCGGGCCCCCATTCGACACTTCCCCGTCAACACGCAACGGCGATGTCGCCCCAGTTTCGAGCTGCTCTGCATAATCCCCGATGCTTTGCTGTTCTCTGATTTTTCTTTTCTTTTCTTTCGATGCCGCCTGGCACACCTGCTCATGCACTGACACAGAGCACCGCCTCACACCCTCAACCGTAGAGAAAATCTTCAAAACCACAGCGCCTCCCACTTTTCCATCTGATCCTGAACTAGACCTGGGAAATTTGCATGAAATGCCTACACCCCACTCCGCGTAGAAACAAGACGCTCTCTCACTGCTGCCCCTCATGCGATCACGCCCTGTTTACATAAGCGCCGCCTCGGCTGCTCGGCAACACTACGCCCAACCAGGCCTAGCTCCCGTCAAGTCACCACCGCGGCAGAACGGCTCACCGCCCAGCGAGGGACGTCGCGCGTCGCCGAGGAACGAATCCCATCGTGAAGGGACGTCGAGATGCGCCGCAACCCTCGCTGGCTGCCAATGTGACGCCTATCACTCCTGCTGCTCTGTTTTCTTATGTTTTAGAAAGCGTTGATTTTCTCCTCGCGTATTCATATTTGCCACCATCCCTGTGTGTGGCAGGGAAGCATTCTTTTTTATCATTGTTTTTGGGTCAGACAGGATTCGCGGAGGGGGTGAAACGACATCGAGTCGCTTCTATGAGCTCCCCTGCCTCCAGGGACATTTGTCGATACTGGCCGGGTTAGAGAATCGCCGTCGAATCAATCGACCTGACGCCGACGGAAGGGAAGGCAAGCGTGCGCCTTTGACCATTGGACGAAACGACTTTTGGACTAGAACCGCAATCGATATCCATACTAGTTAGCCGCGAGCCGCCTGTGGCATCATGCGACCGACCGTGCGGTCGTGGTACAGCGTCCTCACAGCTGCCGCCCGGCCGCCGTCGCCCGGCGCCCGTTGTTATCATGCCGCCTTGGCCGCGAGCGCGGGCGGCGCGGACGCGGACGCGGCGTCGTGCAGGAACCTACGGTTCCGCTGCCACCGGTGCTGTGGTGGTGCCGGTCTGGTGCCTGCACCTCGAAGGAGATGTGGTGCGGCAGCGAGGCGCATGGCGAGCAGCAGCAGTAGCCGCAGCCCGTCCGAAGGGCAGGGCCCAATCCCCGAGTACGATGCGCGAGTGCAGGCGGGCCGGCTGAGGGATGATGATCACCAGAGAGGTAGGCCTGCAACCTGTTTGTTTTCCATGCGTGTGATGATTGTGTCTCGTCTAGTCCACCCAGAGACATATAACAAAAGAAAATAAAATAAAACAAAACCAAACCAGCAAGGAAAAGAAGAACTATTATTAACCAGATGCTTTTGCGTTTTCTTTCTTGTCTACAGCCATCATCCAGCATCTCCAAGACCTCCATGACGTCCTGAGAGGCTACCAGCCCGCCAGCGTCGTCCACCCCTCGCCCGCCCAGCTCCAGCCGCCCTCGCGATCGTCCTCCTTCTTCGGCGCGCTCTTCGGCAGCAGCAGCAGCCCGTCACCGGGCTTGACGACGCGCATTCCAGACGACATGCCAAAGGGCCTGTACATGCACGGCGACGTGGGGTGCGGCAAGACCATGCTGATGGACCTGTTCTACGACACGCTGCCGGCCAACATCGCGTCCAGGACGCGCATCCACTTCCACAACTTCATGCAGGACGTGCACCGCCGCCTGCACGCCGTCAAGATGCAGCACGGCACCGACTTCGACGGCGTGCCGTTTGTCGCCGCCCAGATCGCCGAGCAGTCCAGCGTGCTGTGCTTCGATGAGTTTCAGTGCACCGATGTGGCCGATGCCATGATTCTCAGGAGGTAGTTTCTGATTCTCGTCTCGTCTTTTACTGGTCTCCAGAGTTACTGATCATATGTGGCACGCAGACTGCTCGAATCACTCATGTCCCACGGCGTCGTGTTCGTCACCACGTCCAACCGCCACCCCGACGAACTATATAAAAACGGCATCCAGCGCCAGTCCTTCATCCCATGCATCCAGCTCCTGAAAAACACCCTCACCGTCCTCAACCTCAACTCGACCACCGACTACCGCAAGATCCCCCGTCCGCCCTCCGGCGTGTACCACCACCCGCTCGGCCTGCAGGCCGACCACCACGCCGACAAGTGGTTCGAGTACCTCGGCGACTTCGCACACGACCCGCCGCACCGCGCCGTGCACCAGGTGTGGGGCCGCGATGTCGTCGTGCCGCAGGCCTCCGGGAGGGCCGCGCGCTTCACCTTCCAGGAGATCATCGGCCGCGCCACCAGCGCCGCCGACTACCTCGAGCTGATGCGCAGCTACAACGCCTTTATCATTACCGATGTACCCGGAATGACGCTGCACCAGCGTGATCTGGCCCGGCGGTTTATCACCTTCATCGACACTGTGTATGAAAGTCGAGTACGTCCCAGCCGCCCTCTTCTCTGTCTGCAGTCATTCACTAACATAAAAAAACCCCCACCCCAGGCCAAACTCGTCCTCACCACCGCCGTGCCCCTCTCCAACCTCTTCCTCTCCCCCTCCGAACTCAAGTCCTCCACCACGCACACCCCAGCGCACTCCGCCGCCCACTCCAAACCCCTCTCCTCCTCCTCCTCCTCCTCCTCCGCCGCCGCCGACAGCGGCGCCGACCTCGACGACTCCATGCGCAGCCTGATGGACGACCTGGGCCTGTCCATGGCCGAGCTGCGCGCGAGCTCGATCTTCAGCGGCGACGAGGAGCGCTTCGCCTTCGCGCGCGCGCTGTCGCGGCTGACCGAGATGCAGAGCACCGAGTGGGTGGAGCGCGGCATGGGCGTGGGGCTGGATGCGCGCGCCGGCCGCGAGGACAAGGCCGCCTGGGATAAGATGAGGAGTCGCTGGAGGGAGGATAATATGTGATGCGCCCTGTACTGTTAGAATATTTGTTATTATAGTAGGTTCGGGCCCTCCTTTTTTTTGTGCAGTGGCCGCTTGCTTTTCCTTCGTTTTGTTCTGTGCAAGCGAACTCAAGTCTAGATTGATAGAAGTGGGTGTATTTACATCGTCCATTATAGTGAATACATACAACGCCGACATAAGGCACAACACACAAGAAATCGGATATTTTGTCCAAAGACGCCAGCCAAATTCAGCAAAAAACAAAAAAACACATATACCTACCTTTCATTCCACCCCATTCCTCATAGACTCGTACATGTGGTATTTGCAATGCATAAAAAAGAAGCCAACTTTCAAACAAATCATAGGAAAACCGTCAAAAGAACAAGGAAAATCACTTTCTCCAAAATGCCAGCTTACCCACTCTTCTCTTCATATTCCACCCCATCTCACTAAAGAAATCCTTGACCTTCTCACCCATGTTCCGATGCATATAGCCCACATTACTCCCACCGCCCGCACTACTCCCGCCCGAGCCGGAGCCCGCAGACGACGAAGACGACGACGATCCCGACCCCAGGGAGAACTTCATCTTGCCCTCGGCCACCTTGTGCACGATATTCAAGACAGCAAAAGCCGTGGAGCCCAGACCGCGGAACACAGCCAAGCCGGCGACGGCCCACAGCACAAAGGCCAGGTACCCGTTGCTGCCGACCTGCTTGTTGCTGTAGGACTCGCTGACGGCCATGGCGAGCACGGCGTTGGCGACGACCCACACGGAGACCATGTACGTGCGCACGGCGCGGTAGTAGTCCTCCTGCATCTGGGCCTCGGAGACCTCGGGCGCGGCGACCTCGAGGCGGTCGCGCAGGTTGCGCAGCGCCTCGTCGTAGCCGCTGTCGATGTCCAGCTGCTCGGACGGCATCTCGAGCTCGACCGTCGACGAGTCCGTCGTGCGCGCGATGCCCAGGTCCGTGTGGATCACGTTGTCGCCCTTGGTGCCCCACGTGACGTCGTGCGTGTTGCAGAACGCGTATACCTGCAGCGTGCAGATGTAGCTGGGCAGCAGCGCGAAGTACTGCGCCGATGACGTGAACATGTGCCACGGGTCGAGGTACATGAAGGACATGATGAAGTAGAGCCCGACCGTTGAGAGTGTGGACACGATGATGTTTGTGAAGATGTTGTTGCCCAGTTTCAGCTCCTTGTCTTTGGCGTCGCGGTACTTGAGCTGCATTACTACCATGTACAGCGCGGCAAACGTCGTGTACACCATGATGATGCTGTACACAATCATACTGGATAAGAACATTTTCTTTGCACTGTTCGTTGTTGTTAGTTCAAGTTCTCAAAAAAATGATATTGAGAGACGACTTACCCCTGAGGCCGATTACCCATAGACAAGATAAATTGTAGACATATTAGCAAGACACAAGCATATCTCAGTGCAACGAAAATTATTTGTCCGATATTATGCCCAAATGGATCCACCTCTTTGGCAGCCAAAGCGCCGGCAATAAAATGAAAAGTTATATAGAAATTTGCCTGTGGAATTGTCAGAATAATCACTTATTGTTTCTAGGTTTAGGGGCGCGTTCGTGCTGTACATACCAGAGAAAAGAAGGTAAATATTAAGCTCACAAACTGATAAACGAATTCAATATGTAGAAGTATTTTCCGCATTACGGTATGGTCTGTTTTCCAGATTTGACGGAAATGAATGAGGGAGTAGACTGCCGCAAAAAAGGCACCATTAAGCCAACGTCGTCGCTGCGAGATGAACTCAGGGACAGTATCTAACGAACATGTTAGCACTCCAGAACGTATTTTTTGGCCCGAGTTAGCATACCTGGCACGTCAGTTTCCCCCACAGCGCTCTTCACGAATTTCAAAATCCATTGATCCTCTCTCTTCGCTACCAATTCCCAGCACAGAATACGATCTTCAGCCAAGTACATATTAGCCGTGAAAACGTCTGCATTTTTCCCGTGCAACATCTCTCCCTTGAAGTACTGGCTCAGGGGCCCATGGCCTGTGCTATCATTCTGCAGTGCGTGGTATCGATAGGCACTCAGCGCACCAGGAAGCACAGTGATGTAGCCGAAGACCGACTCCAGGGGCTTGTCCAAGATATTCGACATCTTATACTCGAAATTCTGCGACGCGACCAGGGGGTTGAATAGACCCACCCAGCCTTTGCCTTTGCCGGCCTTGATTTCGCCGGCGGCGCCAGCGACATTCGAGTCTTGATCAAATGCCTTCCAGAGATGGTACAAAGCGGTAGGCGATGGTTTGGTGCCGACGTCGAGCAAAATGCAAACGTTCGGCGTCAACGCGCGCCCAAAGGCATTGAAAAACCATCGATGAGAATTAAGTTTCTTCTGGTTACGCTCCTTCAAGCAGAAGATGATCTGGCAGGGCACGATTCCCTTCTCTGCACCCTTGAATTTCAGGTCAGAGTCCAGCGAGACCTGCGTCGTATACTCGTAAACATGAGCCGTAACTTCCTTTTGGTTAACGATGTTTTTCGCAATGCCATCTTGATACACGCCCATCGCCGCCAGGGCATTGAGCGTCCGCGGATGCACTTTTTGTCTTCCGTCCGCAATGATACAGACCACGATTTTCTTCCAGCCATCCTTTCCCCAGGTTCTCGACTTCATTCTGGAGCAGAAATGGGAGATATTCCTCATCACACCGTGCATGGTACGCGTGAAGTGGATTTCGTCTTCATTGTACATGGTGATGCAGACAAATAATTCCGTTTCGCGCGTGGTGGTGCCCATATTCTGGCGGAGTTTATATCCTCGAGGCACAAAGTCGTCTGGGTCGCAGGTTGCGGCCGTGTACCGCATGTGAGTGAATTCGCGATCATCTCGACGAGGGAGAAAGCTGTGTAAAATGGTCGGAATCTTGCACTCCAAGACAAGCTCACCGTTGATCAACTTGACCTCTTTCTTGGTCATTTGAGCTTGCCTTACACCTCTGCGGTCTTGACGGCCCGTGGGAGCAGGTCCATAGTGAAGATTCGGGTCAAAATTACTTTCTGAATGGTCATCCTCGAGATCAATTTTTCTCATTGTTTCTTTATCTTCTGTGACCACTGTAGATTCGCTCATATAAGAGCCATACGATTTTACACTCCCCCGAGAACTTCGTTTTGGGTTGATTGTCCTCCCATCTCCTCCAAAGGGGTCGTCGTTGATTCCTCCATCGCCGATATTGATTGCAGCTTCACCAGCTGATGATACCGGTGCTGGCCCTGAAAATAACGGTGCCGGCGGAAGAGGTCGCTGCGGGCTGCCGCCATATCGAGAGCTTGGGGTACCAGGGCGCGGGCTGCCATTAATATCCGCAGGCTCATAATTTAAGCCTGTAGCTGGGCCCGCTTGTCTCGCCCATTCGGCGCCTCGCGATGGTGACCAAGGTCGGTTAGGTGATCCGGGGCGTTGTGTAGCATCTCGGGAAACGTTTGGGGGTGGAATGCTCGGCGCGTTACTAAGGCGTGATGGAGATCGAGAGGGCGCAAAGGACGTTGTCGAGTAGTTTTGGTGATGGAGCGGCTGGTATCGCGATGATCGAGCCGCCGAAACAGAACTTCTATATTGTAAATTGTTAGCTATATCTTCTGAAATCGGCTCTTGGACACTGGGAAGTCCCATCCGGTTTTGGCCCGATAACAGTCCACTGCGGGTAATCGAATCCAGATGGGCTCCAGGCCTCGGTTTTACAGCTGGTTTGGGCGTTGTCAATCGAAGCGGAGGAGGAACCATTAGAGGATCATAGGCAATTCCAGTTTTGGAGCTTTTTATCGGGATACCAGAGGCTGCGGGCGCCTTCCAATGGACCGTTTTTCCTTTCGGGAGCCTAGTTCCATCCTTAGATCTGGCCTGAGATAGTGTTGAGCTGGAGCATTGTGAAATTAGTTCCGGGGTAGTAGAGCAAAACCGAATTGTAGAATATCCCTGCGATAGATTTGACTTCCTCTGACCAGTATCCGGCACCTTCTTGGATGGTTGCTCCGCGGTATCCTTCTTTAACGGCGGGGAGGGATCTGAATGGGAAATAGAAGATTCAACACATGGGTGTACATACAGTCGGCGGTGTGGGGCTTCAAACTGCGCGTCTCTATAATGCGCCCCATCGACATCTGCCTCCGCTGAATATCTGTCAAGGTTGTCGTCCACAAAACTACCTTCCGAAGGCAGCAGTCGCATCGTCGACGTATCTTGCGGGCCGTGATCGGACACTGGGTGAGGTAAACCATCGTTTGTATCGTACGTCAACACGCTCTCGTTGTATCCGTAAGAGGGTGGCTCGTCGTCGTATGAAGGTGGTGCTGGACCCGAATGGCCCGGCGGGTGTGACATCGTGCCTGCTGGTGAGAACAGCTCGAACGAGACGTGTTTCGGCCTGTTTCTGTACACAAACGAAAGACTAAAGGTGAAGCCCTTATACTTCTAGCCTGTGGGCAAGAATGCCCACTTCTAAGATAAGCCACTTCAATAAATATGTTCCAACTTGCTTTTTTTTACCGAAGAGACGTCACCGACTTGCAATATTGAGCTCTCACAACTTCAGGAACGGCGTTTTAGTCGTGCTGCAACCAAGATACGAGGAATTTCGGTAGTTAAGTCTGTATAACTTCTTGGTTCGTTGGAAGGATTCTGCGACTCTCAATGAGATAAGTAGTGACGCAGGAAAGGGTAATGTTCAAGAACCAACCTGGGAGCCTGGTGTCGACTCCTCCACAGATAACTAGCTAAGTAGGTGAAACGAAATGACAGACAGACGGAGCACCGGCGCCTCAGCCTCGTGTTGATCGCCAGCGCGAACACAAGTTGATATCACGTGTGTATGTTTGTAAACGAAGTTGCTATGGCAACACCCAGCTTGGCAATAGGAAACCAATCAGAGTGCGCCGAGAGCCACCTCCTATCGCGTTCTTAGCAGCTTGGCGGAACCTAATCTGGTTGATCACAACTAGGACACTCACAGCATGTCATCATCGCGTCATGAAGATTATTCCAATAGGCAAACATTTACAGTGATTGTTGGCTATTTTCTAGATAAGAGAATGGCTTCATGGTACTCGCGAGCTCGATAGCGGGGCAGATAGGCTTTTACTACCAATGTTGTGATACTCAACAAGAAAAAGTCGCGAGGCATTTCAATGTGCTTACCATGATGCCTGCTTTTCAATTCAAATTTTGTCAATCTCCTTGTCCCAGATGTACGTTGATGGTAATAATTCTTCCACTGACGTGGTTGCAACTCCATCCTTCGTTTGCAGAACAACCTGAATACCAGGATGCAGATCAAGCAGAACTTGCCGACACCTCCCGCAGGGGCTAAAAATACCCCTTCCTTCATTTCCAACAGCCACAATATGCGTCAGCCTTTGAGCGCCTGCTGCAGCCGCCACTCCTAGAACTACAAGTTCTGCACATGGTCCACCGGTGAAATGATAGACATTAACGCCTGAAAATATTCGACCATCTTCGGACAGGGCCGTACTCGCCACACTGTAGAAATCGGAGACGGGGATTTTGTTAATGATTGAAGTAGCGGTATCAACCAGCTTTTGTGCGACTGTATCAACGGACATTTTGGAAGGCTCTGGTGATTGTTAGCTGGTTTCACCTAAATCTACCAACAAGTTTCGAGTGGATGAGTCGACTGTGCAACCTAGACGACTGCTTACCTAGAATATGGAGTCGGAGATATAGAGCTGGCTCTAGGCATCCGCGATAAACCTATATCTACCAAATGGATACAACAGAGGCTATGGGTATAACTCATTCATTAGTCCTCAAGAGTGATACTTCAAGCTTCGACTGTTCCCTAAATGAAGATTTGTCAGTTAAGCATTGCATTGGTGCTTCGATGATTGGTAACAACCTTAATCTCTTTTCCAGCACCCCGAAGGTTAATCTGATTGGGGGTTTGACAGAAAGGACGGAGTAGAAGTTTAACTACTAATAACAGTGTTCGTGTGGCTAAGGTTAGTTATGTAACTAACTAACCAAAAGCCAGCTTAAAGTCAATCTAGACGAACGTTTATCTTCCACCTACTCTACTCCGGACAAAGTCCTCCATACTCCAAAGTATATCCAATATCATATCAAGTCTGCATCGAAAGAGTTGGCGTTCTTGCTTCAAAAATTTACCTCTCGGTGGGTGACTGAATTGATTAAATGCGATCGCCTATCACCTACGGATCGAACCATCACCTATTATTACATCGAATTTCAAATCCTCAATCATAGGAACCTGTTTGCACACATGTAACTCTAAGCTAGCGCTTCAAAATTTTCTAGCCTACTTTTCCCCTCCTCTATTAGATCCCGCTCAGCATCTTACTGCCAGTGGGGATTGATTATAACAAGATTTGGCGGCTTGAGGTTGGGTACCTAACCTCCGACGTCCTTTCTAGTAAGGCGCAGCTATAAATAGCCGGAGATTTAGTAGCACTGCATGAATGTGGCAAGCGGAGACATTGTGATCATATAAAAAACCGATCCGAGCTATTGTGTTTAAAAATGGTTTGTTCATTCGAGGAAGGGATTTCATTCCGTAGGGTCCCGCTCTGTGTATATAGTTATGACTTATGAACAATGAATATGGTGCATTCTCAAAGTTTGTTATCAGCAGCTGTCTTCCTAACACTCATCTGGTAGCCATTGCATTTGTCCAGTAGACCCCATGGCCTTTATGGAATGGCAGCTTGGTGTAAATCAAAACCATTAAAGTCGAGTTTCTCATTTACAGCGTCTTTTATCTTTGCGGTGCGCTGCCGCTCCGCCACCACGTTGGTCCCATTCCGATTTCCTGTTTTGATTTCTCTCCAAATTCTCAACGAGCTGCATAACCTGAGTTGAAAGAGCCTCCGCCTTCGACGTTAGCAAAGGCAAGCCCATGCGAATCTCTAAGGTACCCTTTAACGACTTCTCTTTTGCCACCACATTACCTTTGGTATCACGTATTAGTTTTCTCCCTTCCGCATCGTATCCTCGCTGCTCCAGCGCTGTTCGAAAAGCCCGTCGAACACGCCTTGCCCAGAACGACCGGACGACTCCCTTTCTCACCACCAGCGACCCGTCCACCACGGACCACCATAGTATGCCCCGTTCGCGGTTTAGGTACGTATGTACAACTTTTGGCCGGATTGGATGGTCAAAGTCTGCGATGTAGCGAGCTCCAATGTAGGGGACGAGATTATCTGCGGCAAAAAAGGTTTGGAATAAATTGACGTCTTTGGTGCGGAGGATGCGCGACCCGGTTTGGAAATATTTTGGAAGAGAGCGATAGACAGCTGAAGCGCTCATATCAAGCAAGGGTAAAAGGTTGAAAAGGGGAAGGCAATGGAGAGAATCCTTACTCTCTTTTGTGTCGGTTCAGCTGGTCGTCAAAACATGTGCCAAGAGTCCGAACTTTGTTCTTAGTCTGACGTCATGCGCTGCCTGGCATTCTCTAAGTACTCCGTTCTCCGTACAGCGCTTCTACGGAGTACTCGGTGTGAATCGAGGGGTAAGGAAAATTGGAACTCAGAAAACAATAGTTGGAATTGAGAAAATGCTTTGCTTGAATCTTTTTCTATTCGTCCAAAATTGAACCGTATTTGCATAGCTCCCAGGTGTTTATGGTTACCAATTGGACATTCAACAGTGATACGATCCCCCATACAAAATAAGCAAAGTACTTCCAATGACAAAAAGCGGCTGTTAAAAAGGGAATATTCTAAAGGTTGAAGGGTATAAAAGGGCAGCTTTTTCAAATATAGTCTATGCAATTAGCTGCCAGAATGGTTCTTTCCCTAGTTCTTCAACCCCAGCAGAATCAACTCTAACATTGGGAAACCGCGTATCAAAATCGGAGGTCGTCGAACCGGGCTCATATTTCAGATAATGAATAGTGTTGATACCGGTAGATTTCAAGAAATCATATACACGGTGATAATTCAGTGCCACATGATGAATTCCATGGCTGTCGTCAGATAAACAAAACCGGCCGTTTCGAGCTTGAAACTCCTGAATAACTACTAAGCTTGCTGTAGGGGGCAACCCATAGAATTTCGGTCTTACCTTGCAAATCTCGGCCTTGGGATATGGCTCTGTCATCCCTTTTCTCAAGCTCGCAGAATTCAGCTCCATTATTCCGCCATATCCGGCAATAAAATCAAGATTTCTCAAAATCTTCTGCCAGATTTGAGGCCACTGCTGAAAACTTCCATTGGGGTCATCGCTCATGAGTCGAATGAGGTCGAAATGACCAATAACCGGAGGTTTAAGCTCCACCAGCAGTTTGTACTGGCTGTCGAAATAGTCTTCGAATAGTTTCTCATCTGTACCACCTGACAGCTGCCTGGCCTGAGAATAGAGTTCTTTGTCGTAGTCTATCGGAACAGTATGTACGTGGTGGACAGAGCCAATGAAAAAATCAAATGGGTATTTATCCAGAGAGCTCTTGATTAGCTCTAAGGAGGGTGGACGAATCCAATCACACTCGAATCCAATTGGAATATTCAGCTTGTCCTGGTATTTCTCCCGAAGCCGGGTGGCTTCTTTGAAATACAGAGCTTCGTTCTCTAACATCGTGTCAAGGGTGACAGTCCCGACCTACGTACCAATTAGAGGTTCATATACTATAGGGAAAGAAGACCAAGGATATTTAAACATTCGAGGAGTACATACCTCCTCGGGGTATAAATCCTCATTGTGTCTTGGCATATGTTCTGAGAGGCAAAAGATTCGCATCTTCTTTGCGATTGCGGTTTGAATAACTTCTTCTAGAGAATCTTTCGCATGCCCGGGACAGAACTGTCCAGAATGGCTGTGATGTGAGAAAGGCATAATTACGTATGGCGCAGTATAACTCTGCAATCCCCAAAATAATAAGAACTGCAGTTATTAATTAGAGTAAATTAGCTTTAGTGCCCGATACGGCAGTAGAAAAGGAGGGCGAAAAAGGGAAAATAGAATCAAATCATAAGGAGAACAGTTTCTACTCGTGTTGAGATTGTATGTACATCGTATGCGCTAGATGAAAATATCAAGTTGGCCTGGAAGGTTAATGACTCACCAAACAACAACTTCAACAACTTCACTGCAAGGGACTTTAACTGGCTATGCTTAGAGGCCTTTTGACCTGACTGGCAGGAATCAACTCAAATTCTCGCAAGCTTCAGAGAACCGGTATTATATACTGGGGATATGTGGTTGATTGTGCCGTTTTTCAGAAACTCAAAAACGAGGGGGACGGCCGCGCTTAAAGAGTTTTACGAGAGTCGGCGAAAGGATCTCGCCACAAATGATATGAAATTGGTCCAGTTGCAGTAGTCGCACCTCCATGAGTATATTTGATGTATGGTAGTAATATGTGGGGTAAATGTCACTTTTAGTAGATGTTTTGTTTACTGTTGATTCCCCATAAACTGTCTGTCCTTCTAACGCCAGGGCCCGAACTAATTATAAACCACTCCTGAGTGAGCAGCCCTCCTATATCTAGACATACCTATATCAGGTAAACCTTTTGGACAGCAATCAACTGTACTCCGTACTCCGTATAGACGGTCTATTCGACCTTTTGAGTGGTAAATGAGCGATGCCGAGGCTGTTCCGCGTATGCATCACATGGTCCGCTAGGCTAGAGTTTCGAAAGCATGGAGGCTACCCGGATGTCCAATGGTTTGGACAATCCATCACACGCTGCCTGACCATTGAAGGACAAAATTCCGCTTAATATAGCCCTTCCTCCATATTGTAACAAATGCAACAGCAGAAGGGTTCCCGACGGCACCGCATGGAGTGCGGCACGGGTCAAGGCCTATGATAATCTTTCCGCGTATGGAAGAATGGGATATACATCTTTCTAGGCGAATCGGCAGGCAATATATAGAACCCGTGCTTCTCGGAGTTCGCTGGGGCAATCCTGCTTCTTTCCGGCTTGTTGCAACCGTTCTTGCACACAAAAATGTGGCCAACCCAACAAGTATCGTTCTGGATATGATTGGCATAATATCAGTGTATTTGCTCATGACCGTCACCCGACAGGGCATGCTGCCATAACCGTTGCGACAACATAGTCGCCATCGTGCGAAATGGAGAGTTTTCCAATCTGGCCATGGCCCGCGGCGTTTCTAGCGTAGACAACCTCCGGCTTTCCATTCCCTCCAGACTCGGCTCGCACAATGACCTCTTTCCAGCTGATACTCGACGCGCCGCCCGGGGCAGCTTTCCTTGCAGCTTCCTTTGCCGCAAACCGACCAGCCAGCCACCTCGCGGTGTCTGCAGACGCGGCGACCGTTGATTCAGCAAAGGGTAGCGTTCCTGACTGTTTAAGCTGGGGTCTGTATTGCGGAAACTTAGAAAAGAACTGGTTCTGCTCCTGTTCAGACAATATGCGCTTTACGAATCTGTGGAGATACGTGTTTGTGGGCGAGGGAGAACGCGTGATGAGCCGAAGAACCCGAGGAATGTGGACTATATCAGTACCGATGCTTAGGCCGAAGGGGAAAGGTGTGAGCTTCATCTGGCAATGCGACGCGTAAGCTTCAAGTTGTGGGCAACGGCAAATGAAGGCGCCGCTTCAATTGCTTTGGCTTTGTTGACTGCACATCATGTCCGTATCGCCCAGCGTTGCCAAGCCAGCACTACCTGGCTTTTCCGCGCGCCGTAATACTCCTTCGAATATACTCCAGAGACTGTTCAACGTAGATACACAACAGGAATTCTTGTGCTTTACAATATGGCTTCATACTGTTTTGGGCTTTATTTATGTACGCGTCCATTATTTTTATTGACTCTCCTTGCGTTTTGATGCCCAGGATCACAAGAAACCCGCCGTGGAAATGCCGCTGGGAACTGCCTCCTCATGGCCGCAATGCATGGGAGGGTAAGTAAGGGCAGGCTCCTCGCTTGAAAAGCACGTCGGGGTTTCAAACTAGAATACGAGCTCTTTTGCTTTGATTTTATTTTCTCCCTTTTTCTTACCACTGCTCATCTCAAATGCTCCCCTCCCCGACATCCATCATTCTCCAAGCTACTGTGGGCATTGAGATTTAATGTCTTGTTGCTTTCTATTATTTATTTACGTCCCGCTTTCCTTGTATTTCCATGAGGTTTTCTTAACTCCAAGAGAATATTTTCCTATTTTCTGGTAGTTCCCGTAGAGCGGACCATCAGCGAGATCCTGGGAGAAAGGCAAGCTGACATGAAATTATTCTGAAGCTATATCTAGCAAAACGCCTTCCATACCGTTTAGCCCATCTCTCCTAATCAAAAGCACTACTGGCAGACGCTGAAGGGTTCGTTATCAGGGTCTGCGAAAATATGGTGGAATTTTGCGAAGTTACCACCTTGTGGGACCTATCGACAAGTATAGCCATGAAATAAAGTAGCTCCGCATTACGTAGCGGTCTAAGTTGATTACTGCGGCACTATCCATACATACTTCGGCTCTGTATTCCGTGATAGTACTAGAATTCGACGAAATATGGTTCGGCCCTATTTAAGTTGAACGTTAATGCATAGCTACCCCTTCGGCTGTCGGCTCTCCTCAACCATAACGACAGTCTTAGCTATTCTAGAAGGCGGGGAAATCATGGTTCGGCAAAGAAATTATAAAGGGTTATGTATCGTGCTACAACGAAGCTACATACGAAGTTCCCATTTCTTGCCAAGCACTTAGCTGTTGGTGGATTGGGCAAAGGGCGTCTCGTGTCTTCATTGACCCGAGAATTGACCAGTGTTATCGCTGGAACCGATTTTGTGCTGAATACATATAATGCGGTCAATTACTTGTCAAGGGACGCCAAATGAAGTACACTATTCAAGTCCATAAGTGTAATATACGGTCTAATGAGTGCATGTTAGATCGGCCTTCAACATGGAGAACAAGCTAAAGCCGAGATCCACGGCAGTGTTGAATTCTATAAGAGCCTTTTCAAAAGAGACTGCTCGATGGACTGGTCAGAAGTATGCCAAACAGCAGGGAAATTTTTTCCCTTACTTGAGGCGTCATTCCCAGACTATCTTCAAGAAATCAAGGGTTAGAAGCACCGCAGTTAAATATTCTGATTCGATATAAAAAGGCTGATAAGTCGTCCCAGGCGTTGCAAAAGGTGCCGGTTTGGATGTGGCATCTATACTTGCTCTGAACGTCCGAACTGAGATCGCGTATGGGATGTTCAATGATGGGTGCACAGCCTTCTCCTGGAAGTCCGACAAGAAGAGCTTTCTAGCCCAGAATTGGGATGTAGGTATCTGCTAGCTCGATCGTTGAATCTATCCCAAAAAGCTGATAATCATCCAAAGTGGGACAATGAGCAAGCGCCCAACCTGATATCCATGCATATTCGTCCTTTGACGTCCTCAAAGCCTGCTATCCACATGATTACTGAAGGAGGGATTATCGGAAAGATTGGTCTAAACTCCAAAGGTGTGGGGGTTACGCTGAACGCCGTAAAATGCGCCGGGGTCGACTTTAAGAAGACGCCGTGCCATTTGGCTCTTCGAGCAGCTCTGGATAGCAACTCACATACTGAGGCGATCGAGAAAATCGAGAGGCTCGGTGTAGCATCTGCATGTCATATTCTGATCGCAGACTCCACTGGTGCTGTTGGATTGGAATGTTCATCCAACGATATCGTGCACTTACACATGGGTGACGAAGGGGAGCCCTGGCCTGGAGTCATCACCCATTCAAACCATTTCGTGCAAAAACACCTTAATGCTGTTTCAAAGATATTTTTTCCCGACAGCGTTCCTCGGTTGGATCGGATTAGAGAATTGATAGGGAGATCTATGTCCGGCCCTGGGTTTGATACTATCGATGGTATCTTGAAAGATGAAAAGGGATACCCTGGAGCAATCTGTCGTGCACCCACAGAGAAGAGTCGCACCGAGACTCTTTTCGCCATTGTCATGGATTTGACGGAGGAGAAGGCCACAGTCAAGGTGGGAAGACCAACCAACCCAACAGGGGTTTTTGAGTTGCATCCATAGCATATACAGCTCTTTTTTCACCAGAGAAAATCTATATGCCAATTAGCCATATTCCCACAAAACTACTATGAATAGAGCAAGTATTCCAAAGAAAGTCTGGTTTAATTCGTCCTTGACAGCTGTGGAACTAGGCACTAGAATGTTGAAACTGTTCGCAACTTGTCGGATTTTGAAAAGTTTTATGTGTGACAAAATTATATGTGTATTCTCATCCTCTCACAAACTCAAGTTGTGAGATCAGCAAGGGCGGGGTGGATTGTAAAAAATCTATCATGCAATTGGTGGCTATGTTTTCCAAGTTATATCTGTACATTTCAGGCACCACTGTGTCCGGCATAAGAATCCTATAACATCATTCGCCCATCGAACCCGAGGTCGAGAATATGACGAAGGTAGAAGGCGCGGAGTTCTATAGAGTTCGGATGGGTGGGATTAAAAGAGATTGGTTAGGCCTTCGCCTTCTTTTCCTCGGCCTCTACGCTCTTTAAGAAGTCCCTAATGTGCAGGCAAGACGAAGTGGTTAGAAGCAAGTCATTTACAAATCACCGCTAGTAATAGTTGCGAACTCAAAAGCACCGGCAAGTTATAGTAGCAACATACTGAATGAACTTTTCCTCGTCTTTGCTGCTTGCCTTGATCGGAGGACCTTGCTCTTTCTTCTTTTCTCCGGATGGCATGGCGAGCCAAGCACCAACGAATGTTGTACCGAGGGTGGCCATTGCGAGCTATGGTTAAACCGCAGTTAAAATCAATATCCATCATTCACAAAACAAGGCCATTTTGATAGGTTCACATCGCGTATCAAGTACGGGAGGAGTAAAGAGAGACGTACGACGTGGGAGCCGACTTTGCGGCCGGCAATTTGGTAGTAGACAACCATTGTGGTTCAAGTTATGGTCGAGCGCAAGGTAGTAAATAGAAGGAAACTTAAGGGCCGTCTTCGGTGGCAATTGGAGCTTGGATAATTGCCTGTTGGGTCGTATCAACCTCCCACGAACCGCTTTCCTAATTGGAGGCCGACGTTGGCGAAATATCAGTCACGTGCGGTAATATGCTGAGTCAGCTGTTCTAACTAATCAGGTGATTGATAGATGAGTAATACGCCACTAGTACACGTATGGTTAGACTGCTATTCGCCCGAAAATAACCGGCCAGCCAATGGTGTTGCGGGGGTAGTCGTACATGACATATGCGGGGGGCTGGGAGGCTCTGATTGGCTGCCGGTTCTCACGGTTACATCTGCTGGCGGGCGCTGTTCGTTGGCCATGCAGAGCGGAAAGCCGCCGAGGACACAATACTGTCGTCGTGCGGCCGTCGAGGTTACTCTCGGATAATAGAAAACAATCGGGCAGTCTTCGCCGCCAGCGTTTCCTGGGTGCTGGTACCTTCTGTAGGTGCCCTAATCCCAAGCTTGGATAGTGGGCTGATCTTGATAAGACCGGGAAGGTCATGGTGAAGCTTGTCAGACATCGGTCGCGTGCTGCATCCTTTTACCATCCATCACCACTACCTAACTGTCTTCACGGCCTTCACTACCATTCTTCATCTGCTGTATATACTTGCTTATCTCATAACATCGTTTTGCGGCCTATCTACTCTCGGGACTCTCTTGAGTTCCTGCAACTATGTTCTGGGACCGCAAAAAGGAGGAGACTGCCGCGGACAATGTGGCCCATACCATACAGCGACGGAAGCTAAAGCCGGAGCTGCAGAAGCTTGTCAACCAGGAAGAAGAATTCCTTGATGAGCTGTACGATGGCCGGTATGGACAACTCGAATCCCTCCTTCCTCGTGTTTACTTTTGGTGAGCTGCTTAGGAACGCCACATCTGACCAGCTCCGCATACCAGTTCCGCCGATTCTATCGAAACCCCCTATCGGTATGCCGCGTATGCCACACGCATTAAGACTCTTCTCCTTTCAGCCCACCGATATGTGGCATACACATCCGACATTGGCGAATCCTTCAGGCCCGTAGCCCATCCCTGGCTTGTTAGGAGCGCATACGGTATCTCTTGGGCCTACATCTTCGGCGATGTTGCCAATGAAGGTTATAAAGCATATGTACGCAATTCTCATGTGTTCATTCCACAGGATGATGCATACCGCAGTGCTGTAGCACCATTGGCCAAGTCTTCCGATGTCGATACCCATGTCGTTGCTAAGGAAGGATTGCGACGACCCCAAAAAGCGTTGAGGGATGGCAAGGCGAGCTCTGACCGTCACCCAATGCCATGGCAAGATCCAGAAGCGGATACATTGACACCCTGGCCGACGCACAAAATTCCTTTAAGCGAAGATTTTCGATCTATTATGGCGGAGCGGGCAGTATTCCAAATTCTGGCGAGTATGGGTTTGCCAGCCTTCACTATCCATTCTGTAGTCAAGTACTCTGGGCGAGCGTTGAAAGGAATGAAGAGCACGTTCTTCAGAACGTGGGCGCCTATTGGGGTATGTTTTCAAATGCTCATTTCCCATATCTAGCTCAGGATCCTTACACTCTCATAGCTAGGGCTATCTGTCGTTCCCTTCCTTCCATACGTTTTTGATAAACCTGTCGAAGAGGCGGTGTCCTGGACTTTTCGCAAGGCTTTTCTCGCTATCGAGGGTCCCGGCGCAGTTCCAGCCAGCGAAATTGAGGGGAGCACCGTTTCGAAAGCCATTGAATCCTTTGAAGAGAGGCGACAGCGTCGAAGAGATGAGCGTGATCGCAGACGGGCTGAACGAGAAGCGCTGCTACACAATACTAAGGATGAATAGACATATTTACATGCAACCCTTCGCAGATGGTCCTTCTGCAATCATACCAAGCAACTTATTTTACTTCTCCCACCCTTACGGATATCCCTACTCCTACATTGACTTCCCTTTTCCAATCTTCTTTGTATCAGTGAGTATTACACTCTACCTTGAGTTCACACTCTTATTTTCTATATATTTCCCCTTGTTTATATTCATCAAAAACAGTTCCTACTGCAAAGCGCTATTGGCCCTTTTGAGCAAACAATTTTCTTACTTCTGTTTGTGTACATATGACCAAAACAATGAACTCTTATGCGTCAAGCAAACACTGCTTTCCTAAGCACGCCGAGTGCTTACTGTTTTTCTTTCCCACAAATGCTGTGTGTTTCAGTGAAACTTCATTTCCTTCTTAACTTATAGGCAACCTTCAAGGAAACTTTTATCAGAAACTTCCTCTATATCTTAACATAACTACTACACAGTCTACACGCTCTGCATACCCTTAGCCATTTTAAGCGGAGAAAGGACAGACTTTTTACTGTTGACTAATTCTAACCCTCATTCACAAAATACTTCAATTCGTTATGGAATCCAATCCTGAAACTGTTCCCTCTGCAGGCTATGAGACCGCACTTTACGTTATCCGGCAAGAACTGAACAGAATTACGGCTATCCATGTGGGAAACACACATGTGATGGCAGCTGTGGATGAAAAAATTGGCAACTTGGACCACCGAATCGAAGCTGCGCTTAAAACCATTGCCGAGCTTAAGAATACCGGCCACGATGCGTCCCAAAGTCAGGGGTTAACCATCATGTGCGAGATCATGGGTATCGCAGGTGATATGGAGTTGATCATTAAGGAGCTTGATGAGGCCCTTGAGGCCATAGGAAATCCACCAGCAGAAAAAGCTTAGGGTTTGTAAGGATAAAGGGGTAGAGAAAAATTGGCTAAGGCAAGTTGCCATGCCGGATAGTGGGAATTTTGGAGGGGAAATAAGAAAATAATAATCCTTGAGGCACGGCCTTGTTTCATAGGAAGGTAAAGCTAAGCACCACTAGCCTGTATTTATCTGCAAATACTAACGCTATCGAAGGCCCAAGACCCTTCCCTAAGCCCTCCATACTATTAGGTTTTCTGCGTGGAACACTTAGCCTTATTTTATCTGCTCTGTTGAATGATAAGCCGGTTACCCTCTCTCCTCTAACGTACGCTCTACATCTAGCACTCTTTTTGTAGCCCGTAGTCACAGATGCCCAAAATAGAGAAAAAGACGAAGTTTATTGATCTAGAAGATACCCGAAATTTGATACTGGTACGAATGTCCTCCAATTGCTGAATATATCTGTATGTAGGGGAATATAGGTCAGGAGAGGGTAGAAAAACGCGATCGAATAAAAGCAAATGTGTCTTAGTAAACTCTCTATAAGGGGATTAGGATTCAAAAATGTTGGTCTTTAGGTATGTTTTTTGAAAGAAATTCTAATGCAGATGCAGGTATCCAAGCTATTTCGCCGATCAATGTTGCATGGCGATGCCAGTGATTCAAAAAAGGATGTAAGTGCTCGTCAAGTCGTAATCGTGAAAGATTTTGAGGCAAAGTCTTCCTTCTCATATCTTTGTTTGTTGGGATAAATTCGTGTCCAATGAGTGCATTAAGTTTTCTCTAAGTTTTGTATTCACAACACCCCCAACACCATAGGCAGGGAGAATCCGTCCTATTCTCGCAATGCAGCTGGGGAGCCAGTCCCGCTTCACTCGTGCCCATCTATCCACGGCAGGCAAGCCGCCAGGTGGTTGGCGATTGTACAAATCTAGCCCTAGCAGATGAAGTGGGGTACTGAAAAGCTGGACGGTGGCGGGGATTGTAAACTGGGCGAGTGATGTCTTCGCCGACGGTGTTGAGGCCAGGAAGTCCGGGATATGGGGCGATATCAGCTGAGGAACGTTAAACGAGGCGAATATCGTAAGACTATCACGGAGACAAAACAGGCCGAGGGAAACTTTTGGTATTTTAGGTGTCGAGGCTATTCTTGTCGGGTGGCATTGAGCGCTTCCAGCTTTCAACGTCGATGGCGAGGGAGAACCCTGCGAATTCTGGCTCTGGGCGCCGAATATCCTCGCGAACCGTGAGTCTTTATAAACGCATATCGACATATTTACAAATGCTGTTGAAATAAACTTCATGGGGCCGGCGGATACATGGCTGAAATGTTTGTCTTCCATGGTCGAAACCACAGTGTCAATGACGTTGGCGGTGAGGTATGTACACGAGTAGAGAGTGTAAATCAGCAAAAATGGTGTCGATACGAAGAATCTATGCGGTCGTATTGCCAACTCCTTGAGGGAAGAGGTCAAGCTCTCGCGAATTGCGAGGCCTTTGGCGGCTTTCTCTATGATAGCGCTGTCCATATCGCGTCAGGTACATAATAGAGTCCCACCGTTCGCGCAGGAAAGACAAGAGTCACAAACCGGTCTATAACTGTAACGGTGGGGCATATAAGGGCAGCTGCAACCGCAGCACTGGCGGCATCTAGAGCCAATCGACTCCCTAGTTGGGCTGTATTCCATCGTTTTTCAGGCGAAATAGTAGTGGGGGAACGGGGCACATCAACGGCCCGCGGAAGGATGCGACTCTCAAGGCCGCAGTCAGCGCCTTGTTTCGTCATCCTTCCTGCCGTTCCTTGCATAGAATCGGCTGGCATAGGACCATCTTGCGGCATTCCCGAGGGCTAAGAGAACGTGTTGGGGAGCTAGTGTGGATACTAGATGCATTGACGAAAAAGACAAACATGCAGTGTGGAACCGACGTGGCTGTAGGCTCTTGGGATATGAACAATAAGCCGTAACCAGCGCCGATTGAACGCACACCGCGAGTTGTAGATGGATTGCGATGCATTCGAGGGTCCAAATTGACATCATGCCGATTTTTTGCGGCTAAACTGCGCTTAGTCACACCCGAGCAAACGGCGCAAACACCCCACAGGAACTAAGCTTTCTTGGAAGTCTCAACCTTCTCTGTCGATATTTTTTCTCTCTCAACGCCTTGACATTCCGTTACTGGACACGTTACTGATGGAACCCACAAGCAGACCTAGAACAGCCATGGCAAAAAGTAGCCAAGTCATGATTTCTCCGAGAACTCCGAATCCAGACCTTACTGAAGAATGGAGGGATCTTCATGGAACCAGAAAACCCAGCCCTGTCGACCGACAGAAGTGTCGATCTGAGGCAAAATCTACTACTAGAACTACCAAAGAAAGCTCCTTCAAGGAGGGGTTCCCCGGAAACAGGTACTTTAGCTGAGGCTAGGACAGTCCCTCCATGAGTATAATCTTATTAGATGGATTAGGATCCAAGCCTCGGGATTATATATCCTGGCTGATACCAAGGTCGCACAGTTTAAAGGCACAGCTTATGCCTGTGCCCCATTTTCACCAACCACGCCCAACAACCGGCGTTGTACGCACATTCCTTCCTAGAAAATTATTCCATTTCGAATGCAACTCGCTCTTTTACCCAGCACTTATCTAACAACATCCCTAATTCTAATTTGATCTTTGCGATTTCTCCCTGTAGCCTTCCCCTGAGATACATTCCATAACTTCACGTTCCATGGGTACCGATCCTGTCGCCTCACCGCAATCGAAAGGTAACGATTACCGAGATGAGGATGCTTCTACCGAAAAACAGGATAAGGGTGTTTCCACGATTGTAGACGAACCGGAGATCGATGACGTGAACGAGGCACGGAGAACCGTAGAGGCTTATACTTCAGATGAAGCGAAGCGAGTTCTCAGAAAAGTCGATTTACGCCTGATACCGCTGTTAGCATTTCTCTACCTGCTTGCTTTCATTGACAGAGGCAACAGTGAGTCTGTTCTTGCTAGCAGTAAAATTTTTGTTATGGAACAGGCGCTTTTTCAGATAAGATGCTTACTCGTCATAGTTGCAAATGCAAAGATTGCAGGTATGGAGACTGATCTTAATATGCACGGGTCTCAGTACAATGTGGCCTTGACCCTCTTCTTCATCCCCTACGCCCTTTTCGAAGTGCCTAGCAATATCGTTCTCAAGATGCTGCGTCCCTCGGTATGGATTTCGGTCATGATGTTAGCTTGGGGAACAGTGATGACGTTTGGCTCTCTAGTCTACCTAACCTCTACCATATCTCTAATTTTGTTGCTAGCTTAATGGGAATCGTGCAAAACTACGAAGGCCTTCTTGCCGCACGGTGGTTCCTTGGAGTTACGGAGGTATAAGAACTCCTTTTTCAACATCCTTATGTCTTAACCTACTTACGCTATTTCTAGTCTGGCTTCTTCCCTGCAGCAACATATTTATTGACAATATGGTACAAGCGCTATGAAATCCAGCAACGAATGGCAATCTTTTACGCTTCTGCCTCCCTTTCTGGGGCGTTTTCTGGACTATTAGCTTTTGCTATTGAGAAAATGCACGGTGTGGGAAAACTCGCTGGCTGGCGCTGGTCAGTATTGTAAAACTATTGAGTCAACTCTCTTCATACTAACATCTATGTACACTCTAGGATTTTTATCCTCGAAGGTCTGCTCCCAGTCGTGATGGCCGCCATTGTATGGCGCATTCTTCCAGATAGCCCGGAAAAGGCTCGCTTTTTGACCAAATCTGAAAGGGATTTCATCGTTAACCGACTTGCCTTGGAAACTGGATCTGGCCATGGAAAAGTCACGAATTCTGACAAGATCCGAATGCATCATATTGTCTCCGCGTTCAAGGAATGGAAGATCTGGGCTACTGTTATTCTTTTCTGGGCAAACTCCATTGGCGTTTACGGGTTCGTATTGTCAAAAAATCTACATTATCATTTTTGCTAACTAGATATTCTCGAAAATAGCTTTACAGCAACCGTTCCCACAGTCATCGCTGACCTAGGCTACACGACAGCTCATGCACAACTTCTAACTATTCCTGTCTACGTTGTTGCTATGGTATCAACTGTAACTTTTGCGTTCGTTTCAGATCACTATAAGCAGCGGACTCCCTTCATTGTCGCTGGCTATACCATTGCCGCTCTCGGCTTTACCGCTCAACTCGCTATCCCGCAGCCCAAATTCCCCGGCCTCACATACGGGATGCTCTTCCTCGTTGCGGCTGGTCTTTACGCACCCTTTATTTCCATCGTTTGCTTAATTGCCAACAATCTTGCCCCTTCATCGAAACGTGCTGTTGGGATGGCGTTGCTGATATCTATGGGAAATTTGGGTGGTATCGCGGGTTCGAATATTTATCGGGCATCGGAGAAGCCAAAGTATCCGACAGGATTTGGGGTGTCACTTGGCATGTCGCTCATCGCGATTATCATGACATTCGTCCTACGCCGTGCATATCGAAAGCTAAACGAAGGACGAGATCGTCTGCTAGCCGATGAGGGCGATGAGGTCATTCGAGGACGATATACTGATCAAGAATTGTTGGATTTGGGAGACGAAAGTCCCTTCTTTAGATACACACTCTAATGAACTTTGAAGATATCGCTTTTATATATATATATATATATATATACAGATATATTTCTTGTCTTGTAAGAGTTCAGACTGTTCTATACATTATCAGTATCCACTCAATGAGAAATGACGAAACGAAGTTTAGGATCAACGACTGTTGAAAATGATTACACACAAGGTGGCTAACTTTCAGTATCTTTACCAATATATTGCTCTTCAACCTATGAATGAAGGAAGGAGTTATCAGTTCAAAAATCAAATTTTTTCTTTATACTATTTTTCGTTTCCATTTCAAGAGACGCCATATTCCAGACATACACCAAGAGTATCATTCCTCAAAAACATCAGTGGTTTAACAAAGCAAATACCTATGCCTAAGTCATACTAAATTGTCTCTCATACCGCAGTATTGGGGCCTACGCTCTCAGGCGAAGGGTCGGCAACCGCATTAACGGACTGAAACCCCTCGAGCGTCACGTTCACTGCGCCTGCTTGGACAAGCTGGAAAGCTGCGTTAGTAGCATTCAGTAAAACAGGGCCAAATTCATCACTCACAGCTCGTCGAAGGTCATCAATCAAATCCTCCACATCCTCAATACCAACACACAGTCGAATTAGATCCTCCGGCATTGCTCTCTCTTGCCTTGTTTTTGCATCTATACTCGCGTGGCTCATACGGCATGGCATACTGATCAAGCTGTTCACACACCCAAAACTAACGCTAATCGCCCATAATTTAGCACTTTCTACAATTCGTTCACTCAGCTCGACGTCTCCGGTTTCGAAAGAGAGAACAGCACCGGCTCCGCGGGCCATCGACATATGTAAGTCGTGCTGTGGGTGAGATCTCAGGCCGGGATATCGAACGCGGAAGCCGTGTTCTTCGAGGAATTCGGCTATTCGCTGTGCGTTGGATTGCTGTTGCTCCATACGGACTTTGAGAGTTTTGACTCCACGGAGCAATAGCCAGGAATCGAATGGTGACAACCCGCACCCAGATGCATTGATGGGAAAGTAGAGCTTGTGGCCAAGAGAGAGATCGTTTACGGCGATGACGCCGGCCATCAAGTCATGGTGGCCGGAAAGGTACTTTGTGCCGCTCTCGTAGACAATGTCGGCACCGAGATCTAGCGGATTTAGGAGTAAAGGAGAAAGCATGGTATTATCCACCGCGATCAATGCATTAGGGCTGGATTCACGGGTCATGGCGGCAATGCGGGGAATATCGACGATTTTTATCAAGGGGTTTGTGGGAGTCTCCAGTAGTACCATTGTTGTTTTCGATCCAAGAACCTCTCTGACCTTCTCTGGCGTCGTGGTATCGACATGGTGGACTATGATTCCTCCATTGGTTGATAGGTATTTCAAGAGGCGGTGTGTGCCGCCGTACAAATCATCTCCAGTAACGACTTCATCTCCGGGCTTCAGTAGCCGTGTAATGACATCTAAAGCAGCCATCCCAGATGATACTACGAGCGCACGCTGTGCAGACATTATCTTTGCCAGATGCCGTTCAAGATGCGTTCGAGTAGGATTTCCAGATCGTGTGTAGTCGTATTCCCCTCCACCGCTCCCCGAAGTCTGCTTGAATGTCGCACTCTAGTAAAGAAGGTTTTTATTAGCAATTGAGTCTGGACTGGACACAGAGAATATTTCACCTGATATATCGGTACACTGCTTGCGTTGTATTGATCATTTCCCTCTGTGTAAACTAATTCTGTAGCAAGCGCATACCGCCTCCCAGCACGAGGGGTAGACGGAGCTGGAGATGGAGGGAGGTCATGACCCGCAAGGTCAACCTTTGAAAATGCCTTTCGGACAGCACTCACGTTTTCCGCCGGAGCCTGGCTGCCATTGGCAGCAGAGGAAAGGTCGGGAGTGGACATGAGTGTTGGGAAAAAGGAAAAGAGTGTGTGGGCAAAAGAACTGAAACTAATATAATATAAAACTAAACAGCAATTGACAAATATGGGTATCGTCCCATCAATCAAGGGTACGGAGTATAAACAAAGTATAGATAGACGGACACAGTCATTCAGAGTCTCCCCGCAAAAGCAAACCGACGGGAAACGAAAATCGCGTCATCGCTTGGGAGGATTATATACGCAGACCCCTGCGGGGTGGGTGCGCTAGAGTCATTGGGGGACTGAGATTTAGTGAGGGGAACTTCCGCAATTATGTTTATCCGAAAAAGGAGCGAACCACCATATCGGAATTAAATGTATTTATCACGCGACAAAGATATTTACCAAACATATGCATGTGACTAGGTATCAAAGTGGACGAAAGAGAAGACCAAACAAAGAACGCAAGTAAAAAGTGTTCTAGATTAAAGCCTAGACGGTGGAGATGCCCAGTCGAAATTAGATCTATGGAATCCAAACCATGTGTTCTCCTGTTCACCACAGCGCCGATTTATAAAATATTACAAAGGAGAAAGAGTGCTGACAGAGAATCGGGTAGAATGATTGCTCAGTCAGGGCCCTCCGCGATCGGGAGTTTGTCCGCCACAGCATCGTCCTCGAGCTCTGACTCTGTTGACCATTCCTTTTCGGGTTGTGTTTTACTCAGTGCTCGTTTCGTTGTTGGGGAAAACGTCAAGCTAGGTTTAACACCGCCAGCTTTTCGAAAAAAGTCATCAGTTCTCAAGCCCCGAACATTGTCGGGATTTACAGACTGAATCGAGTTCCGATTCTGCCGTATCAATTCCCGAACCGGTATCATAGCAGCATCGCGGCAGGCTTCCTTGATGTCGCTTCCAGACATACCAGCCATAGCTGAGACCAGTAGCTGTGTATCAAAATTTTCCCTGTCGACTTTGGTGCCCTTCAGCACCAAACCCAATATCCTCAGTCTTTGAGCAGCCGCTGGTAGCGTGACGGAGAATTTCTTGGGCATTCGTCGTAGGATAGCTTCGTCGATATCCTGTATTCTGTTCGTTGCCCCAAGTACCATAAGTCGCTGCGGCTGGCCGGCAGCATTGGCAGAGGTCAATCCATCCCAGTGAGTCATAAATTCAGCTTTCACCATGCCACTAGCTTCGTGCTCTCCACTTCGCCTAGTTCCCAGGACGGCATCAATTTCGTCGATGAACACAATGCTTGGTTCTAGTTTTCGGGCTAAGGAAAATACAGCATTGACCAGTTTATTCGAATCTCCATACCACTTCTCTGTTAAAGTTGAAATGTGTAGATTGATGAAACATGCTCCACTCTCATGCGCCAGGGCTTTTGCTAACATAGTTTTGCCGCATCCGGGTGGTCCGTACAGAAGGACGCCAGAGGGGGCGCTGAGAAGAGTTGACGACGATCGATACAGGTGCGGCATCGTCAATGGATATATTACTGATTCCTTTAACTCTTCTATAATGTCGTCAAGGCCACCGATGTCCTCGAAGGAAACGGAAATATCCTCCGGCGCGACGACGTCCATCGCAATGGCTTGTTCATATTGTGTAAGCTCAAGGGTTTCCTTTTTCGACTTGTGAGCTTTTCTTTTGCGGCTGCTTGAGCTGTCGTCTGAATCTTCTTCGCGGTCCAGTCGTCGTAATATGGCAGCCGATTTTCGTTTGGCATCCTCGCGCTTCTGGCTTTCGGGGTCAAGTTCTAACCGTGAAAGGAGGAATCTGACAACAAAGTACGTAGAAAGAGACTAAAAGTAAGAGTAAGTATTAACAGATTATTGAGACCGTGAGTTGATTCGGAGTGTCATACTGTGCCAGCTATGAGAATGAGTTCCTGGATTATCTGCTGCCATCTTCGAACGCTTCCCGAAGCCATGGAGAACCCGCAGATTTGCTAATAAAAACCCTATTATATGCAGAGGGTAAAATAAAAGAATTATACTTGAATAAAAGTGACGTGGATAGATTCACTTCGTTGCCGGTCGGCTCTCAGCGCGTCTTTTTTGTATACGAACTTTCGTTGCTTGTGATAAGCCTGTGGCTTGACGCATGGCGGGTAAAGTTCAGGCTCGTGCTGTGGCTGGAGCTCGTCCATCACGTGCTATCCGGTTTTGGGCCAGCGCGACTTGGGACGAGGAGAAGGAGAGAACATTTTGGATGACAGCGAAAGAGGCGGTGTTTATACGAATTGACCTACTACTTATTTTCGAGCGCGAATTTAAGTACTGCCACAATGCCAAAGAGAAAGGCTGCACCGAAACTCTCAGTCGTCCTTGACCACGAAGACGACACGGGTATGGATTCTCCAGTGGAGGATCTAGATACTGCTCCCCCGCCAGCGAAGCGGGCTAGAGGTCAAGCAAGATCCGCTACGGCGGCGGTACCGAAGAAATCAACTGCGAGAAAGCCCCGATCGACCGTTGTTGTTGGGCCAAAGCGACGCGGCGCAAGGGCCGGCGCAACCGCGAAATCGCATGCTGAAAGCATTACGGAACTGTCGGAGGCAGAAGATGCAGAACAGCACCATAAGAAGGAACAGCCGAATGGGTATGAAGCTTCCGATTTGTCAGTAGATGAGCTTGACTCTCCCGAAACGTTGACGACAGCCGCAAAACGGGGAAGAAAGGCAACCACTGCGGGCACGCGACGTGGTAGGAAACCGGCGTCAGAAAGGAATATTGTCAACGATGGTGGGTTTGAGTATACCCCTAGCGCTATCAAAACAAAAATACCTCCCAAAAAACCGACTCGAAGCAAGCCTGTCCCCGTCGCAGAACCGGGGCCTTCTACCTCGAAAGTCGAGGCTCCAGTCTACAACTATATGAATGTAGATCACGCTATCGAGGATGATAATACTGGGATTCCTGAAGATATTGATTGGGAGACATCTCTTGACCTTCCATCTCCTGTGAAGGCCCTGATCCGCGAACTTGAAGCAGCCGAGTCTCCTCAGGCAGACAATGCCAATGAAACGATATTGAGACGGCAGCTAAGCAATGTTAAGAAAAAGCTCAAAGTTGTTGGAGAGCAGTATCGGGCTTTACGAGAAGTTGGGATCGTCGAAGCTAACGCCAACTTCGAAAAGTTGAAAAAGGATTGCGAGAATATGACCAAAGGTGGTTTTCTCCTATTCATGATTTGCATGCTCTATCTAACTGAACGCTGCTAGCCTCTAATAATCTCATTACCGCTCTGAAAAAGGAACTTGCCAAGCAATCGGACCTAGCCAATGAGTTCATTATCGTTCAGCGTCGACTTAACGAACGGGATAGCGAAGTGCTGGAACTTAATTCTCAAGTAAAGTCCATGGGCTCCGATCTTACTAAATCCCAGAATGAAATCAAGGCACTGCAGGCGAAGTTAACTGCTGCCCGAAATACCTCTGCGAGTGCTGAACAATCGAGAGTCCCTGGAAGCACCGGGAAAAACGCTCCCTCGTCGCGATCTACGATTGCTGCCAATGCCGAGACGGCTCAGGCCCTCCAAGTTGCACAGCTGAAAGAAGATCTCTACAGCGATTTGACTGGGTTAATTATTCGTGGCGTGAAAAAAAGAGACGTGGACAATCTCTATGACTGCATTCAAACGGGTTCTAACGGCAGTAAGTGGAGGCTTCGTCATATCAATTTGTTGCCTTGAAGCTAATTATAACCCAGCTCTTCACTTTAAGCTCGCCGTTGCCGATGATACCGAGAATAAAGTTACAACTGACCTCGAAGCGGCAGAATTCCAATATATGCCACTTCTGGACCAAAACCGCGACCGTAGCCTTATTGAAGTTTTGCCTGATTATCTTTCTGTGGACATAACATTTTCAAGGCAGCACGCGTCTAAGTTCTATAATAGGGTAGTGGATACCCTTACGAGGAAGCGAGTAGATGACAACTAGCCTTTGCGGGCTCTCCTATTCATTTTTTCCATTTACAATGTTCTTGGTAGCTACATATTTTGGTCCTGTTTGGCGAATCCTTGGAATAGCTCCTGCAGTTAGCATTTGTGAAGCGAACTTTTAATTCAGCAATGGCCTTCTTCCAGCGTATAACTATATCAATCAAACAGCCACTGAAAACTCCGTAGAGCAGTCTCGCGTTGGGGAATGAATACCTTCAGAAGCACTAGTTCATGACGGACCTGAAGGTACCCATGTCCGCAGCCCGTGGCCAATCAGCACCCAAGTTTCACCACCAATTTTAATCTGAGCTTCAACATCGACGAGACAAGCCCGCGCCGCAGCCCAATCACCCCCCTTTCCATACACCTTTAAGAGATCAACGCGATCCCATTCACTCCTTCAAACATGTCACGATAATAATATAAGTCTAATACTTCAGTTTCCTTCCCTCGTTCAATTTCCTACCATGGCGCGCGTTGGCCGCATGGGCTTCCTGGCCCTGGCGATTGTCTTCCATCTAATCTATACCTACTCCATCTTCGATATCTACTTCGTCAGCCCAATCGTGAGTGGAATGCGGCCACATGAAGTCGAGCGCGACCCCGGAATCAATGCGCCAGCGAAACGATTATTCCTTTTCGTCGGCGACGGCCTCCGCGCAGACAAAGCCTTCCAGTCCTTTCCCGACCCATCTCCCCCTCCCGACGCGTGTCCGGACGCGGAGACCTGCGATGAGCAGTACTTAACGCCTAAACCGCTTGCGCCGTTTCTGCGCTCGCGCGTCCTGCATCACGGCACGTTTGGCGTCTCGCATACGCGTGTGCCCACCGAGTCGCGGCCAGGCCATGTTGCGCTCATTGCAGGACTGTACGAGGATGTCTCGGCGGTGATGACTGGGTGGAAGCTAAACCCCGTCAATTTTGATAGCGTATTCAACCGCAGCAGGCATACCTGGAGCTGGGGCAGCCCGGATATTCTCCCCATGTTCAAGGAGGGTGCTGTGCGGGGAAGAATTGATGCCGAGACATATGGGGAAGAGGCTGAAGACTTTACGCAGGAATCGACTCAATTGGATATATGGGTTTTTGACCGAGTAAAAGAACTATTTGCTCGTGCTAAAGAGGACGCGGAGTTGAATGCAAAGCTGAGAGAGGATAAAGTAGTCTTCTTTCTGCATTTACTGGGCCTTGATACCGCTGGTCATTCTTATCGGCCATATTCGAAGGAATATCTACACAATATCAAGGTGGTCGATCAAGGAGTACGTGAAATTACGGAATTGGCCGAGGAATTCTATGGCGACGGGGAAACTGCTTTCGTTTTTACCGCCGATCACGGCATGAGTGACTGGGGCAGCCATGGTGATGGGCACCCACAGAATACTCGAACTCCGCTTATTGTCTGGGGCTCGGGGGTGGCCAAACCAAAGGTTTCCAACCGGGGCGTTGCCCCTGGCCATGAAGATGGTTTCTCGTCGGACTGGGATCTCGACCATGTTCAGCGGCACGACGTGGCACAAGCCGATGTTGCCGCGCTCATGGCCTACTTAGCTGGCCTCGAGTTTCCTGTCAATTCTGTGGGCCAGCTTCCGCTCGACTACATTGACGCATCTCCTAAGCAGAAAGCTAGAGCGGCACTGGCCAATGTGCAAGGTGTGCTTGAAATGTACCACATAAAAGAAGAGCAGAAGCGATCTGCAACGCTCAGGTATAAACCATACAGCCTATTTGCGGACCCCGAATCTTCCCCCAATGCTCAAGTCTCCGAGATCCGCAAGTTGATTGACAAAAGGAAGTACGATGAATCAATTGCCCGTTCATCAGAGCTTCTAAAGCAGACTCTCGATGGCCTGCGATATCTCCAGACCTATGACTGGCTCTTTTTGCGAACTATTGTTACCGCAGGATATCTTGGGTGGATTGCCTACTCCTTGGCCACGGTCATCGACCTCCACGTTCTTCACCAAAGCTCCCAGCCCTCTCGAAGCACGTTCACTACAATGATATTTTCGTCTGTGTTAGTTGGCCTGTATTCTGTTCTCTGGACCCAAAAGTCTTCGTGGCGGTACTATGCTTATGCCATATTTCCCGTCTTTTTTTGGGAAGAAGTGGTAGCCAAACGAGAGGCACTTGCGGCTGGAAGGCGGATTCTCCTAGGCCACGTTCGATCATTCTCCGGATACTTTTTCTTTGTACTACAAGCAATCGCGTACCTTGCGGTATTAGAGGCGTTGGTGCAGTCGTATTTTCACCGCGAGATTTACACCGTTTGTTATATACTCGCTGGTTTCTGGCCGCTCTTTTATGGTATCAATTTCCTCACCCGCAACAAGCTCATCGTAGCGACTTGGGCAGTTGGGTGTGGGCTGCTGAGTATCTTCACTCTCCTTCCTGTGATTAAAGTTGGGGACTCCAAGACGATGTATGTGCCACAGCCCCTAAGAAAACTGGACCCGTGTCTAACATCTATACAGCACCCTAGGAGGCATTCTCATGTTTTCAACCGGTCTTTTCTATATGATGTTTGAAGAGAGCTTGACGATCCCATCCAAAACAAAACATGGGCTGAAAGGTACCCTTTCACTTGGCTCCCGTGTTATCATGGGCATCCAGGTATGTATAGCAAGCTATCACATATTTATTACGCATTACCTGAACATATATATAGTTGGGTCTGATTCTACTTACCATCGTCGTTACAAGGTCAAGCTTTGCAGCTTTGCAAGCTAAAAGCGGCTTGCCCCTTGGCAATCAGGTCGTTGGGTGGTTTGTTATGGGTATGATACCAGTCCTGCCACCCCTTTTTCACCTTATAGCTGACCTTTTCATTCTAGTATTATCGCTTTTGATGCCGTTCATCCATAAACTATATCCCAACCGCCATTATCTCCACCGCCTCGTCATGCTCTTCCTTACTTTCTCGCCCACCTTCATCCTCCTGACTATATCCTACGAAGGGCTTTTCTACTTCACCTTCTGTGCATCCCTTCTGACCTGGGTCAGACTCGAACACCGCATCCATCTTCACACATCCTCACCCTCCCCAACAAAAACAACAACATCGACCAATAACTCCAATAACGGGGAACTCCAGCCCGCCCACCACCACGACGACTACCGGAGCCTGACCCTATCCGACGCGCGCATCGCGCTCTTCTTCCTCTTCCTCCTCCAATCCGCCTTCTTCAGCACGGGCAACATCGCCTCGATCTCGTCCTTCTCGCTCGACAGCGTGTACCGGCTGATCCCGGTGTTCAACCCGTTCTCGCAGGGCGCGCTGTTGATGCTGAAGATCCTCATTCCGTTCGCCATCATCAGCGCGAACCTGGGCATCCTCAACCACCAGCTGGGCGTGGCGCCGTCGGCTCTGTTCATGGTCGTCATGTCCATCGGCGACGTCATGACGCTGAATTTCTTCTACATGGTGCGCGACGAGGGCAGCTGGCTCGATATCGGCACGACGATTAGCCACTTTTGCATCGCGAGTGGGATGTCGGTGTTTGTGGCTGGGTTGGAGTTCTTGAGTGAGGCGTTTATCTCAGGGGTTGAGTTTGAGAGGAGCTATTCCCGGGATACGGCGGGTCTGGCGAATGGGGATGGAAGCCGAAACGGTGCTGGCGAGGGCCAAGTACATAATGGAAATGCCAGCTCGTCGGCAGGCATTGCTAATTAAAGAGTATGTTGTTAAATTTCACAAAGGATAGTTTAATTTCCAATCTAGAGATAACCAAATCACAAATACATTGAAGATATCGGTACATTCACTTCCGCCCCCGTTCGGCCATACTTCATAACCGACATGGCGAGTTCTCAATAATATATACAGACAATATAATACAAGATAATGTATACAATGAGCAAACATCTGATCCAGAATCCAACACAGTGATTTCTCGTTGTTGCTTACTTCCAAGGAAAAAAGAGTGGCGAAGGAAGTAAAAGGAGGCGGTACCAATCAAGGTCTCGCCACGGCCTGGGAAGGCACGGTGAGCTCGATGAGCGTGTCGGTCGTGTCGGTGCTGGACACACTGGAGAGTGAGTCAGCTGGCGAGTACGGCCGATTTCTCCGGAGGCTGGGGCGCCGGGCGAAACGACGCAGAGAGCCGGTTTCGGCGGGTGAAGCTGGTCTAGCCCTGGCTGAGGCTCTTCTGAAGTTGCCTTTGAGAGCAGTAACGGAGCCGATCAGCGTAAAGATGATCACGAAGGTTGCGCACACGACGAGGATGATGCTCGTGTTGACGGTCTTGCCGGTAGTTGGAGCTTCGTTGTGGGTAGGATGAGTGAATGGTGGGCGGGTGGGCACAGTGCCGGTGACCATGGCGGCAGTGGCATTGGCGGTGGTGTAGGCCATAGTGATCATGGTAGTGGGTAGTGAAGACATGATGGAAGAGGTGTATTAGAAGAGTTTGGAAAAAGATAGTGGTTTCTGTGGTGGTTCTCTGTGAAGACTTGAGCTTGGGTGGATTCTGCGAGGAGAAGAGAGATGAGAGAGAGAAGAAAGGGAAGAGGGAAAAGACCAGCGAGGGCGGCTTTTATGTAGGGGGAGAAGAGTCATATTAGGGTTCTTCGAATTCTTGCAAACCAGATCATTGCAGAGGTGTTGAAACCGGGATATCTGGAGAAACAAAGGAAGGTTAGGCAAGGTTCTAACGGCCCAGGCAGAGATGGTCAAAAGGGAGGGATGGTATGAGGTAAATCATATACAAGGCATGGAAAGCCGGTATGTAGGCTGCCGGATATGGGTAGACAGCTTGGTCCTGGGAGTCCCAGAGGTTCAACAATAGTCATAGACATGGAATGGCTCCTTCGATGGCAACAGCACCAGTATGGAAGAAAGTCTAACAACACAACTTGGACTGGTAGTATGACGAAGCACAAAGAGAACCCCGTAATTCACCCGATAAGGGGCGCTGTAGAGCTGGCTGGGTGCGCGTAGCTTGGTATCATGCAGCAACGAAGACACAGTGAAGGAAGAAAATCAAACAGCATGAGATGCCTTAAGACGATGGCATGAGACAGAGAGAGAGAGAGAAATAGAGAGAGAGACACAAACAGACGGGCACTGACAGCCGACAGCAGGCGTGATAGAAACCGGGAGCCTCCCAGATTGCCCCCCGACACGATCCTTCCCCCGAAACAAAACAACAAAACGAAGCACCCGCCTCAAACTCCGGCTCAGGCTCAGACTCAGTGCCTTTGATCCGCCTCGTCGTCTCAAGACATTCTCGCTCGAATCCTCTCTTCCATCGCGCGACACTGCTGCAGCTTCCGCTCGAGGCGCATCTGCCGCTTGCTCTCGGTCTTCATCTCGCGCTTGAGCTTCTCGACCTCCCACTTTTGCAGCTTGCCCTGCTCGGGCCCCGACGAGCACACCAGCACCACGGGCCGCATGCTCGAACCGCCGGTGCGCGCGCTCTCGCTGCTGGGGTTGATGTGCGGCTGGCCGTAGCGCCACGACGGCGGGAAGTCGGGATGCCGTCGCTGGAACAACATCTGGTGGCTGAATATGGTGGAGAGGGTGATGAAGTGGTTGACGCTGGCGGTGACGAGGCGCTCGTCGTCGTCGTAGCCGTCGCCGTCGCCGTCGTCCTTGTAGTCGAATACGGCCGCTTCAGGGACGAGGGTGGCGAAGTTCGCGGGCAGCGGCACGGCTGTGAAGTGAGGCTGCGGTGGTGGCCCCGGCAGGGCTGGCTGCGAGGACATGTCTGGCCGGCGTGACAGTATCGAGGGCAACCGAGTAACAGAATGGAGATGGGAGGTGGGAGGTGGAAGGCGGATGGGCTCTCCAGCCGCCTTCTCTGCCTCCTTTCTTTCATTCTTTCTTTCGTTCTGTACGGAGTATTGTTTGGGCTGCGCGCAGCCGCCGCTCGACGCTGTGTCACAGCACATCCAGCACGTCCGGCCCAATCGACGGCGGCCACTTGTTTTTGCGGCGCGTGGGGGGTATCGCAGGCGCTCTCATGACTACACGTCTGTATGCCATTGCCAGCACGCGCACCTACTTGTCTTGCTTGTCGAACAAGGTACGTCTACTCCGTGCTGTGACGGTCTTGTTCTTTTGGCGCGGGCTTACGCGCGTCTTGGGGGTATCAAAACATCAACCAGCACACTCAGCCGCTGCTGGGCTCAGGCACCAGCTTCTCGAAGCTTCAGGAGCATCCACAGAACGGGTCACGGCCGCACAGCGGGGGAACGATGTGTCGCTTGGCCGCGCACCATGGCAGCACGTCTAGAAAGCTGCTCGCTAGGTGGTTGGACGCATGATTCAACCCCGCGATCTACTCCAGACCATGGCGCGTTCCCCAGCGGCTTGGGAGCACAACTAGCCCGAACTCTCCCTTTCTCTCAGTCTCTCTCAGTCGCTCGCGTGGTTTGACTGGTTAGGGCTGGGGACGCGCTTCGGACAGATGCCGGCGGGCGTGTGGGGAAGCGATCCATGACGAGGCTGCGTGGATGACCTTTCGAGCGATTGGCGGTGAATGCAGCAGCAGACATGAGACATACTGGGTGTGGACGGGCAGAGAGAGAGAGAGAGAGAGAGAGAGAGGGAGGGAGAGAGAGAGTACGGAGTATACAGAGTGCGTCCAGGGCTGCTTGTCCGACACAGGCACTCCCCCCACCAGCGAGACACCACACGCACATAACTAACCATCAGCATCACGATCCCTATCACATGCGAACAGCCAAGGCGCCCCTGGATCTCCGCTTATTTGCCGGCGCCGCGAGTGGTGGATTGGCCGTTGGGCCGGGGGGGCTCAGGACTCGCGGGCAGCGCGTGGTGTGGCTGCGCGGCGGGCGGCAGGCCGGAACGCGCTGGAAGGGCGGGAAATTACGAGCGGCCGCCAACACGAGGAGCCCCTGTGCCGCGACTGGCCCGCAAATGTGTGCATTATTATTATTTATTATTATGGTTATTTTGAGGGGAGCACACGCCCGGCATGGCAAAGGATGCGCGCGCCGCAAGCCCGCCAGCTAGCTAGGGAACTAGGTAGTTGGCGATATATACATAGCTTAAGCGATGTGTGTGTGCGGTCGGTCGTGTTAGGGTTTGCAGCCACGCCCGCGGGATTTGCAGCGAAGAACGAGGGCAGAGTGCTGGGGGCGGGCGCCAGCCACAGCCGGGTGTCGCCGTGTCGGTCCAGGCTGCAGACCAGCCCGCAGTCACCCGGCAGCCAGCAAAAAAAGAGGGAACGCGGGGAGAACAGCAAACAACATGGGGGGAGCGTCGATGCTGGAACGCCAGGAATGAAGGGGTGCGGGGGGAGCCTCGTGCGGGCCGTGGCGATACAGGGAGCGCGTGGTGGGAAGGGCGTGTCACTGTAATTTACGGGAACTACGGAGTACGGGGTTAAACTATCAAGGCTGTTTTCTAAACTTCTAGAATGAGCGGGCGGTATTCTATATCAAAGATCTTGAAACCAAGGACGTTCCAGAGCCTGCCTGGCCGTAATCCTCTTGGCCGGGTCAAGATTGGTCATCTTGACAACGACATCGCGGAATGCCTCGTCGATATCTTCCCACACTGCAAAGGGCTGCCTTGCATCCTCTGAACTGAACTTGCGATTCCGGGCTGCGCCACATCGGGTTCCCCAGCCGAGCACCACAGACATTCAGCCCCGCCGGGAGATCAGAGGCATCTCAAGATCGCCGATCTTTGTTCTTTTGACGTGCACGACGCCGTCGAGCATGTCGTAGTCGACGAATATGTTGTTGGGTTTGATGTCTTGCCATGTAAGATGCGACTGTCGTGCAAGGCTGCCAGTCCGGTCAGACCATCGCGCAGTATCTTTTTCTTTGCGGCGAGCGAAACAACCTCTTCGCCGATTAAATCAAACAAATCTCCAGTAAAGTAATCATAGACAAACAGTAGATGCTCAGGAATGGTATCCATAACAACGCGTAAATTGGGGCATCCCGACAACGGGGTTTGTAGATTCAGCTGGTATTCAAATTCAGTGTGGAATAAGTGCTTCATCACATGCTTTTTCCCGTTTTGATCTCTATTCATTAAGTATACAGCAAGCAAACCGAACGCCAACACACGACCCACCTTGCGAGATAGACACAGGAAAGTATTGGCTCGGTTCTGTGCTGCAGAACTCGGTCGATGGTGTATTTGGTTTTAGCTTCGCTAACCAGGGCGGTACCTAGCTGCAGTGCCGTAGAAAGGAAAGTGGCCTTCGACAGCGATCATGGCTAACAACTGCAAAATCTGAAAAAAAGGCGGTGTCATGCGTTTCTGATGCCGACCAGTCAGGAAGATATGAAGGCTCACGACATGAACAACAGCCCAGCAGAGCAAACAAGAGCTCGGGCCCAAGATATTCAATTTCGAAGTATGCCACATACAATCTGTACATAAAAGAAAATCAGCATAAAGAAAAAGGGTGCCCAGCCATATATAGAGGGCAGTAATGATGATACGCTTACATAAGCGATACAGCGGTGATACGGGCGGGCGGGCGTGGAAGTGGCGGCGTTCCAGAAGGCAGACTGAGAGTCGCGGTGGCGCGCCCAGGCCCGGACAAGCCGTTGTTTTGGTCGACAGGTCAGATGGAGAGAGAGGTGATGCTGTGGGAGTAACTAACCAGCTGTGAGCGAGACAGCCATAGTTAGTTATATAGCCAGTCCCCAGAGCCGTGTTATCTCGCCATCCCTTGCTTCATGCAGGCACGTCAGCCCGCCCGCCCATCCTCCGCCTGCACGCCCTGGCCGGTTGGCGCCGTGCGCCCAATAATACGATCAAATCCTTAACTAACGACTAGTTAGCTACCGCTGCCCGCGGGCCGGCTGCTGTGCTGCCTCGCGTCCCAGCGGTGATCCTGCCCCCCCCTGGTTAAACTCACGCCCGTCGCCACTGTGCCGGGCAGTCTTCCACGGTCCGGAGCGAACTTCGTCTGGGGTTTGGCGCCCGTGGGTTCCCTGCCCGTTTTCCCTTGTGAATGCCCACTCGCGGCCGCTGTCCGCCCTTCTGAACCAGCTCTCCCTACACCGCGGTGCTGCCCGCTACATCTCTCCGTGCGAGCGGACGGCCTGCCCTCTTTTTCTTTCGCCCTTCCGTGCTGCCATCCTTCTTTGCTGTCTCGACGGGCACCCTTCGACCACGCGCTGCTGCTAATCTTGGATCCTGCGTCGTGGAGAGACAAACTTTGCCCGTGTAGAGAGTTAACTACCCACTGTCGCCGCCGCCCGCCGCCCGCCGCCCGCTGCCCACCGACCTGCCCTCCCACACACACCCCAACTCCCCATCCTTCAAAGGCCGCTTCCAGCCTGCCCATCCGCCTCGCTGCCAGCTTCCAGCGTGCTCGCTCTACTCGCCATCTCCAAGTTTCTGCGACAACGCACACCACCACCTCTTCTCGTCGTTGTCGAGAGTGCCCTGTTTTGTTGTGGATGGAGACGATCTAGCCCGCCTCTTCCCGCCCTCTCTGCCTCTCACCGCCCGCCATGAATCCGGCCGTGTCCGACGTCGAGTTCGAGCAGATGATGACCGATCGCGAGACCTCCGTCCCAACCACCGGAAACGATACCCCGGCGGCCGACTTTGATGCGACCACCAAGGCCGGCACCGGCTCTGACTCCGACAAGGCCACCGCGGCGGCTGCGGCCACCAATCCGTCGAAGCCCGCCGCCCATCAGCCCGGCCACCCGAGCTTTAGAAGGTGAGTCGCTCGTTCTCTCATGGCGATGGTTTCGAGGAGGGGACGGCTGTGCATCTGGTAAGTTGGAAGAACACGCGCGAGATGCACAACTGGTCCGGAGGAGGTTGTTTTATAAAGGAAAAAAAAAAAAAAAATCCCCAAAAAAATTTAGACACTAACGATTTGGCGATTCTTAGGCAACGTGCGTCGCGAGCTTGTGAGGTAAGTTGTTCTGCATCTCGTGTTTGGATCAACGCGATCTCTATGTTTTTGGGCGAGAGCTGGCGTTTTGAGCCTCGGTACCTCGGCCGGCCCTGGCGCCATACACCTCCTGGGTGCGAGAAGGGACTCGGAGAGGGTGGTCGAGGGAGGAACAATGATGATAAATGGGATTGTGGCTAACTGTGTGTGTTTTCCTGGTGCGATGTAGACTTGTCATGCGCGAAAGGTGAGTGCTCAAAAGCAACCTGCTGTTGCCGCCCGATTTGCCTACCTAGACCACACCCTTGATTTCACTCCTCTCTTTGCCTGGATCCTGGCCGTCGTTGAAGTCGTTTCTGCTCTGTCTGGTTGCTGATGGCGTTGTTGTTTTGGTATAGGTGCGCTGCGATGCTGCGAGTCTCGGCGTGCCCTGCACGAACTGCGTCGCCTTCTCCATCGAATGCAAGATCCCGACCCCCAAACGGAAAAAGAACCAAAAGTCAAAAGATGGCGCTGGGTAACATTGCAACCTGTCAGTCTTTATGCTAAATCAGCCAGCTAATGTCTACTGTGCAGCGATGAGAGCGGCATCAACTCCGGCGGCTCCCAGCGGGAGAGCTCCGGAGGCCCCCGTCCTCGACCCGTCGATGGCATGCCTGTTACCAGCCTGACTGAAGCCCAAGCCGCCCAGCAGGCCCAGCAAAACAACTCCTACGCACAATTTATGAAACCCAAGTTCGCGAGAGCGCCCATCACCGAGGCGGGCCGTGTCGCCTACCTGGGAGAATCATCCAACCTCTCCATCCTCGTGCACGATCGCCACGGCACGACGGACGTCGTCCACTACCCCCTTCCCGAGAGCATACGAGGCTCACGAGCCCGCCTCACCGAGCTGGACAGTCTCGAAATCGATATCCTCCACCAGCGCGGCGCCTTCCTGCTTCCCCCGCGCTCGCTCTGCGACGAGCTCGTCGATGCGTATTTCAAATGGGTCGCCCCCGCCGTTCCGATCATAAGTCGCAGCCGTTTCATGAAGCGCTACCGTGACCCCAAGAATCCTCCTTCGATTTTACTCCTTCAAGCCGTGCTTCTAGCGGGCTCGAGGGTCTGTACGAACCCGCAGCTGATGGATGCCCATGGGTCGACGACACCGGCGGCGACTACTTTCTATAAGCGGGCAAAGTCACTTTTTGATGCTAATTATGAAGACGACAGGGTTACCATTGTCCAGGCCTTGGTCTTGATGGGGTGGTATTGGGAAGGGCCAGAAGGTATGTGTTCTGACGTCGCTAAACTTGTTGATATGAGGGGTATAGATTTTCTGACTGGTTCCAGATGTAACCAAGAATGTCTTCTACTGGACCCGCGTTGCTATAATTATTGCACAAGGATCCGGCATGCATCGCAGGTGGGTGCTCCTCTTTACGCGATCTTGAGGGTCCGTTCTCCACATGCTCACGATTGGAATAGCGTCGAAGCCTCGCAGCTTAGCAAAGCGGATAAACGTCTGTGGAAAAGGATCTGGTGGACTTTGTTTACACGAGACCGCTCTGTTGCCGTCGCCCTCGGCCGGCCCGTGAACATCAACATTGACGACTCCGACGTGGGGATGCTGACAGAAGATGATTTCATCGAGGACGAAGCCGACAGCGTTGCGGATTTCCCCCCGGATTCAACGCACGTGCAGTTCTTCCTGCAGTACGTTAAGCTTTGCGAGATTATGGGACTCGTGCTTTCGCAGCAATATTCGGTCGCCTCGAAATACCGGCGCACCAACGCGATGGACCTAACCCATAGCGATATGGCGCTGGCAGACTGGCTGCAGAACTGTCCGCGAGAGGTGTGCTGGGAGCGAAATCGGCACCATTTCTGGTCTGCATTGCTGCATTCGAATTACTAGTATGTGTATACTCCATTTCTGCCTGTGTTATGTTATTAACCAATCTTTTGATAGCACGACGTTGTGTCTGCTGCATCGTGCCCATATGCCTCCTGCAACCGGCACGCATCATCCAGCGGGAACTGAAGGGCTAGCTTATCCTTCGCGGACTATTGCTTTTCAAGCTGCGGCTATGATCACGGCCATAGTGGAGAACTTGCAGGCTCACGACCAGCTTAAATATACACCCGCGTTCATGTCAGTATCGTCTTTTCGTCTGATAAATGTGCCGAGATGCTAATGACCTCATAGTGTATATAGCTTGTTTTCGGCCCTTATTATGCATGTTTACCAGATGCGCTCTTCGGTGGCGAGTGTTGTCTCCACCACCCAGGAGAGAATTGGCATCTGCATGCAGGCTTTGAAGGATGTTTCAAAAGTATGGCTTGTTGCTAAGATGGTGTTCACCCTGTTCGAATCCATCCTCGGTAACAAGGCCCTGGAAGAACGCCTCCAGAGAGCCGCAGGAAAACGACATCAAAAACACAAGTCGAAGAAGGACGCTGCCTCTTCACTGACGAAGAAGCCGGAGCCTCCAAAACGAAAATTTGATGACCTGGATATTTCTATTCCCAATGGACCACCTGCTCATCAGGTTTCCTATGAACGATCTCGGCCACAAACTCCCGCCGCCACACCTTCTATACAACCCGCTCAGATTGTTGCTCCGACTGCTCACCAGATCTCACCACAACTCACCCAACATCGGGGCTCGAAAGACGGCTTCCTGGGACCGTCTGGTCATGGCGTCAACACACGCCCCACATCGCCATTTAACCCTTCCTTCTCCATCCCTACAACTCCACCTGATTTCTTCCTCGTCACGCGAAACTCACCTAACATCTCCCACGCCCTCTGGGAGAACTTCCAGCCAGACCAACTCTTTCCTGACGGCACAAACATCTCCGGAGGCGCCTTCTCGCCCTCGTCCGCGGGCGCCGTCGACCCCCAGCTGCACATCTCGCAGCACCTGCAGAACGCAGGCATCCCACCTTCACAGCAGCAGCAACATCAGCCGCCGCCCCCGCAGCCGTCGCTGGGAATCCACCCCGGCCAGCCGCAGCAGCCCCAGCATCTCCCAGCCCGAGGTCCACGCGCACCGCAGGAGAGCCCCACCATGATGCATGGCATGCCGGGCCTGGGCGCCATGCCCCAGCAGCAACAACAGCAACAACAGCATCTACAGCCCGGCATGCCAATGCAGACTCAGCCCCAGCCCTGGATGTTCGATGGCAATATGCATATCGATGCGTCGAGCCAGGACGACAATTGGAGCAATAGCTCGCGCGGGCAAGGGCCCGTTGTGCCGCCGACTTTGAATGTCGAAGATTGGTATGTGGTTCCCCTAAAATCATGACCTTTTATGGCTCCAGTTATATATAGAGAGTGTGTGTGTTGCTGACATTTGCTTTCCTTTTTAGGTTTCAATTTTTTGGCATCAATGGCATTGATAGCTTGGGAATAGATCAAATGTGAAAAAGTACGCAAAAAAAAAAAATACTTTGGGCTATTTTCTATCTATCTTTATCAGTCTGCAACTTCAATTGCAGCACTTTCTCTCCATTGTATATCTTTTTTTGCGAACTCATTGGGGGTCTAGGGGATAAAAAAATGGCATCTTTCCAGCAAATAACTTGGCGGGATTCTCTTTTTCTTTCATTCTTTGCATCAGAGCCTTGGGGTGTTGTTTTGCCAATTGATTGGACGCTACCTGGCATTTAATTGCTTTCATTTTTGCTGTTATCTATCCCCAGTCCTACCTTTTCATTTTTTTTTTCTGGATTATATCTTGGCGATGTGCTCTCTTTGCGCTGCAGTCGGGTATTCTTTAATCTATAATCCAAGCAGCAACGCTCAAGATTCTCTCCCCTCATACTCCGTACTTCCTCCACCATACCCCACTATCCCGAGCATTCTTGGCATTATCACGTAATCAGTAGTTTTGATGACTAAGCCAAATTCAATTGTGTTCGCTCCAACGGCTGAGAAGCAACGACGACGAAACGCGACTGCGGGCCAACGAGATATAAAGGTGAGTTTCAAATCGAACCTCACCCCTTGACAGAATCCTCGAGGCCCTTGGGATTGCGCCGACCACGAGCTGCTGCTTTTGACAAACGGTTTTCTTGGCATGGCGAGCCTCGACCCCTGCTAGCGTCTCTTCGCCGATGATGCCAACATCGTATGCTTTAAACACCGAATGAACCACCCGAGAGCGAGAGAGGAAGGGAGAAGAGAAGGCCAGAAGAAACGCTCCATGCCTGGGTCGATTTCGGCGCCTTGCAGAACCGTTTGCTAGTCGCTCGCTTTATGAATTCACGGAATTGATCGCGGTAATTTGGTAGCAACGTCGATTTGAATCGGAATTATATACTCCTTGATCCTCCTGTCTCCCAATGTCCTAGTCGCCCGTCTCGCCCCCCCACACACGCCCCGTCGATTTTGTCCTGTTCCTGTCTCCTAGAGCAATCACGCCGTACTCTGCCATACCTCCCTAACCCTCCCGACCAGAAACGACAACGAGATCCCGCTACACTACCTATGCCGAATCTACAACCACCCGTGAGAAAAAAGGACGCCGTATCATTATCCGACTCGGACAACGGCGACGACAGCCCTATCGAGTACCCTCGTCACCCGCGACTCTTCTTTCGTTAGGCATGAGTGGTGACGGAAACATACTGAATACGACACTTGACTCTTCCTCTTCGCCTGCGTTTGTCCGCTCGAGTTCCCGGACGGGAACCACCACCGGTGTACCCTCTGCCGCCGCCACCGCTGCGGCGTCATCTTCAACGTCCACCACCACCACCGCCACCGCGCTGCGTCCGCGGAACCGGCGAATACTTTCGTTCGTGGAAGATGAGGGTGCTGGTCTGGGGGACGTGGACGGGCTAGGCGGCAGCGACCCGGCAGCTGCGTCGGTCGCTGCGGGTCTTCTAGGATCGAAGAGGGGCGGCGGTGGTGGTGGCCCTGCGCCATATGCAGTCACTGGTTCTTCAAATGCGCAACGGCGGTTTGCAGCCCGGACAGCGCCGGGGCCGGCGGGTAATGATGCTAGCCGGCGAGCCCCTGCTGCTGGGTTTGCCGCGGATCTACTGGGATCTTCGTGGTCGTCAATCCAGGGGTTCGCGTCGGCGGTGATGGGCGGCGCTGATGGCTCGTCCCCGTTAAAGAATAAGGCGCCAGTAAACGGGTATCGACGCGCACCGGGTTTGGGGTCAGAGCCGTTTTCGAGGTTTCGTGATGGGGGTCGCGTCCGGCCTGGGTTGCCGTCGGCTTGGGGTCCGTCTAGCTCGTCTGCGGCAGCGCAAGTTGTGCCTGGCTCGAAGGAGGAGAGGCATGCGATTCTTCAGTCGAAGAAGAGGGAAATGCTAATGCAGGTCAATGGTGATTCCATACCGGATACTCAGAGTAACTACAAAAGACGGTCATCTCTCGAAGATCCTTGCTGCTCGGCAGTTGGAGCGCCAGTAGAGCAGGACGACGGCGATGCTTTGGTCTATATACACCAGGTGCAGCCGAATGATAGCCTTACTAGCGTTTCAATACGTTATGGCTGCCCACTGCCCGTTGTCAGGAAATCGAATGGCTTCTGGCCAAGTGACAGCATCCAGTCTAGAAAAATAGTTGTTTTACCCGTTGCGTCTTGTTCGATAAAGGGGCGGCGAATCCCTTCTAATCGAGACCTGAACCAATCGGCACTTAGCAGAGGGACTGCTGCTGTAGATGATCATGTCGATGATAGCAGTTCCCTGATGCCCAGTGCGTCGTCGACAGCCCCATTCGGACGCGGAGACTTTGTCTCTGAACCCGATGACCCATTTTCGCCATCCAAGTCGGACAAACGATCCGACCCTACACCTCTCTGGATACATGAGAGCTGGGTGAACGTTCAAGGACACTCCTCGCCTGTCGAGCTAGGCCGCGTGCCCAAACGGACGTTGGGATTTTTCCCTAGAGCCCGACGAAAATCTCAAGGACATTCAGATGCCTATTCTGATTTAGACTCCTCTTCTCCTGGGAGAATGGCCCTGGGATCAATACACTCTCCACAGACGTCTCACTTTCGAGACCGGTCAGTATCTAGGTCTAAGCACGCTTCCCCTTATCGTCACCCACCTCGTCACGGCATATTTCTTTCCGGGCCTGGAGGAGTTGGCACTCTGGACCGTAATGTTACCGGTCCAGGACCTGCCCCCGACAAGTTGAACGCCTTTGTCAGTACTCATTTGCCAAATCTAGCAATCCCCCCTCCACCAACCGATGCCCACAACGAGTCACTATACTCTGATTCTGCAAGCAATGCATCCACAGCGCATTCCAATATCGGCATCGAGAACATCGGTGGAGCAATTGAAGGATGGTTCCGCAAGGTTGCAACAAAAGCCAAAGTCGGGCTGAATGATTTCCAGCAACCAGCCCAACCGCATGGCTATTTGGGCATCGGGGGCAATGGGGATCTTATTGAGATGGATGAGACGTCTGACAGTGGCCCCACGGGTACCCTCAAGGTATCTGAGCAGACCCGAGGACGCATGAAAACTTCGTCATCAGATGTGTTGAACGGCTGGGGCAATCATTCCACGCGTGGTCGGAACATCGCTAGATCAAGAGACATCAGTCGCGCGAAAGACGACTAATGACGAGTGTTGTATATTTTTTCCTATGCATACATGCATACCGGGTCTGGACTTTTTGTTTTGATTTGTTTTATATTGATAGGTGTGATTTGGCGTTGAATATCTAGTGGATATCTGGGTGTTTGCTGTCTGTACCTACTATGTAGCATTTGGTGGTCAATGGCATTTTGGTAAAACATTGTGGACATGTGGGCTATGTTTAGTTTCATATACATTCAAGCAACTAGGGTGTATCACATCATTTCTTGTATCTGCTGTTACGGGTCGTCCTATACTAGACACTTATCTATGGTGATATGTTCCACATACCAGACTAATATGTACACATGCACGCATTCTATCTAAAAGATAAAAAAAGTCCTAATAACATATCCAGGATGTGATATCTATCACTTGCCTCTATTAGAAGTGTAGTCATATCTTAATGATCTCCGATACCTTGCGCTGTTTGTCAAGAACAAGTCTTAGTTGCTTCCCCCTCCATGATGCTGCAGAATCCTCCGTAAGCTGGCTGGGGTCGGTTTGCCGTGGGCGAAATACGCCATTCCTTAGTGCAGGCGTAAAGAGTTCGTAGGAAGGGTAGTCTGTATAAACAGTTTAGATGATAGTAGAAAGAAAATGGGGCATTTTTGATGATCACTAACAGCCATCGATGAACCGAGTAACTTGGTCTGGGGTCATGCCCTTTCCAAATTTACGAAGCAGTTCACGTTCGGATTCTTGTCGCCAGTCATAGACATAATGGGTATTTTCGGCATCTCTGATGTAGGAGGTTAGATTCACATATTGTTCACATTGTGGGTCTAAAGTTAAGGAAGCCTACAGGTGTATGAAGGCATCGAACTGGCTGATGTAAAACTGTCAGCCTTGAAATGCACAAGGGAGGGATACTGGGCATCATACTCTGTAAAAACATCATAGTCATTTAATGCATTATTCACCGCCAATACATCCTCTAGCTTTACATATGCTAACTGGCCATCATATCCTCCTATCTCCTTCTGCTTCACAGCTTCTTCCCACACTGCTCGCACCTCATCCTCCGGCCGTGTTCGAAAGCCCAGGCACCATCCTTCAAATATTACCAGTTGTATTTTTGCCTCAGCGTTCACCTTGTCATTGACCACCTTCCACTTGTCTTCTGGGCCACGGTCCCCCTGACCATCAAAGGCAGATTTATCATACCACGGAATCTTCGTGGGCAGCCCCTTTTTCAGGGACTCGAAGATCTGTTTGCCTAAAGCAATGTCATGGGTAGAAGGCTGGCCACGGTGCTGTAGGAGTGGGTTCTCTGGGTTAGCAGCGGCAAGACGAAGCTGATCCGCGTGAGTAAGATAGATATCATCCACAGAAAAAGCAATAGTGGGAATGTTATGAGGCGGGGCGGAGAGTTTGGAGAGACTGTTTGCCTGTGCGGAGTTAGCGGAGTGGAAACTACTTTACGGCAACAATTCCATGAGTATGTTGAAGTAAGGAGGGCTGCTATTCACCAAATAAGTCTTGCCCGCACCCTGCACACCATTTAGCCCTAATATAAAGGGCGGAGGGTTTGGGTGGTTGGCATGCTGGGCAAGATGGAATTTCAATTTCTCCAGCACAAACGCAATGCAAGGTGTAGAGGTTTCGTCACCAATGTGCTGCATTGTTCTTCCACACTCTGGTGCCCCTTACGGCCTTCGGACAGCCTAGATGGCCCTTCCATCCACTGTTTCTGTCAGAGGGAATGCCGAGGAATGCAACTACCTGACTAATCCCCGTGACCAATCATATCGTTGCGCGCGTTCATTGGTTGACTCTCGGATAAATACGGCCCCGCACCGGAAGCCAATTGGAAAGCTTCATCCAACTCCATTCTTGAGTCCTCGACATGAACGCGGGGGTTAGGAAATGCAGCCGGTATGATCCATGCATGCTCCGTACTAAGTGCCCTTACGGAGCGCTCTTACAGAGTGTCCTTACAGAATGTCCTTACGGCGTGTCCCCGCGGAGTGTCCTTTATCCGTTGCAAAAGCCATGAGCCCCAAACTACCCCATAACGGGATGCAAGGCCATGAAAATGGCCAAATAATAACCAGGTTGTTGGAACTGAGTCGCCCTATGCTTCGTGTTAGGCTCTGCATATTGCATATGATACCCCGCTCAATGGAGCTGCCTACACCTCTTAGGGTACTTATTCACCCTTCCGCCACGTCACACTGATGGCCTCAACACTACACTTCTTCTTTCAGGAGTACGGCCAGAGAAATAATATAGCACTACTTATTTGTCCATTTCAGAATGTCACTGTCTCTGGAGGCATTTGCGAGGCTAACGCCGTCTAATACCCAAGCAAAACTAGCCTTTAGTGCTATGTATGAGACTGACCCCTTAATTACTAGGCAACAGGTGTTTGTGCAGCCTCAGCAAGAATATAGCAAAGAAATACTCGTATATCGCCTCCAGGAAATCAAGCTGGCGTCCGGTGAAGCCCACGAAAGCGACACCCCAACTGACCCTGACACGGATACTGAGGAAGACTTCAGACATCACGGAATGATATGGTCGGGTTGGTTCGAGTTTAAATTAAATCCCGGGCCCTATCACCCTGAAGATGGCTGGACTTTGGGCAAGGGTCGAAATGCTATTGATGTCGATTTTCGTCTTCCTTCCCGTCGCGTTTCAACAGGTCTTCGAGGACTTCACGCCCTATTTAACTTCCACCCAACTACGGGCTATCTTTTCATATCGAAGGCCTCCACCTTACAAAATGCCATTGTTTGTGTAAATGGAAGCTCTGTTGGATATGAAGAACAATTTTCTTTAAATCAAAACCCGATGCATATCAAAGTCGGCTTCCTTGAGTTTGAGTTTCGATACACGGATTTTGCTTATACTAAACCCTATTACATTAACCGTGCACACTATTTCAAGGAAGAGTTACAAAGAACAAGCTTTCCAAATACGACTATCACCCCTACACCTAGCAAATCCCTTCGGAGCTTCGGCCACTGGGTGCTCATGGCTTCCCTCAGAAGTGGAACCTTCGGGAAGGTGTTCTCTGGGACTAACAGCAAAGGTGAAATAGTTGCTGTAAAAATCATTACACGTAGCACAAAGAACTTCCAAGAAGTTAGTCAGAAAATCAAAACACTCCGGGAGATCCAGAATCTACCTGAGGTACATGCTGGCGATAAAAGCCGAATTTTGCATTTGCGGGAAGTCATCTACCAAAGCGGAGCTGAGATCAATACCCCTAAAATCTTTGAACAAATTGCTCTGATTTTGGAGCCTACTGTTTATAGTACATTTTCTAGTATTTGTGGTCACCGTGCATACAATCAGTAAGCTGTCCCCTGTTTGTTGTGGGATATCTGAGTGTATAGTAGCATACTGGAAAGTCATTGTCCTAATTTATGCTCATAGGCTCAGCTACAGTATGCCGATCCTTGCGAAACTTTTTCATGAGGTTTTGCTTGGTCTTAATTTCCTACACACGCACAATTGGATTCACGGTGATATAAAGCCCAGCAACATCGGAATTTGTAGGGAAGGCGCTCCTCGCGCGGTACTGCTTGATCTTGAGAATTCTATTAAATTACAGCCTATCAGCTCTTTACCTGCAACTCCAGGCCAAGGGGGGACTGTCAATTATCTTGCGCCTGAGCGTGAGCTTCAGGAGCACGACTCTTTGATTGATGTTTGGTCTTTGGGTGTCGTTGGATTTGAAATGTTATATTGCTACCATCCTTGGACGCTTGCTCTTAACCCATGGCGACCGGGTGATCAGTTTGAAGTTTGGAGGCCCACGTTTCACCATTTATATGGCAAAACCATACAAAAGTTAGAACATGACGCTGATTTCCAATGTGAGATATTACTATTCGAACCACGCGGAATTCTTGGCTAATTTCAAATAGTCATCGGACTCTTACTACAAATGCTCTGTTTTCCCTGGGCAGAGATTAATATTGGAGCACGCATTACGATTGGGGATGCGCTTAAGCATGCTTGCTGGCAGAAACCGGGAAGTGATGGGCAATCTGCCTTAAAACATGCCCGACAGGAGCTAGAAAACTAATCAACTGGAGGCTTTATCGACACGAGTCTTTATATCAGCAGAACGGAGTAAGTAAATAACAAAGCTCTAGGTACTCTGTGCTGCTGATTTAAGGACTTTGGTCCACAGCTTCCACAGAAATTGCTTTCTCCTAACTTTTTGTGTTTGGGTAGCGATGTACATATGAAGAGTTCAAGTACCTTATATACCTAAGGCATCAATGTGGTATCTAGGTAGCGGGCTTGTCGGGAAAATAATATTCCAGTGGTTACACGGCTTGGAAGATTTCTGAAGGCGATGAGGCTAGAAGTGTTTTTATTATGATGTACTTTGTGCCTAGGCAACCATCCGCTCACAGTCGGCGTCATGACCACGCCCCAGGAATCCCAAGAACCCCACTATGTCTTCAAATCGTGGCTCGATGCCGCCGTTTTTGCCGATGAAAAAATATGGGGTGTATGTTTATTCAGTACTCCGTATATTGTTTGTATATATTTATATCATCTAACTTGCAGCTTAGCCGCTGCCAGATGTGGTTTCTACACAGGGGCGATACCTAAAGCCACGCCCCGAAACCCCAGCGATCGAGCAACACTATGATTCCAAATTTGTAAAGGAGCTTGAAATACACCTAGATAGTCTCCTCTATGAACAATCTTTACGACGCAAAAACTATGGGGATGCTGCGGACGAATGGCCACCTAGTCATACCCCACCTGAAATTAGAGAGAAGTGGATGGCCAAAAGAGATGAACAAAGGAAGATACGACAAGCTCTTCTTGAGATCCCAACCTCTGAAGAAGAAGAAGAGCCGGTACCAAAACCGCGGTATAGGACCAAAAAGCGAAAGCAAGAAAAAGTCTCGCCCATTTTAAATCCTCGTCCAGGGCCCCTGCCGCTCGATGCTGTACCCTGGCGTTTGGGAAGAGCTGCCAAAAAAAAGTGCGCTCCACCCTCTCATTCACCAAATATATCGTCATAAAGACAACTCCCGCTTCTAAGCATCGCTCGGCTTTTTTGTGTGTTTGTTCCGATGCTGGTGTCACAAAAGCAGTAATAGAAAGTAATTGCTCAGTAGGACTGACGCCGCTGTGATGTCGATTTGGGTATGGTTTTTAGGGTGGAGTTTCCTGTCTCCAGGCAAACAAATCCTTACACCACTGAAATAGCACTCCATGCCATAAGCACGTTGACTTAATATTCGACTTTTGTTCTATCGCAATTAAGATGCTGCTCATAAGCATGGTGAGGGTAGTGTAGGTTGTGATGAAGACATGAGTTAGCGCTTATTCGTAGAATACGGAGTACGGTGTACTAAATTTGAAGAGGCTGGTTTGGATATATACCTTCTACCAGGACCTAGGCTGAATTGCAGCTCGCAGATTTGGGAAAAAAAAGCAAAGTCAGACATCATGAGCAAGAATTAGGTGAAATAGATAGTGACGAGTAGGGCGAAAGAGAAGCAGTTTTTTAAATGACATTGGAGCCCGGTACGCTGGTTGCTTTCATACACTTGTTCTTCCATATGAAGGACATCGGACAGCGTTCTGATATTCCTCGTCCGCTCCGCAACGAAGCTTGTCAGCATGTGACAGAATCTGGGGGGATCACATGCGCACTCACAATTGATTAAACAGCCAATCAAACCTCGTAATTTGATACAAACATGGCCAACTTCCAGCGTCGCGGCCTAGAATCTAATTGGCCAGCTCCGCCATAGCTGACCTCATCGGCACGCGGCCGGCGCCAAGGCCTCCCACGGCAGCCCCCCGTCCAGCCGAGGTACTCGACCTGCAACACCTCGTCCGACGGACCTCGCCTTTGTATTTTTCTCCTGCTCCATTTCTTTCCAATCCTTTTCTTTTACTCTCTATATCCAGCTCTTTTTATCACATCATATTCCCGTGCCAGACGTTAAGTCGTACTGTGTCCGAATACATCATCTTATCCCCCATAAACCATAGCATCCACCATGTCGGAATTGCGCTTTGACGGCCAGACCGTGGTTGTCACGGGTGCTGGTGGTGGTTTGGGGAGAGCTTATGCTCTTTTCTTCGGTGCCCGTGGTGCCAACGTTGTGGTCAATGACTTGGGTAGCTCACATACAGGCGAGGGACAATCGTCGAAAGTTAGTAGCTCCTCGCCACTACCGCGCGTGCCTGGTTGCTAATGTTCAATTGCCTCATAGGCTGCTGATATCGTCGTCGATGAGATCAAAGCCAAGGGTGGAAAGGCTGCGGCCAATTACGACAGTGTTGAGCATGGAGATAGAATCATTGACACTGCTATCAAAAACTTTGGCCGCATCGACATCCTTATAAACAATGCAGGCATTCTCCGAGATGTCAGCTTTAAAAATATGAAAGATCAAGATTGGGATTTAATCAACACCGTTCACACATATGGTTCATATAAGGTTAGTAATGAAATAAACCTGCTCAGGCTTGTTTGGGGGCTAATACGACTATTAGTGTGCAAGAGCAGCGTGGCCTCACTTTAGAAAACAAAAGTACGGTAGAGTCATCAACACAGCCTCAGCTGCAGGCCTCTTTGGTAGCTTTGGCCAAACCAATTATTCAGGTACGTATACCCCAATCCCGGCAAATAACTGCCTTATTAACTGTTTGTAGCCGCCAAACTTGCTATGGTTGGATTCACCGAAACCCTTGCAAAAGAAGGTATTAAATACAATATCCATGCTAACGTTATTGCCCCAATTGGTATGTAAACTATCCTGTCACCACTTCCACTATGTGTTAACCAGCTCCTTAGCTGCCAGCCGCATGACCGAAACTGTCATGCCACCAGAGGTCTTGGAAAACCTTAAGCCCGAGTGGGTTGTTCCTCTAGTTGCTGTGCTTGTTCACTCTTCAAGCAAGGAAACTGGATCTATTTTCGAAGCCGGCGCTGGCCATGTTGCCAAAATTCGATGGGAGCGTGCGAAAGGCGCTCTGTTGAAGGCGGATGATTCGCTTACCCCTGGAGCTATTCTTGCCAAATGGGATCAAGTCAATGACTTCTCCGAGCCAAGCTATCCAACTGGCCCTAACGAGTTTATGGATTTACTGCAAGCTGGAATGGAGCTTCCTAGCAGCCCTTCAGCCAAGGAACCAGACTTCAGCGGAAAGGTTGCTTTGATTACAGGTGCAGGAGCCGGGTAAGTTTATAAGTTGTGATTATTTCCATTTTATCGTACTAATAATGTCGTTTTATAGCCTTGGTCGAACCTACGCTCTTCTATTTGCCAAACTCGGTGCCTCTATTGTTGTAAATGATCTAGTTGACCCAGAACCAGTTGTCCAAGAGATCAAGAAGATGGGCCGAAAGGCTGTTGGCTCCAAAGCCTCTGTTGAGGATGGCCCAGCGGTTGTGAAGGCTGCAATTGATAACTTCGGCCGTATTGATATCCTCGTCAACAACGCTGGTATTCTCCGAGACAAAGCGTTTACTAACATGGATGACAACCTTTGGAACTCTGTTGTCAATGTTCATCTTCGCGGCACATATAGCGTTACCAAAGCTGCTTGGCCTCACATGTTAAAGAATAAATATGGACGAATCGTTAACACCACCAGCACTAGTGGTATCTATGGCAACTTTGGCCAGGCCAACTATGCTGCTGCTGTAAGTCCCAATATGCACTCTTTTTTTAACACCTGATAAGGTACTAATAGAAGTAGAAACTGGGTATTCTCGGCTTCTCCCGTGCCTTGGCCATTGAAGGAGCCAAGTATAACATCCGCGTCAATACTATCGCACCAAACGCGGGCACTCAGATGACCCGAACAGTTATGCCCGAGGAGGTCGTTCAGGCTTTCAAACCTGAGCAAGTTGCTCCTTTCGTTGTCCTACTCTGCTCCGATGAGCTCCCTGAGCCAATCAGCAAAGGCTTGTACGAATGCGGCAGTGGTTGGTTCGGCCGTACCAGATGGCAACGATCTGGTGGCCATGGCTTCCCCATCGACGTCACATTGACACCCGAAGCTGTTGCTTCCATGTGGGGCAAGATTACAAACTTCGACGATGGCCGCGCAGACAACCCAGAAGACAGCCAGGCTGGTGTTCAGAGTATCATGGAGAACATGAATAACAAGAGCGGTGGGGCGCCCAAAAAGGGTGGTGATGGTGATCAGGGCATCCTGGGTGCTATTGCAGCTGCTAAGGAGATGAAGGCAGAGGGTACCGCTTTCGATTATACTGACCGCGACGTTATTCTTTACAATCTCAGTCTTGGCGCGAAAAGAACGCACCTCCCCCTTGTTTACGAGAACCATGAGGGTTTCCAGGCCTTGCCCACTTTCGGTGTCGTTCCCTGGTTTAACTCCAACATTCCATGGAGCCTGAATGATATTGTTGCCAACTTCTCCCCTATGATGATTCTTCATGGTGAGCAGTATTTGGAAATCCGCAAATTCCCGATTCCAACCGCTGCGAAGACGGTCTCTTACCCGAAACTCATCGACGTAATTGATAAGGGCAATGCCGCCGTTGTCGTCCATGGCTTTGTGACCAAGGATGCCAAAACTGGGCAGGAGCTCTTCTACAACGAGTCCACCATGTTCATTCGTGGAAGCGGTGGGTTTGGTGGCTCTAGCAAATCTGCTGCCCGCAGACCTGCTGCTTCCACTGCTGCCTACAAACCCCCGCAGCGCAAGCCTGACGCCGTCGTCGAGGAGAAGACCTTGGAAGACCAGGCTGCTCTCTATCGTCTCAACGGTGACCGCAACCCCCTCCATATTGACCCAGATTTCAGCCAGATTGGTGGCTTCAAGGTCCCTATTCTCCACGGCCTCTGCTCCATGGGTGTATCTGGCAAGCATGTGTACAACACGTTCGGTGCGTTCAAGAACATCAAGGTTCGATTCGCTGGCGTCGTTATCCCCGGCCAAACTCTCAAGACCGAAATGTGGAAGGAAGGTAACGTTGTTATCTTCCAGGCAACTGTCGTGGAGACCGGCAAGCCTGCTATTGCCGGTGCTGGTGTAGAGCTTGTTTCGGACAAGGGCTCGAAGCTGTAGATTCTGAAGGATACCTGAATGATATAGATCTCCGGCTATTTATCTAAGCTGGACCGAGCCATTCTGAAATTGGCAGTGACTCTGGTTTTTGCTCGGTGAAAAGGATATGCATTTGATTTATTAATGTTGTATAGTACATATTGAATGGTCATAGTTTGTTCTGCAATTTGATATTATCTTCTTCAGAGTTCGAGCATCAAAAGTAAGATTGCTTGAGCCATCCATGGACTTCTATGTCCAGCTCTCCGCCCAGCTGGTACAAATTTGCAGGCGTTCCTTGCCAAGGTTGGCGCCGAGGCTACACGGCATGACCTGGAGATTGTCGCGTTCCCGGGCCAGCCGAATGCTTATCCGACGTTTAGGCAATGCGACCTGCTGCATTCTAGAGACGCAAGATGTCAACTCTCGGGTAAATGTTGGGAACAGATAGGACTTTAGCGTAGATCGCGTCCCGCCCTGCACGTTGCTAAGGCCGGGGTAGTGCCTGTATAACTATGTAGGAGTTTGGCTTCTATTTATGCTGTTGGTTAACTACGGGTGGTGTTGCCAGAAGTTAAGACACAGACACCTCCACCCTCCATCCCTCTCCACACGCAGGAGTATTCCCTCGCTCTGCGTCTGTCCACGCCTATTGATATCGTTTCGAATATGTAGTCGACATTTCGTTCTCCACTACACGCCTTCTATACAAACAGAATGGTCTCCTTTGGCTTCTCGCGCGTCTCCAAACCACCCGCTTCTCCCAGCAGTCTGCCGCCTTCATCCGCCAATGCTTCCACCGTGTCACTTACCCCTACCTCTTCGGCTACAACAACCGCATCCTCGTCGTCATCCCCACCCCCCACGGCTACCTCTTCCTCCGTGACGGCATCAACCTCACTTACCCTCATCGAAGCACTGCGCAACAACCCTTTCGGCACCTCCTCCAAAGCCAAATGTCCCATAGCCATCCTCAACGACGAAGTCGAAAAGGAACACGAGAGAGCAGAGCTTAATACTAGCCTCGCGATTCTGGCTGAATTGTTCCCTGACGTGAAACTCGAGGTATTCCGTGAACTTCTGGTTCGGTTTGATGGGAATAGCAGGCTCCAGGTTTGCGTGGAGCAGCTGTTGCGGTATCGGAATGAGTGGGTTAAAGGAAGATGGAATGTGCCGGTGGGGACGGATGCAGTGACCATAGTGCCGACTCGAAGACGACAGGGATCGAATACAGAAGATGAGGTTGCTACATGGGCGGCAGAGTTACCGGAAGACGAAAGGTTCAGGAGTGAGAACTACAAGAAAGCCGTCAAAGCTGCTTTATGCCATGAATTTCGGTCGATTAGCCGAAGTGCTATCGAAGCGGTTTTGGCAGAGGCTAATTTCTCGTATTTCCGGGCTCGCCCAACTTTACGACGCCTATCCCGTAAGACCTGGCGGGTGGCCTTAGGGAATATTCTTTCTTTCAAGAAGACTAAGGAAAAGGAAGAGCCACCTTTGTTGGCATGGCAGCGACAACCGAATGGTGATACTGTACCCTACTTGAAGGAAACAGGATGTCCGGAACTGGATAAGGAGTTACATGAAGCCTTTCTCGAGCCCTTACTTACCCAGATAAAAGAGAAGCAAGAAGTGGGAGACTACAAATTGGCACAAGAACTCAACGAGGCTCATGCCAAAGAGGCCGATGCGGTATATGAGTGCAGCTGCTGCCTCTCAGATGCCACATTCGAAGAGATCTCAATGTGCTCTTCCAGTTTACACGTCATTTGCTTTACCTGCATCCAGCGAACGATCCAAGAGGCACTATTCGGCCAGGGCTGGGGAAACTCTATTGACAACAGCAGGGCCACATTGCGCTGCTTAGCTCCCTTGCAAGCTGGTACCTGCGATGGTACCTTGGATACAACACTCGTCAAGCGGGCGGTTTTAGCTGACAAGGCAGGCGATGAAGCTTACCAGCAGTTCGAAAACCGCCTTGTTGAAGAGTCTCTCCTTAAATCTCAATTGAAACTTGTTCGTTGTCCTTTCTGTTCGTATGCTGAATACGACCCTGTCTACCACCCCCCCTCCAAAAGGTTTAGCCTGGCGTTTTCGGCGCGCAAGTTTATTATCTATTGGTTGCATGATTTTGGTTTTACTTGACATGATACCCTTTTTGTTTGTTTTTTTTGTTGCATTTATTATCCTCCGCCCTGCTGCGATTCCTCTCGTCTTTATTACATCTGTACGCAACCTGTGCTTGAAAACGCGAAACCAACGGTTTAGTTGCTCGAACACGTCTTGCAACCGTCAGAGTTGCATCACCTGTCAGAAACCATGGAGAGATCCCCATGTCTGCCATGAGCCTCTTCTTCTTAACCTGAGAACAACCGTCGAAGCTGCCCGAACTGCAGCTATCAAACGTACATGCCCTAGGTGTGGCCTGTCTTTTGTTAAATCCTCTGGCTGCAATAAACTCACATGTGTGTGTGGGTATTCGATGTGTTACCTTTGCCGCAAAGCCCTTGGCCCACCATTAACTCGAATCCGTGTGAATGGCAGACGCTTGTTCCGAGATGTAGATAATCAGTTTGGTGCGGTATTTGATGGCCCTGCAGATATCGATAATGGTTCCGGCGACGAGTCTGCAGACGACGAACAAGAAGGAGAAGGCTATAGGCATTTTTGCGAGCACTTCCGTACCAACCCTGGGTCCCGGTGCGCTGAGTGCAATAAGTGCGATCTCTACTTGGCTGAAGACGAAGAGCTCGTCGCTCAACGCGCTGGAGAGAAAGCTGAGCGCGAATGGAAATATCGTCAGAACCTTGACCCTATCTCCCACCGCCACCTTAACAGCATAAATTCTCGACTTGATGGCTACGGGGCCGATAAATTGCACCTCCACGCCAGTAGACATACTGCTTCCTGGAACTGGAACTGGCAACTTGATTCAAGAGACTGGAGAGCACAATGTCGATTTTGGGTGCAGGATGTCTGGCGTGATGGGAGGTGGAAAGGGGAAGCACAGTATCTGGTTGATAGACTTGTGGAGATGTTGATTGTTGTCGAGGCTTAATGAACTTATGATATGGGGTTTCTCTGCTTCTTTCTTTCCCTCATTTCTTTCTTTCGTTGTGGGCATGTGTTTTTCGGTTTTTTTTTTTTTTTTTTTTTTTTTTTTTTTTTTTTTTTTTTTTGGGGTTTTTTTTTTTTTTTTAAAATTTTTGGGCCTGGTACCTTTTTTTGGGAGCGTACTAATATGAGGGAAAAATGTCCACAAATTTGGCAGGGGTATGGGGGCTACCAGTGCTTTTTTTGGTGATAAAAAATTTTTTTTTTTCTTTTTTTTT